TAAATTCTAAGTATTCTTTATTACTATAGAAGCAATGTGTCAAAAGACATTTTATCAATTGTAATTTAAAATTCTGTCCTTGTAACAATTTAATTTCGTTTGGTAATTTATTGTAAATAATCATACACATGTTGAAGCAGTTATTCTTATAAATTAATTTATGGCAATGAGGTTGGTATAAAAGATGCATAATTTTTGCTCTAGTTTACCTTTGAATGACGTCACCGCGTGTTTTAAAGTATTGAGGATGAGAGTTGACAAATACGCAGATATCCCTAATGTACATGCATGGCAAAGGTAATATATTTAGCCTTTTGAACAGCGGTTTGCACCTGTCATTGAACCACGCGCCGCAAATGGCTCGAAAACACTTATTCTGGACTTTAAATGCAATTTCTGAGACTACTGAGTTGCCCCATAGTACAAGACCGTAGCTGAGCACGGACAATACGTAACCGTGATAGGCCGTCAACGCAGCTTGTCGCATAAAAGGTTTTGAAAAGTATCACTCCGTGCAAATCTGGGAGTCAATATATTGCTTCTAACAACCTACGCCCGATGCTCTCTCTCAACGTCCTCATTATCCATGAAGGTCTCCGATACCCAGTGGCCCAGATACTTAAATCGCAAAACTCTATTTAAATGAACATCATTGAAACTCAACATTGCTGATTTTCAGTGTTCACTTATAGCTATTTGCTTCCTGCGTCAGACCGGCAAGCTGAGTGTATAATAAACATCAATGTATATTATTATTAAATACATAGGCTGTCTGTGTTGCACTATAAATAAAATTCTAAATATTTTTTATTTATTTAGTGTTGCCAAGGGTTTTAACTACGGATCTATTCGCGAACTCGCGAAAACCTATAAACACAGCGCTTAAAAGAAGCCTGTGTTTTCAGTAATTGTTATTGCCTCTCGTTCGAAAACGGCAATAAAATCAATTTGCCTCTTCCACCGCATGATGTCATATCGTTAACTTAATTGGTGTACAGTGTGTGGACATCAATATACTCAAAGCTCGCCTTTTTTTCCTATAGCAAAAAGAACGCACGTGTCGTTGTCGAAGTTGCGATCCCGACCAATACGCGCATTCTAAAAGTTTTCATGTCTTTTGTTACTGTGTTGTCATGGTGAATAAATATTTTAAATTTTTAAATGAATTAAGAGGGCTTACTAAGCAAATAATTACAATTTTTAGGTGCACAATTTTTGTCGATTATGTATTACAGAAAATACAGAAAATATAAACATTGTTCATGTAGCAAATATTTTCGTGTTATACCTACCTAGTATTTCCATATTTTAATTCATGGGGCATTTTGCTTTCAAATTCACATGAAAATTATGAAAATAGAATTAATAATTGTTTTTCCTTGTCTAACACCTCCAATAGTATCTATTATAATAATATTATAAATAAGTGCGTAATTTTATTATGCACATGTCGCCCTTGCCTGCCAAAATGTTGCCGACCACTGCTCTGCGGTATTACGTCAACTTTATCGCGTGTATCCCCATTCGCATTTTTTTAACGATACTAAGTGACAGGACGAACAACTCGTGCGCCTGAAGGTAAGCGACACGTCTCTCCATAACAGTTGCAATGCCACTCAGAGCTTTTAATCATAAAGATCTGAGGGGCACTGCCACTGCGCCTGATAACGTGAAACATAAGTTGACAAGTCCTTGGTCCCAGTAATTCAACCAGCTCCTTCTTACCCTACAAAACCGAAACGCAGTTCGCATTACTGCTTGGCAGTATAATAAATACATTTTTCATATAATTTCAAGAAACCGCATAGACGTAGCAACTTCAGTTGAGAGTTTCGGCTATCGACTACAGTTTTCGATTGCCGAAATCCGTGATTAAATAAATTATTAATTGCCGCAACTAGAAACTTGCAAATTTGTACCGGTTGTCACCAGTTGCCAGTTTCCGCAACCGGCAACCGCAACTCGTGAAGCAACTTCACTCGCTCCCCGTCCACCGCAACGTCAGACTTGACCGTGGATTTCGAAAGTTTATTTAAAATTGCAGCAACCGGCAACTAAGCCTTTAGTTGCTACAACCGGCAACCGTTAATGGAATCTTGTGAAAAGTTGCCAGTTGCGTCAACTAAAGCTGCTCCATCAATACCTAAATAGATGTATTTTAATTACTAGTGTAGCAACTAATAGCATTCTACCAAATATTCAGTCAAACTATTCGGCCTGATTAGACACGTACAAAAATTGGTACAAAAATTAGCACTTACTAATGTTGGTTATGATAAATAATTCCGTACAAAAATGGTACTTCAGTTTTTAAGTTTATAATTTAAATTTATGCCTTAATGATGAAAGTGATTGCTTATTTCACTGCAATATGATTAGTTTTAGAACTTTATTTTAGTTTGCAAATATTGCCGATGAATTGATGACGACTTTTTTGAAAGATTTTTATCTCTTAGAAAAATAACTTAGTTATGTTACACTGTCTTTGATGTTTTACTTAATATAATAATAATTGTTATTCATATATTTCAAGTGACATAGACTCATGTAATTTGTTAGTAAACCACTTAATTCTAACATTAGAAGGGTACAAAATCATATACAATAGACACTTCTAGATATACGAAATTCACAACAATGCCTCACGGACAGTCCAGCCTGCTCGCTATCGAGCGCAGAAAGGGGCGGGACTGGCCCGCACCCGGTGTGCCAGAGACGTGCTTTGTTTGTTCATGGTCGCGTAAAAGCTATCCATTTTTGCTTCTGGGAACATCCTGACGCGCTACAGAAGCGGGGCAGCCCCACTAGCACTCGGAACGTATTATTATAGGGTCCTTGCGTCTAATACCTCCATAAACTGTATTTTTATAGACTAGTACAAGATATCGAGTTCTTAGGTTTTCGCGATTGTTACACATAGGAAATACTACAAGATATAATAGTACAAGATACTCTAAACAACACACAAATAAAATTTTAGATACGGGAGCGAAAAATTGAGCTTATGGGAAATTATAGTGTATGTTCACCATTATAAAAGTTATATGATAATTTTAGTGCTTTTTCTCATTGCTCCGTATTCGGACAAATATTCGGTATATTTGGCTAAAAAAATGGGCCAAATAACCCGCATACTGAATAATAACCAAAAATTCGTTGCAACTCTAATAAATACCTAACAATAGTAAATAGAATTTATAATTAAAGTTATCATACGGCTAACAAGTAACACAGAGAAATTGACAAATAGTATTAGCACTTTATTGTGAACTTGTTACTAGTGGCGCCTCTAGCGGAAAGTCTTTGCAATACCATAGTTACTGTGCTTGCTTACCAAATGCGTTTATTCGATGAGAAATATAGGTATATAAAAATAAATGAAGCGTAGTCGTTTAAACGTGGACTCGCTTAGAACATCGCCAACTCTACTTTCCTCTTGTTCTCGCTGCACGAAATTAAATTATATTTTATTACTTCCAAACTCCGAGAAAATTTTAGATAATTACTTGAAATCGAGTCAGTCCTTATTACCAGCAAAATGGTAACGAATCGTTTAAATCTGGTAAACAGTGTTCTCATAATAGCTAGATTTCCATATTTTTCCGCCATTTATATTTTATATTTTTTTAATATTGGGAGTTTTCAAATCACTTAGTTTATGTTTGTAAAATGTTGAAGAGACGACAAGCTACCATTTGGCATTAAAATCTTAATATTCGCGTTTATATGAGTTGACACTCCTTTGTTACTTTTTACAAAAACCGTATACAGCTAGAAGACCTATGCTCGGCAATGACGCGCATCGGCGTATAGATTGGTTTTCGTGACATATATATATGTATACGTATATAATATTATTGTAACCAAAAAAATCTTAATCTTATTGCATTTAAAATAGTATGAAAAACACAAATATAAAGGCAATTTTATTGTTGTATAGTCCAACAATTCAGAGGGTAAAAACATTGATATATTTTTAATTGAAAACACTAGCTTGTGGTTAGCACAGGTAACAAAATCAATGAATTATTAACACTATTTTACGCGAACATTTGTTGTACATTATCGTTATAATTTGTACCGTAACACAAAATGTGATACGAAATTTCAACACGTTCGTCATCGGCCCATTAGCTCAGTTGGTTAGAGCGTCGTGCTAATAACGCGAAGGTCGCGGGTTCGATCCCCTCATGGGCCACAAGGAATTTTTTAATTTTTATTTTTTCCTTTTGAAAAGTCTTATAACGTTATCACTCAATTTTTGCAATTTTCTGTTTTTAAAATTTCTAATAAACACCGACAATAATTTTATTATAAAACTGAAATGTGAGAAAAAAGATTTAGCAGTTATTTTTAAATATAGTAAAAACGTACAAAAATTGAGTAAAATACTGCACGCAAGGGCTTTCTTGTGGAGGTGCTGGGATTTGAACCCAGGACTTTCAGCATGCGAAGCAGACACTCTACCACTGAGTTACACCCCCCGGTAGACTACACGTTGAAATTTACGTACACTTGCTACGATAGTGTTACAATACGGACAGTACCGAACAGTCATTAAAAAAATTCTTTTTATAGTATTTGTATTATAAAAGCAATACTGATTATGATGATGGATATGAATATGTAACTTGTATATAATAAATGTCATGGCAGCTTTTATTTAATTTTCGAAATTTTAATTTATATTTGCAACTTAAAGTCTTCATCGTCAACACATTTATACATCCTACTGCAGGGCAAGGGTCTCCTCTCAGGCAAGGGTTTAGGCCATCGTCCGCCGCGCTGGCCCGCGCTGCGGGTTGGGGATTTCACGTATAAATTTCAAATTAAATTTCGTGCACAAATTCCGAGAAACTCAGAGGTATGCGCCTAGATTCGAACCCACGGTCTCTATTTAGAGGCAGTAAGGTCAAGGCCACCACAACTTTTTTATTCATGTTATCATGACTTGAGGTATTGCTATAAAATTTTATCAAGGCGTTTTCCTTTTGTTGCAGGTTTTAGGAATAACGGAGCGAGAATTTATGGACCAAATGGGCGTATATTTCGTAGGGTTCGTCTCACAATATGGTTACGACAGAGTTTTATCAGTCCTCGGACGGCATATGAGGGATTTTCTCAATGGGTTAGATAATTTACACGAATACCTGAAATTCAGTTATCCAAGAATGAGAGCGCCTAGTTTTATATGTGAAAATGAAACGAGGCAAGGATTAACTCTGCACTACAGATCCAAAAGAAGAGGATTTGTTTATTATGCCATGGGACAAATTAGGGAGGTAAGTGCTTATGTATACATAGCGACATACCTAGTGACTCATGGCCTAAAATAACTATTATTAACGTGCATAAAATAGCCAACCACCAAAAGTGTCTATTGGCATTGTACAATAAGAGCCATTGACCTACAAAGAAAGTCTAAATAAGAACAAAATATTTACTTTATCGAAATAAAGCTAAAAGAAATCTAAATAAAAACAAAAGAAAATATGAGAACAAAAAGCTAATTAGCTGGAGGCGCCGGGTATCGATCCCGGTACCTCTCGCATGCTAAGCGAGCGCTCTACCATCTGAGCTACGCCCCCGATGAGAACCGTGTTGAAAGTATTGGCTATATTGTAGTTCACCAAACTAGTCTTTATTTTATTCTTAACTTTTAACTATATTAATTTCAACACAATGACTATATAATTTACTTCTAATAGTTATTTCTAACACGCTTGAAAATTATTCTAACTCATTCGGCTTGCAACGCCATCTAGAGGTATTTGTGAAAAGTAGTTGCAACAAGTAGGTAGCACAAATCTACCTAAAGTTTCTTTTATTTATACATCTACAACGTAAATATATATGTAATTAAACATTTATTTCAGGTAGCCCGACATTTTTACCATAAGGAAATGCGAATAGAGTTACTACGCGAAGAACTACTATTCGATACAGTTCATGTTACATTCCAACTTACTTTTGACAACAGAGCGTTTACCTTGGCGTCTCTAGCTATGACAAGGGAGGAAAAACATTTACCAATCAGCGCTTCAGTGCTATTCGAGATCTTTCCATTTTGCATTGTTTTTGGGTGAGTCCATAATATGCTAGCGTTGCAAATATGTTCAAAATCGCCATCTATTGACGTTTTTGAGAACTAGAACAAAACTATGTGCAGTTTGTGTCGTCTTTGAGTTATTGTAATAACTGTGACATGATCATGATAAAAAAACCTTGTAATTGTGTAGCTCCGACATGGTGGTGCGGAGCATCGGCAACTCTTTGATGGTGATCCTTCCCGACCTCGTGGGGAAGAAGATCACAAACTGGTTCGACCTCGTCCGGCCCCTCATTGCGTTTAAATTTCAAACAGTAAGTATTCATTTCAATGTCTTATCCATGACTATTATAACATCGAGACTGTCGCTAGAAGTCGCGCAGCTAAGTAAAAAAAATCTATGAGAATACTTTAGTTCTTAATTTAACCAGTAGGGGCGCTGTACAAATCTTACACAGGCGGCTGCTCCAGAGCAAAACCTAGTAAGGGACAAATTTTTTGAAAGCTTCAAATACTATTATATAAGAGATTTCGAAACCTTAAAACCTAGTAAGACACACCTAGTCTGTTGCGTGGCATGAAATGTGTTATACAGATCTTAAAATTTAAATAGTAAGTAAAATTTTAAAAATAATAAACATAAAAGAATATAACATTTTTAATCAAATTTAAAAAGTAGGTAGTAATAAAAACCGTAATAATAATTATATAGGTATTGGACGTAGTTAAGCAAACAGGATCCAACTCACAAAATTATCGAATAATGAGTTATGTGTACCAAACGGTTCCTAAAGTCTAACCTCTTAGATCAGCAAAACATCCAACGTAACATAAATAAATAACTCTGGAGTTACATGACATTATAAGTTTTGAAAATAAAACAAGAGTGAAAAGAGTGAAAGAAAAGAAACACTTTTAATCTTCAAACTGCCAAATCTCGAAAGTGACTGGATGTGCATTGAATCCTTTTTGTTTAATTAACTGCGTTCGTTATATTAATTATTCTTCAAAAAATTCCAAAGTCCTAATTGAAGCGCCTTCATTATTAGTAATCATTCACCTTCATTGTTTGCTATATTTATTTGTAAGCATACAAGGTGAATACAGTTTACATATTTAAGATTCAAAGTTCAGCACATTGCGCCAATATAATATATACAAATATTAATAGCAAAGCCGCTTGACTTTTGTAATTTAATTGTTGGAATGAATTAATTTGTTTATATTATATTCACTATTTTGGACATTAATAATTAATCTGACATTCTTGAATACTAACGATATTATAAACATAATTAATACTTTAAATATATTTTCTTTTATTTTTTTTTCTTTTCATTTTTATATTGTCAATACCGGTAATTATGTTTGTATTATAATATTCATATACCAAATATACTTTCAATATGTTTGTATGCCAAATGTTTGGCCGGACAGTGAAACTATACCTACTCATTTTGTACATGTCACCTTACATATCTAACCTGTGTTTTCACAAATAAATGAATTATTATTATTATTATTATTATTATTATTATTATTATTATTATTATAAAGAATACAATGTTCTCATTTATTCTTAAAATCAAATTACATTACAAAATTTAACAGTTTTTTAATTAAATGATATAATCAAAGAAAAATTATGATTTAATAAAAAAGGGGAACGCATGTCGAAGTAATAAAATATGTAGAGGGTCGCAGGCTTCAAAATTTAAATGTCAATAACATTATATAATTTTACGCACATGTTATAGCAATTCCTTCGGAAACATGTAGTAGGTAGTGTGTACAATGGAATGTCGTGGCAAACGATATCAGGTTATCAGGGACATCAGGTTAAAAAAATAATTTTTTTTGAAGTAAATAAATAACTATCTATCACAGAAGAAAGAAAACAATGGAAGTACCTTAAGCCTCGATTACTATAAGGACCAACGTCGCCAAAACTCACATTCTTCATTTGAAACACTGCAAAATCGTGATATTGATTGGTCGTAGTTTTAAATTTAAAAGAAATAACAAATTCTGGATTGTTAATATAGTTTAAACTTTACCCTGTTGGCATATAGTTGAAAGTTTAATACCATCAATACCAATTATAACAAATTACGATGTTTTGCTGTTATATTGAAATTTCAATAAATGTGCTGCCATCTAGCGGTTCATTGCTGAACGACGACGAATTGGAGTTATTAATTTAGTTCTCTAAACAAATTGCGACCATATTTTAGGGGTATAAGCTTTACTTTCATGTAACAAAAAAATCGATAAACATAAAATTAAAAATTTATTAAAATTAGACTTTCCGATCGTATGAAATACCACCACGGTTAATATTTTTGGCGCGGCTCTCATTTTCGCACTCCAAAACAGCACAATAGGGCAATTTTCTAGGATTTTAGAGAATTTGCACGAAAGAATGACGCGACTATACAATAAAAAGCGAAAGTGGCGGACTGAGTTCAGATAAGTCTTTCGAGACCCATAATTGGCACGCGTCAGACGCTAACTACTACTTTTATTGTAAAAGAAATACAGAATTATTTTAGACACATTTCAAGACAAGAAATGTCAATTATTATGGTAACAATTTATGTTATTTATTACAAAAACAACATTATAACGCTGTTTAAAAATTTGTCAAAATGTCTCTCAGGTTTTCCAACTTAGTATCAAAACGCTCGCTAAAAATGTTGCCAGTGGTTATTGTTTTAAGTAATTTATAACTACGCAATGCTTGCACACCTTTTATTAGTAAAGGGAGTGTGTAACTCTTATCTGCAGTTTATAAAATGTATAATTATACAGTTGTTAAGCAGTTGTTTTAAATATTTTTATTAGTAAGGCTGTTATTGTTCTGTGTCTTTTATACACCTCGTACCTATATGAAATGTTTGGAATATACATGTATGGGAACAAATTTGGAATCAGCAAAACGGGATCTAGAACCTTAGAATTATAACGCATAGAAACCTAGTCCGCACACGCTAAGTGAGGCAAATTGAAGCGCTCCCAAAAGGCCTACACGAGCGGGCGGCCCGTCAGTGCTCAAGGTCAACTTGCACCGCGAACAGCTCAATAATTTTAGCTAAAAATTACAAAATGTGCGGTAAATGAGTGTAAAAATACGTCAGAGAAACATAAAATAGATACTAACATCACATTCCACAAGGAAGTAACGCGTTTCAACTTGTATTTTTATATAAATATTCACTAAAACCGAAAATTAACCTACTACTAAAACTAGCCTACATGAATTAGATTTTTGCCTCACTTGTGACAGTTCGTTTGATATGAAACTATCATTCTATGCGTTATTATTCTAAGTCTAGAACCTCCTACAAACGGTTTTTTACAGTTTATTTCGTTTCAGTTTTATTGTTCAACAAAATCTGCGTAATTAACATTTTTCAAAGCAAAAAAGCTTTAGGTGTGTAATATGTCAGTCACGAGGAGCTCCACTGCTACTACAGCCAGCAATTTAACTTGCAAGCTTGCAGTCCATCTGATAGCACGCCCAACCCCCCGTTCACACGAGATTATGCTGCACGCTTTTTGCAGTATAAATGTTACCGAATAAACAGTGGCGCACACATTACATAATTATAGAACCGTTCACACGGTGTTTGTCCCATGGCAGTCAACCGTGACCATGGGACCTGCAAAGGGCCCGAAACGTCGGTTTGTTTGAAAAAACAAATATACGCGATTTAAATCCGGAAAAATAGTTTCATTTCCTATGTGTAACAATCGCGAAAACCTAAGAACTCGATATTTACGTTTTAATTTAAATGAGCGTCCCGGCCGCGCGGAACCTTCGCGGCGACCACGCGTTTTATTCCGAGGAATTCAAATCTTGTTGCCTAGGAAATAGAATTCAGATTCGCCATTAATATACGTGAAAGATGAAAGCGTCGTAACTGGCAGGTTACCGCGCGGCGGCCAAACGAAAACTTTCGCGTCGTGTAACTGGGCACGAAGGGGTGAGGAGTCTTATATGTATTCCACTTCATAATTCCAACAAATCAAACTTACTTCAAAGTGTTTCCTCTAGACGGCAACTAGTTTCAAGTTCAAATTAGTTAGGAGCTCTAAGGTACCTTGTTATAAGCTCAAATTACGTGCTTGTTACCAAAATAACCGTCTGGAACCATGTGGGTGTATAATGAATATTGCACGCCAATCATACGATAGTCAACTTTTTCCTCACCGATGATTTAAAACGTCATTTGACTGGTTTTCTGGACAAACAAAAGACTATTTTTTATAGGAAATGAAACTATTTTTCCGAATTTAAATCGCGTATATTTGTCTTTTCAAACAAACCGACTTCAACCGTGACCATGGGACCTGTAAAGGGCCCGAACGTCGGTTTGTTTGAAAAAACAATATACGCGATATTTAAATCCCGAAAAACAGTTCATTTCTTATGTGTAACAATCGCGAAAACTTAAGAACACAACTGCTTTTTATTTAAAAAATATATTACTTTGTTAAATTTTTTTTCTTCTGCTATGTACTTTTTGTTCTTTAACACCATAGCGGTAGGTAGAAAATTTATTTAAAACCTATGGAGGTTCCACGCCCACCACCATAAAAAATAATTGAAAACACAAACACACAAATATTTAATATTTTTTATATTAACTGAACACAAAAAATCACAAGGTAAAACAATTATATACATATGTGTAGTGTAGTTTATACAGATAATTAATTTTTTTAAAGCGGACTACATCAACGCCCCCCCAACATTGCTTCTGAGGCTCCTACCTTCCCCCTTAACCTCCGCAGCACCCACGGAGGGGGCGGTAGGGACCACTTTGGGAAACTATGATTTAAACTAAATTATTCTCGTAATCCCTCTCTAGTTTGTTATAATTATTAATACAAGCAGCGAACAGTAAGGAAAATTTCTTCGAAAGATATAACTTGCAATGCTCTTGCATATGGTATCAATTCTTACAAATTAACTTTAGCACATATTTAAAATTGTAGATGGCGACACTTGGGTTAATAAAAAAATATTGGTATTGGATCTCGAACATTTGAGATATCGTCGGGGATATAGTGCAAATCCTCGTATGTAGTATTTGTAAAAAGCGCATATCACCAAACAGCAGGACAGGAATTTAACGTTATGACTTTGTTATTTCAATGGCTACGAGTTAAATTTTTGCACAGTAAGCATTAATGTATGTTGTATGATTCCCGTACATTACGCTGTTTTGATTTGGCGACTAAATTACCGAAATGGAGACTTATAATCAAATGCTAGCTGCGCGTAATTTTGCACTGTCATTATCATACTACATAAGAACTGGAAAATTTAAAAAAACATGCATAAACAACATTTTAGGCATGTTTAATTAAAATTCATTTACAGTTACGATACTCGTTGAAAAAATAACAAATCGAATTTCTCAATACTTTTTAATGTAATGTAAAAATGTATGTAAATACAAACTCGGAACATTAACTAGTTTGTGGGCGGAGTGGCCGCGCATCGGGTTCCGACTCGTGTCAGTTGGAAAAATCAAAAATCACTTTCGCTAATAAAAACCGAGAGCTAAAGAGAAGGTATGGCCGAGATCGCCCACTCCGGTATACACAATAAATATATTATAATCATTATGATTGCTTCATTTACATCTTACGTAACATCTAGCTAGCAGTTAAATAAATCTATGTTTTAGAATTCTTTGATAACTCTCGAATAGACTCTAGATCGAACAATAAATACATTACTACGTCGGGCGACTGAAAATACTGTAAGGAATGTAGAACGCATCCTACGCCGCCTTAGAAGAGGACCGACATGAAACAACAACGTCTCATCAGACTTGTACGGCGCGCTATTCGCAACACCAGCGGCGACGGCGCGCGCGCCGGGGGCGCGGCGGGCCAATGAAGCGCTTGTTTCGTTTACATAATTTGCGGAACGTTATTAAAAGTATACTTATAAAAAATATTTAGCAAAAAAGTACAGTTGTACGATGACACAACTTATACTTGAAATACTCTTGGAGAGAGGATTCTCGTTTGAAGGTTTACAGACGAATGTTGAACATGTAATGAAACCCATAATTGCATTTTACATAAGATCGAACTTACAATCAATTGTAAGTGCTTAGCTGGCGCAATGAACGATAATATCAGATTAAGCACTTTTGAGCTCCCACACGTGTGAGGACGCACACGTTAGCGACAACAAGAACACACGCACACACACACGGACAAACACTAGAAGTGAGCGTTCGGATACTTGCGACGCCGCAAACACCTACTCGCGTCGATTGCTGAGGGACACTCCTTTTAATAAATACCTATTTACGGAAGAGCACGCGATTAAATTATGACTAACGACGCCCGGACGAGCGACAAGCGGCGCGGTTAGTGAGCACTTTGGTAGAGGCGACGCGAAGGTGACACGTCGCGAGGGCGGATTCTAGACGAACGTGTAGTAGACCCGTTCTCCGTCCGGCATCCGTCCAAAACATTTACTGTCAAAGACGCCCATGCGAATGAAGTTTAATACTTGACATTGTCTTTTCATTTGCTCGAGTATTATATTGACCATATTTAGCTCGAGTACTTCGTAGCGGTTCACTGTTCCATCGCAAATAAGAGAGCTAAAACAAGGGAGTGCACCTGCGTTTGCCCGTATACGTTTGTGCACTATAATATCTTCTGCGCACCTGACTTCTTTCGAATTAAGAACTACGATTCACCAGCGCCATCAACGGCGGAGTTGAAGTGGTCACCGTGGCCGAAAACGGTCAGGGAATTCACGTATTTGACAGTATGTTTCGGACTGAAATTCGAACAAGAACGAGAGAAGGATCCACTAATCGGAAACTCGCCTTCAACAGCCCGGAAGCTAGAGGAAACGGTCGAAGTGTTGCTTCGCGGGTAAACGGAAGGAATTAAAGACGGCGGTGTCACTAGAAGTATCGGAACTCTCCCTTCTTGCCGAGGCGCTCGCGGCGCACCCAGTCGGCGTTGGCACCCCCCGCACCCGCGCCCCCCGCCCTACCCGCTGCACCGTCAGGGCTGCTGCCGCCGGAACCGCGCCCACCGCCATCCTGGTAGTGGGAGTGCGTGTAGATGGGGTTGGGGTAGATGGCGCTGCGCGGCGCGTCGGGCGAGGCGGGCGGCGAGAACGCGGGCGCTACGATCGTGTGCGGCACGTGCGCCGTCACGCCGCGCCGGTTGCGCGCTTTCCACCACTTGCGCGAATCGTCCAGCACCTCGAGGAACTCGCCGCGCACGACGGTGAGCTCCTTGTCGTTGTTGGCCGTGCGCGGGTACGTGACGCGCACGACGCGGCCGCCGCGCGCCGCCACGCCGCGCGCCCACGCCTCGCCCAGCGCGTCGTCGTCGCGGTACGGCGGCTCCCGGTCCGGCGAGGACGCTGCCGAGCCCGAGTCTTCTCTCGCCAGTACTCGTGTGTTAGGGGAGTATTGTTCCGCGTACAGATCGGGCTCGTCACGGTCGTAGGCAAAGACGGCGGGCGGCGGAGCGGCGCGCTCGGGGGCGCCGCGGGACTCGCGCGCCTCCCGCGCCTCCCGCACCTCCCGCACCTCCCGCACCTCCCGCGCGGGCGCCCCGCGGCCTGCCTCACCACGAGGAGACGCTCTGCGCAGTGGTTGGTCGTCGACCTGGTAGTCTGGCGACCAGCCGTCCATGAACACCGGCTGATATGGCGGGATCGTAGTCTTCCACTGCTCTCTGGGAATGAGCCAAGCGTCGCCGAGCGAGTGCCAGAGTTCGGTCTCCTTGCTGGTGACGCAGTTGGCGAGCAAGTTGAGCGCGTCTCGGGTCAGGAGTGGCCGCACGACGCGCGTGGGCAGGCGGCCGTCGGCCGCGTCCTGCGCCGCGTCCACGATCAGCGCCAGCGGAGTGAAAAGGAAGTGAACCAGCTCCGGCGCGTTGGGATCGTGGATGTGCGCGCGCAGTCTAGCCAGCAAGTTGAAGGACAGCTTAAATTTCTGCAGCACGTCAACGAAGTCACGCTCTGGCGGAGGCCGCGTGCGCAAGGCCAGCATGCCCTCGCCGGCGGCGGGTCTTTTGCCGCCGCGGCTGCGCCGGCGCCTTTCGAGCTCGCGCGACGCTGCCGCCGCGTGCTGTAACCGCGCGATGAACTTCTCGATGTCGTCGAAGCAGCGATTTAGAATGGCGATGTCCTGCTCGTAAAGCCGCTCGGAACCCGTCGACGACGCGTCGTCTCGTTCGCCCACCGAGCTTCGCTCGCGACCCAACTGTGCCGACATTTGCTGTCTGCGCGGTCGGTCAAGGTCGGTATCCCTTTCCCGCTCCCTCTCCCGCTCGCGCTCGATGGCGAAGTCGCGCCCGCCCGCGTCGGAACCGCCGCTGTTCACTCCCTTGAGCGCGTTAAGCTCCTCGACGAGCGTCTGCGCACCCACGTCGTGACACTGAAAGATGTGCAGCTCCCGGCGCGGGCCGCCGGGCGCCCCCGGCTCAGGAGAGGCGCCGCCCGCGCCTCCCGGCGAGCCCACCACGAACGCCAGCACGTTGTTGTACAGTTCCGTGGGCTCGGGCGACGTGAAAGCTGTAGGCGAGTGCACCCAGGCCGCCGGGAATCGCTCCATTATAGACCCTGTCTCGTAATCCATGATGAGCACCCACTGTCCGTCTAAACATAGTTGCATCTTCTGGCTCCATATTCCGTTGGTCTTCTCCAGCTGCAGCAGCCTGCGCATGCCGTCTGCGGGGAACACGATGCCGGTCTCGCGCGTGACAGTGAAGGTGGCGAGGTGCTCCAGCACGTACGCGCCCCGCTCCCCGCCCGCGCCCGGCCCGCGCAGCCCCGCGAGCTCCTCGAACTCGTCCAGCGCGCGCCGCTCCTCGCCCCGCGCCCGCGCGCTGCTCCCGCCGCTCGCTCCGCGCAGCGCCATCGCCTAGCGCCCTCTGTTGCTGTGCATGCGCATAATGTCGCCCCGGGGGGCTGGTGCCGCTGCTCCTCTTGTACGCCGTCTCTGAAGAACCTGCTGCCGGCCTCAACTTCTGCGGCTGACACACTCTGAGTATAGCACAGCACTCGCGACACAGTCCTGCACGCGTTGCGGCAACCCGGGCGACTGATTTTTTGATTTGTTACATTGTGATAAATTGTATAGACGGCATTTCTCTGAATTTTTGTGTGAGAATGTTCTCGAAACTATGTAACATTTTATAAGATCGTGGATTTTTGTCACTGACTTTTACTTTATAATATGAAAGTACAGACAAGGCTTCTTTGCGATTTTATTATATGTTATTGTTATTATAATCATCGCCTGAACCAGAGCAATAACCTTAACAAAAATGTAACAGCTGCCATCTGTTGGCCTTTTCGAATATTATTACAATCGCATCGCGGCCGCGGGTTTACTTGGTACCATTTTATTGATCAGCTGAAGAATCAAAATAAGCGTCCGATTAAGAGGAGTTACGAGTCCGACATTTCTTTGCATGAGATTGGATACTAGTATAATATAATTATAATGTTTTTTAATTAACCTTTTCTCTAGTTCCTGGCCACTTATTTTCAAAGTTTGAATCGTTCTCTAATTCCGTTACCTCGTCGTTCTCATTTTGTTTCGGTCCGTCGTCATTCACTAGTGAAAACTTTTCTTGTTAAATAAAACTGCAGACACACACTAAAACAATATATTCTTCCCGAAAAACCAATACATTCCGTCGTCCGCCGCCATTACGGCCACAAACTACTGACAGTGACAGTTCTTGTGCGTTGTAGCCAAAGAGTACATTGTATATCTAGGTATAGAGTTATCAGCTCATGTAGTATTTAAACGCCATCTAGTGTCTAGAGATGGAACTATGGTGTCCTTGTACATACACATATCTATACTATTCTTCTATACTATCTAGACTAATTAGCAATCAATAGTTCAAAATGAAACAATTTTTGTATCTAAATCATGTATTTGTTTTTTCCTACATTTACTAAATCAACTTCAACTTTCAAATGACAAAAACAAATGTAATGAAATATAAAACAATAAAAAAGATTAATGAGCATAACTTGTCATCTTCTTTCATTTTCTTTATTTGCACTTTGAGTTGTTCAAAAATATTGTCATTTAGACCTGGTTTCAAATTGGCTTATGATATCATATGGGAAACAGTCACCAGTGATGGCAAGACAAATATTTTGCTAAGCCATCTGTACGCTTTTGGTCCCGCCTTGTACACACTTAGTGCCATTATCTTTTCTTCTTTTGTGAACCTTCTTCCCGTCTTTGGTTTCCCTATTTGTCGAAACTGCATCAGAGTGAAAATAGCAGCCAAGGTCTTGAATTGTTTCATGCATTTTGGAAAGCACTGTTGGTGGAAAGTTTCTGAGCTTTTTTGAGTCTCTTCGAATATGATTCATTTTGTTTTTTTAACTGTACAATTTTTTTGGCCAAATCCTTTTCATGTTCGTTAGTCTTTTTAACTGCTTCTAAAAACAAAGAAAAAATAAAATGAGTAACAGTAGTGAAGCTCCATAATTTTTAACATTATGTAATCTTGTAATAATGTCTTTAAATACAAAAAATACCCTACACATAAAATAGAGCCTTGTATAAAGTGACTATGACATGTGGGTATGAAGTGACTGCACAGTAGTTCCTTTGAATTATTCCTTCTAGTGCATTGGATCAATGTACTTACTTCTTCGATTACACAAAGTGTTGTTCTGTAGCTGTGATGTGTTTGGGACATTTGACTGTGGTCGCAGCATTGCAATATTCTCACTACTGGGGCCAGGTTGATTCATCACATCCAATAGTGGTCTTCTTAATTGGGACCCTGTAAATGAAAATTGACATTTTTTACAATTAACAAGCTTTAAAGTGGCACTCATATTTAGTTTTGGTTAAAAAATGTAAGTTTACACATATTTCAATAATGAATATAATTCTTTAAATCTTCTTCTATTTTTGAACAGCAATAAAGAAATTCGCTGTTGTGCCCATATTACATTGTTAAGAGGTTGGAAATTGGGTAATTAGGTATTGACTGAGATTGAAATGCACTATCTTCAGAGCAGCAGCAGTTCTTCTTAAAAGAATTGTACAAAAAAGTCTGATGAAAAACAAAGCCTTACACAAACAACATCACGTTTTTTTGCCAATTGTAATAGTACCTCGTAAATTTTGAGCTTACAGGGCATAACTTGCTAAGGGTAACGTACTGTAATATAAATGTTTAATTATGATTAGTTGGTACACCTGTCATGGCCGCCAGTTGGCATTAAACGTTGATTACGCATAGATGCATTCCTTTTATTTGTGAGCTTTCCAAATGGTACACATACCTTTTAAGTTAAAGTGAATACATAATTTTTGCATACCTGACAAGCAGAGTGTAGGTATAGCATTGGCACTCAGGAATTTACTTCTAGTATGGAAGCGGCTTTCAAAATGCAAGTGACATACACGGCGACGCTTGAAAATAACACTATTTTCTAGAGCCATTACATCACCGCCAACATTGTAAAGCCAGGTCCGAAAACGTTCTGGGTCTTTATCAGGGTTAGGAAATTTGTGAAGAATTTCCTTTTCCAAACCTGAAACAAGACATTCATACTATTTACTTAACAGTGTCAACTCAGTGTCTATCTGGGAATTCAAAACTAGAGCATAAAAGGAAGGGATTCTACCAATTATGAATAAGCCGGTGTATAGGAAGAAGCCAATTGGACATAGATTTCTTTAAATTAAATAGATTATTATTACCCGAGAAGGCCTGTCTATTTAGTTTTCATTATGATGATGAAGACACTTAGATGTTCACAAAAATGATAATAAGAGACATGACAATAGAGTGGACTGACTACAGGTACTAAAGAAAAAGAGTAAACTTACCACAGTCCGGAACAGCATTTTTTTTCCGAAGTCATTGTAGCAAATCGTAGTCCGTATTTCAAATAAGCCGAGGTCAACAAAATAGCAGTCGGAGTCCAAAAGGAGAAAGCAGAGGTCAACAATTTTAAACACAGACGCAAGAATCTAAAAATACAGCTCACAAAGTAAAGAATTCCGAACCACACTCGATGACGCGCGGAGATGGAGTAAGCGAATTGAAATATGGATTGCCATCGCTGTTGTTTAAAAATCAGCTTAAAAATAACACGCAATTAAAATCCGGAACTACAAAAGCCGGCCATTTTTGTAAAAAATGACAATGACATGACAGTTAGTTTGACAGTTAAGATTACTTTCCGTTCCAAGCAAAATATTGTTTGCTTTCATTTAAGCTTTATTTTGAACATTATTATGATATTCTAAGCTCCAGTGGGTCCGATGTTATCAAAATAATTATATCCATTGTGATTTTTCCATTGTAATAGTGGTAATATTCATCATACAAATGATAACGATTGTAATGAAAAACAAAGTATATGCGTCAAGTGAAACTTATTAGATTACCACCATTTCATTTTGTGTTGCAATAATTTAATCTAAGTCTTTGTTTTAATGCAAATTATTTACAATGTTTTAAAAAATATATGTTTCAAGTAAATTCCTGCCTTTAGAAAATATGTTTTGAGTTCTGAAAAATTTTATAAAAATTGTATGGCCCATCAAAGGAGATGCTATCGCCATCTATTGAATAACGACATAACTATGCTTCCATATACATAGGCCATACAAAGCAAAAATCTTCCTAGTGATTAGACCGTGGTTGTAGCAATTACCAACTTATTTTATTAATAATTCGAATGAATGTTATTATAATCATATTCCTTATATGTAAATTAATGAAACATTAAAATAACTTCATTCCTATTGCATATATAACAAAATAAACAGTATTTCATTTATGAAGAACACTAAAACGTAACTATATAATTTACTTAAGAGTCTTGCAACTTTAAAAAACATATTTAAAGTTATCATTCATTGTTATGTAATCTAACACTAGTTAATCGCTGAAGCGAGGACTCTTGCAGCTTGATTTTGATTGCCTCTCCCGATCGGAAACTTTTGACATATCTAATGGGAACAATAGTTGATTTAACTCACAAATTAAAAAGATGTAATAGGCATCAAGGTCATCTTCTCGCTCAGAAACCCATCTGATTTCGAGACTGGGTAGTCTCGCTGGGTAGGATCGCATCGATTCCGATTGTCTAATTTCCTTGATCCTTCTACCAGCTCCCGTCCTAAATCAAGGACCCGTTTTGATACCACTTAAACCTAGTAATATTTGTATAATTCGGCCCTTTCGGGGTAAGTTTGTCTCACGATTTTTTAGTATTTAAGTAGTGTTTTTAATATTGTACCTGTTTTTATACCTTTTTTTGTTACATACTTTCTTTTTCCTTTCGACTTAACTTATACAATAAATTCTTGGATCGAATAATCTATTATTATTGGTGTTGGCGGCTTACAACCTTTTCAAGTATATTACCTGTGGCTCTTGCTTCTTGCTTGAAATGCGCCGCGATTCTCTCTGCGTCTTGGAGCATTGAAATTTGTACTTTATTTCAATTGCCATACACATTGATAAGGCCTTGCCGTCAATCGTTTTGTGCTGGCCCTAACTCGCGCATTTATACATAAAAATCTGTCGGTTTATTTCGTTCGTAGATCTAAAAACCTCTCTCTTGAAAAGTTATCATCTTGCACGTTACTACAAGGAAATCCTTGTTATTGTTAGAAATAAAACGATACTGTCTATTTATTATATAAAATTATAATCCCAGGAAATTGAAAAGAAAGTCGATATACAAGTTTACGAAATCAATTTGTTCGCTGTAATTACCTCGAGTATGAAGTGTTATCCACTAATATTACGCTAAAATGTAGGAAGTATCTACGTGTCATCGAGTATATAACCAGAAATGGAGACGAAATGTCATTTAATTTATTTGAAAACTATTCTGCCAAATCATTACGGTGACAACTGCGCTCCGATTGGCTAGTCCGAATTCGAAACAATTGACGGGTGTTGTCAATTGTTTCACTTCAAGGTGACCGGTTTAACTTGAGCTTTGCTATAATGACGAAAATTTAAAAATTACATATTTAATATTTAATTATCGATGAAATGTGATTCCGTTTGTTTTATAATTACTTGGCTTGCTGTTTTTCCCACACCACTGAATGGTACATTGTTATATTATCTTTATTACAATAAATACAGAATATTGGTGGAGAATACGGTGGAGGGGCTCTGTAATACAGGTCTCATAGTACGGACGCCAGTCTCTCGCACAGACATAATGATGTAACATTAGTTAGATAACTCACTAATATATTCTAAGAACGCGAGAATATAATAAAGATAATATTTTTGGAATACACGGTGACGTACACACAGGTGAATTGTTAGCGCTGTACTTGGTACTTGGTACTTGGTGTAACGGGCTGGTGTCCGCAACTCGACGACAAGGCGCCTATTTTGGGTGTGGTGGGTGCAGGGTCCTACTCGTGCCACCCAAGCTCCTCCAGGAATCTCAGCAGCCTCCTCGGTTTGCTGAAGACTTCGGGGAGCGACCTTGGCACTCCAAGGTACTTTGCCCTGTAGTTGGCCACGCCGGAGCACTGTAGTAGGATGTGCGCAGCCGTTTCCTCCCCCTCCATGCACGCTCTGCATAGAGGGCTGTCTGTGATACCTAAATTGAAAAGGTGTTTATTGTATGGACCATGACCTGTTAGGGCGGCAGTTAGAGTGCGAAGCTCTTGCCTGTTGAGTTTAATTAATATTCGTGATAGACTGGCGTGATACATTGAGCGTTGACAGTGCTTCCCTCGCCTGTCTACAAACCGTAAGGGTGGTCCATGTATTGTTAGCGCTGTACTATTTCAGTTTTCTAATTTGTGATTTCAGTGCAAACGAGAGTTGATATTTAAAAGTGACATAATGCCCATTTGCCTGATGAGTTGCCAGGATGGATGGCCGTAAATGATAATGATGATCGTCGTCTCTATTTCTGGTTATATACTAGATGCTACGTGCACATATGGTTTATTCTCTTCTAAAATCAATGTTATCATTGACTTACAAATAAATGGACGACGGGTCTAATACAAAAACCACGAAAAAAATGTCCCAAGTCAACCTATTTAAACGTAGTGACATGTAAAGGAATATGAAAAAGCTAAAACGTTGAATTTAAATTGTAATGTCATCGCAGTACTGTCTAATTTTGCTTCCTTCGCTGTCAGTCGAACAAACGAAGACTAAAGCGTGAATGACGCTCTGTATACGATTTGAACGCCCTATAAGTTCGGATACTTTTTAGCGCGAACCCGACGTCCATATAATTGTACACAAGTGTGTGAAAATTAGTAGCGTTTTTATATTACCAAGTCTAGTGGTGAAAATTACAAGCGGCGCGGCTGCCGCGCCACAGACGCGCCACTGCAATGCTTCAAGAAAAAAACTATTGTTCTGTGTTTGAAGCTTAGAGGATAGAAAAAAATTGTCTAAGGTTTGAAGGCGCCCTTAATAAGAACCAGGCTTAACTTCAGGCTGCTGACAGATTGACTGCATCGTAACCGTGACCGTAATCAACTTCATGCGGCCGAGACAACAACTGTGTGTTAATGCATGAAGTCGTTATCAAGTTCATTCAGTCGAGGTGTAGGATAACGACTTCATGCATTAACTACAAACATATAGTCAATCTGTTAAATCTATGGTACTTACTTAATACACCTCTTCTTAAAAAGTCGATGGCTTAATTTATAGTGTTTACTTTTACTTTTTATTGCCTCTTCAGCCAGGTCAGTAAAATTCCAACACCACCAAAAAGTTTGTCTATCATTCAGTAATCAGAGCACGAAGGGCAAGACTTTCTTACTAAACTGCCTCAGTGGCCGAACGGTTACCATACTGCCATGCAGAGGTCCTGGATACGATTCCCAAGCCGGGAGAAATATGTGTATGGCCTACATTTATTTCTCTCGTGAGTTTGGGTGTAATTTGTTGTTGTCATGTGTATGCCATGGCACCCGCGACACAGAGTTTCCCTAGTGCGGGGCTATGTTGAGTGTGTGCGTTATTATTATTGTATTGTTACTAAGTTGATATTTTATACAGATCTTAAACCGCACGAACAACATCTTCGAGCTAGTGACTGTAGAAGCTGTGATGCACGAGAAGGCTCCTGACAAGAGAAACGAACTGCTCCGTCTGTCCGACGAGTCTGACGGACCCACGGAGAAGAATCTCAGGCTGAAAGGTAAGATTGTGAAAAATTCTTTTCGGCCTCGTTTTAATGGAGTCATAAATGTAGTTATTATTAGGGTATGAGTATGGTAAGGTGTTTGACAATGAGCCACCTAAATTTTCAAGAGCTGTAACTCTGGATCTATGGACATAAATGATATACTTTTTCTTAGAATTATAGGTAATTTTACTGGATATGATAAAGTAGTACTTCATTTTTGTACAATCAACCCTTTTAAAACCAAGTTTTAAAAAAAAATTAGAAATGGTTCACTGTGCACACCCCATAGTACTCATTAAACCGGGAGCTGGTACACAATGAACCAAAGGGGCAACAATGGACGAGATTATTACAATCATCAGCAAACTATTGTATTTTTATAAAAATTGTGAAATACAACGCGGTTTTTACTTAAATTATTGAAAATAAATGAGTTTTTGGGCATAGAACAGAATATGAAACATAATTGAAAAAAAACAAGCTTTTAAAAACATAATAATGAAATATAACGAAAAAAAAACCTTGAGTCTCACAAATTCAAAATAGAAGGTTTGTAACTCAGTCGCCCACTTACTTTGAGATTTTTTTTTTATTACCTAGCAGTCAACATTTTCATGTTTAATTTATCACTAAGTTGTCATCGGTTCATTGTATATACCTCAAAAGTGGTTTATTGTGCACCACCCTATACTTGTGAAATTTGAGATTATGTAGCAACGTGCCTAAAAACCCGTTGCTTATTTTAACTACCTCAATAAAAAGTGCATTGATGGCTAATCTATTAACATGCAGCTACTGCTTATACAAGTCAAACAAAACGAAATTCTTCTCGCGTGTTTTTTTTTTTTAGTTTTTTTAGTAAAAAATAAAAAAATACACGCTTCCTCTCATCTATGCCGCTAGCCCGCTGTTGACTAGGAAGAGAGAGGTGCCTATAGTAGAAGCTCACATGGTACAATTTGCACCAAATTCCAATATCGCGTTACTGAGTTGTTGGCGCGGTTCATAAAGTACACTTGGTTCACTGTCGAACACCCTACCCTAATTACGGTAAATGATTAAGTTTTATTAGGGTCAATTAAGGCCTGAGTATAATAAAACTAAGTAAACTCATATAAACTTTTAAAAAGAAGTATTGAGTATAGAGTGCTGGTTGAATCTTACTTTTTAGCAGAATTGAAACCAATAGAACTTGTGATATAACACGGGTTTATTCTTTGGAGGCTAAGCATAGGTGAACAGATTTTTTTTTCATAAGTTTTCACGCATTTATTTGGGTAGGCGCAGCATCCACCATACAGCCTCCTTATCTTTCCATCAAAACAAGGTGATTATACATTTTTGACAGATGAGTTAATTTCACACTATTTGGCATATGCTCTCGCAAATGCAGCTAGTTTAAAATTTAACGAATAATAAATACTAAAATAAACAAATTATCAATTAAATTGCAATTAAATACTAAAATAAACACTACAATATAACATTACTGTGTTCCGGTTTTGAAGGTTAAGGGTGCTGGTGAAATTGCAGGCACATGGGACTTGTCAACTTATGTCTCAGGCAGTCCTGGATTTATAAATAGGCCGTATAGGCCGCGGCCTAGGGGTGGCAGCGTCCTAGGGGCGGCAGATTTCAGTGGAGACAAAAGTCAAACATGTTCACTGGGTTTCTCACGGTTTTTTATACCTTAAATAAATCCCTATATTTCTATAGGGATTTATTCCATCGAAACCTATATTATCGCGTGAGTGATAGACGAGAGCAGCGCGGCGGGCGCACGGTAGTGGCTCAACGTCACAATCCCCACTTCCCGCCCGCACTCTCCGAGCCGTCTGCGCCCTAACTATGGTGATATTATAGATGATTTTTCTATTAAAAAGTCCCGTAAAAAATTGTATATCTTCTTTCTTTTTTACGCTCACTGTTAATGACTAATTCATTCGTTTTTTAACTTTAAGGCTTTCTTTACTACAAATGGAATATTATTATTTTAGAAAGGTATGTACATGGGGCGGCGGATATAGAGTGGCCTACACTCATAAAAAATATAAATCCGGCTCTGGTCTCAGGGTGATGGGCGCAGTGGCAGTGCCCCTCAAACCTTTGCGATTTAAAGCTCTGAGTGGCACTGCAACTGTTATGTCACTTGATGTTATAAAGAATATATATATGTATGGAATATATACTGTAATTACCAGGGGGCCTACTATAACCTTGCCAAAAACAATCTTATTTCAAATTTCAATGTAAGCTTAAAGTAAGCTTGTTATAAATATTACTCATATTCGTACCACGACAAACTTGTCTACCAAGAAATGTATTATTGCTAAAATGACTGAAAGAACGAATGCTTTCCTAATATTGTTTATTCCTTACTAAAATTCGGAAAGAAATAACGCTATATGAACTGTATAATGCCATCTCTTTCTTTTTCGGTGTTCAGAATTGTGTTATCGTAGTATGTTAAAGTACTTAATGTTATTAACTGCAAAAAAAAGTATGTAATAATGTAATCTATTAAAAGTACGTTGTTTCCAATTATTATTCCGCATTTTCATAAATAAAAATCACGTTGTGAATTCGGAACTTATAGTCTAGTGTCAACTGTTAGTTTCGCCAAGGAGAATATAGATGGCGCTGTCATAATTTTCCGAAATAAACGTCGCGTTTTTTTATTTTACGAGAAATTGTTTCCTATGTGCCATTAGATAAAAAATAAACAAAATATTGTAGAGATATATGTAAATAAATAAATTCAACTTAACTTTTAATCATTACAAATCAATATTAAGACAATAAAACTGAAAATAATATTGTTTCCATTGCATCCGTGTAACTATTTTAAGATTGCTAAATTTGATATAAGAGCAATATTATCGCGTCATGGTACGAACTGTGTGAATGAATAGTCACAAAGCTGCCGATAAAACATCATAGTTTTAACAATACAATAAGCTTACTTTAAGCGCGTTATTGTACGAAAAGTCAATGTAAAGTTAAAGTAATATTGTTTTAAGAGGTTGTGGTAGGCCCCCAGGAAGTGACACATAGTTACTATAGGTCAATGAATACATTGAATAAATTATGACCAGAATATAAAAAGTTTTAGATAGCTTTCAGAAAGTAAAAAAGAGCACGTTTAACTGAAGCTGAGAGCAGTTTAAACTTTCCAATGAACTTTTACCGCAAAGTTAGATTCAAAAGTTACGAGAAAAATTGTTCGAAATATGTTCTGTTCAACTAAGAAATAACTTTGAAAGAACAATAAATAGCTAACTTTTCACTTCAGTGATAAATACCTTACTACTACTAACGAAGTACATGGTGATAAAAGCTTTACAGTTCAGTTGTGCAGCTTTAAGAACTCTTAAGAGGGAGCATGCCAAAAAGTTTTGACGTTGGCTCCGCCCAAATATGTGAAACAAATATATGCCTGAAGTTCGCGTGACATGCGACAGGAGATGTTGAATTTTGCGCATTAAAAGTACCAAATTCGTTTTAGCGGAGTAACTCTAAAACTAAAGGGATTTAAAAAAAATCCGTAGTGACAGTTGTCGATCATGCATAAATATAATTAATTATCTAATTTTTGTCCTAATAACTTGTAGCATTTCGAGGATAAATTGAAAAAATGTGAAAATTAGAGGTCATTTCGTGATTTTTATCTATCGAGGAAACTGTATTGTTTTATGTTTCTGATTAATGTCTTTGCTTGAATATATCGTGTAGTTACTCATACAATATTTTATTTTTAACTGTAAAATGGATATACCCCTCTAAAAACAAATTGAAGATTAGAAATTTTTCGTCTGCTCCCTCTTAATTGAACTACGAGACACAAAGTACAACAAAAATATATAAAACTATATAAACATTAAACATCAGAGAAAAGGTTCATTTTACATCGTAAATTCTTTATCATAGTCTCCAGTGTCCTATTCCTAGAAAAAACAATAAATAAATAAAATAGGCTTTATTTATCATTCAAAATACCAAAACTGTTTACTCTTCTTGCTAGTGTTATGATATCTACGGCGTACCTATTCATTTTTTGAGGGACTTCAGAAATACTAAATATGAAATTGAAATAAATTCCAAAAGGTATTTCAATATCGTAGACTATTATGAAAAACATGAAACCGATAAATACGTTTCAATCAATCATGTCACATATGAGGGTAAAATATTTGCGCATAAAACCCATCTGTATCTCAAAAGGATAGACCCACGTCACTCAAGAAATTTAACACATAACATGAAATGTAATATTGCTAACGCAGTCAGGGGACAAACGTCTTCTAAGTTCTTTAAATTGAAACCTTGAAAACTTAATACTAACTTAAAAAAATTAAACTTTTAGTGCGCGCGAAAGAGTCTAATGAAATTTAGTAAAGCCATATTTCATAATTCAAAAATTTGACTTGTTGATAGATAGTATAATAATAAAAAAGCAATAAGAAAGGTCACTCTCCGCCAAACCTTATCTTTAGATACCACACCGGGCCTCATTGACGGAATGGTATCAAGGATGTGAGCGAGCCGTTCGCTAAGAACGACTTGAGAGCGGTTACACTGTAGTGATGCAGTCGCTAATATCTACTTCTACACACGCGCGCGATTTGAAGCAGTGATGCAACCGCGCGACTGCATCGATACAAACACGCGATTGCACCGCATCGTAATCGTTTATACATCCAAAGTGTAGCGATGCAATCGCGCTGTTATGAACGACCGTACGCGCCTAGCCGGTCAGAGCAAATATGAGTAGTGAATTAATTACGTAAATCACCTCACTTAGAATCTTAACTGAAAATCAGTGCTGGGAACGCATTGCGTTTTCCAGCAAATACTGAGTTTGTGACTTTTTTGTTAGCGCGGCTGGCACCACACAAAGTATCTCAATATTTAGTGTTCTTTTTATTGTTTGTGTGAATGGTTCCTGTTTTAATTTAATCAAATTTTTATATATACATTTTTCTTTTGTGCTGTTGTTTCGTAATTATTTATTTCTGTTTTACGTTGATTGTTTTGATCATGTTTTGTCTTAGTTCTGGTTTGTTTTGTTTTCTCTTTTTTTTTTGTCTTTTGTGGAGTCATTGTGGTAAACAAATAAACGTATTTTCTTTCTTTCTAAATAATTACGGGGCTCTGAGAGGCCGGGCGACGGCGCATTGATAGGGCCGGTACGGTATGGGAGACGCCGTGTTGATATAAGAGAATCTTATAAGAAGTATTCGATTTGTTGTTCAATTTTATTATTTGACTTGTAAGTCAGATATACATTGAGATAAGGTGTTCAAATAAGTTTTTATGGATATGTATACAGTCCACTTTCAATAAACTCGAAAATTACGAAGTTGTACGGAGTTTCATTGAAGAAGAAACCAACACGCGCGTTTGCATCGCTTCTAGAAGTCGCCGTGTATAACCACTCTTAATGTTTAAACAGTTTAAAGCTATTAATTACGAACGTACGTTACAATAAGATCGCGAATTGTACCATGTACGGCTGTAACCAGTAATTGATTGATTTCATATTGTTTTGCGCCATTTCTGAGTTACTTTTTTGTCTAATTTGGGTGCGTTCGTAAACTATTTAGGATTTACAATAACAAATATAGTTTAATTTCTTTAAAAGTTACAAAAATTGCTTTAAAAACAATAATCACTTACATATTTACGAGAGAAGATCAAAAGTGGCAACACTACATAATATCCATTCGCTGTCATTGTCTCATGTTGTATGCAAAACTACAAAACAGCGGAATAACAGGTTTTCTGACAACAGTTTACAGTTATTGAAAAATCGCATAAGAGTGTAATTCATTATTGAAATACAGTCACTTTTGTCATATTTACGCGTTATCAATTTGCAATAACAAGTCTAGCTGCCGCGTCCCTATTGCACCACTGCAGGGCTTCTCGCGTCTAATTTGAAGGTACCCTTAACCTTGTATGATGAACGAATGTCCATAACTTTCTAAGGTTGTAATATTTTTGTTTTTAATTAATATCTTGATTTTTTACTACTATGATATTCATTCGTAAGATCTACTGGCTTGATCCGGAGCTCATTTAGCTCGAACCGTAGCCACGTCGAGAGCACTATATCATTCTGACCTAATCCTAGTTAGGTGCCTCGTTGGATACCCTTTTCCATTAAACATTGCCCTTTGTACAAATTACGTATGTATTTAATTAATGCCCATGCTTCACAGATATTCTCAACGTCTATTGAATTTTGACTACAAATATATCTTTAATCTCATGGGAAGACATTAAGTATTAAAATGGTTTTGTAATCGTAAACCAAAGAGCTATGAATCTCCATCCAGTTCGTAAGCCTGTCAAGTACATTTCTCCCGACGTCTCGGTTCTTAGATTTCTGACGTTTTACTGCAAAGGTTTTAATATTTTGTTTTATATCCTCAATTCATCCTAATTCGTTCTAAGTCATTTGAATAGAAGTTCGAGTATTCTGTATTCATTCTAATAGTGAACATACCAAATATGACGAAAACCATTTTTGTCTTTGCGATTAATAATTAGAACACAAATATTTTATTGTTGAATTTAGTCTCAAAAATTTAGTCCAAAATTCTAACACACGCTTACGTTTCAGGCATGGCTCCAAAAGAGCGCTATGCTTACGATGGAAGACGCTTACCTGACCATATTAACTTACATCTAAAAGGTAGTCATTAGTTGAACAAAAGCACTATAGATTTAGTCTACCATCCGACCATTCTATGACTAGAAGAAATGTTACTATAGATTTCTGCACAACTACTTTTATTATGCACATATATAGTTTCCAGCACTTGAAAACGATTCTTGGATATACTTAGTTACTTAGATATTTACTATGTAAATATATCCCTACCTGTGGGGTTATATACAAGCACTTTAAAGAGTTTAATGTACAGCACCTATTCATATTTACACCGTTTTGTTTTTCATTTCAAAATAAAGCATTTACTTTAATCACAGTGTGAATTGATTTATAATTAATTATTTTCTTATGATGCCTATCCACTACATTTTAATTCGATTTTACGCCTCAATAAAACTAGAAGGCGATTTTCATGCTATGATGCATCGTCTAAGGACCAAAATGACGAATCACAAAAAATACACTCACCACTCTTTGATTTACTTTAGCTATAATAAAGTAGCTGTGGTAAATTGTTTTCATTAGATATCGGTCAGATCTACAAACAGTTTTAACATAATAATTTCAAATGCTACGCTTAGTAATGGTCCCTTGCTGGGCGCCAAAATTCTGCCTATGCATATTGTTATGGTCAACTAATAAAGAAAAATCTATAAATACGTTAGGTTAGTTAGAATCTCAGGGTCGCGACCGGCTAAAGTAGGGGTTCTGCTCGTCCACTTAAACATTCCAGTGATTCCGGGAAGGCGGATTGTGTGGTGGTCATTCGTAGGTGTACCGATCCCACGGAAGGGACGGAGAGGTCCACAAGCCTGAAAGGGCAACGTGCATAGGAAACATCGATTGTGTTCCGTAGGGGATCCCGATGCATCCCTACATCTATGAGAACCACCGTGGGGGTTTTAATGGGTAAAAATCTCACATAGCCCGATTCCACCCTCCCTTCCCTTCCTTCCGAACCTTCGAAAGATACCCGACCTGTAGGGCTAGCACGACGGGACGCGACTTGCGCGAGACCGACATAAAGCGCGAGATCTCTATGCAAGAATAGCAGATGTCGCGCTTTATGTCCCTCGCTCAAGTCGTGCCCTGTAGTGCTAGCCCTACAGGTCGGGTATCTTTCGAAGGTTCCCCAACCTCGCATACAATAAAAGGTTAGGGTATCTTTTTTTAGTCCATGCGAATACCAATCCACAGACGCTAGGATTGTTTTTTTTTTTTAAGTATTATGCATTTCCACGTACGTTCAGTCGTTCAAAAAATCATCTACATTTTGTCATTAAGTACTTAGAAATTGCTAACTGTGTTAACATTAAACAGGTCAAATGATCTACATGGACAACTGGCGCATGATGATGTACCTGGGAACACCAGTGATGCCCGATCTCTCCGCTCTGGTTTCCACCGGTCTCTACATCAACGATTTGTCAATGCATGATTTTAGTAGGTAAGCCGTTTCTAACACCGAAAGTAGCTCAATGAGTCGCATAAGAGGAAAATGTTAATAATAATAATTTATTTCTCTCAAAATACAAGGTAAATTGTGTAAATACTTACTGCCTAGTCTAGTCTACTGTCTAGTGCCTGACATAGGCATAAAAATGCCTGTATTACAGGTCACCAGGTCCCCGTTCTTATATTTATGTTAAAATCAATTTTACATAATAATTTTGCCTAATAAGGCAGGTACAGTAAATCAACAGTAAAATGGATTTAAATGCATTGTGATCAATTAATTACTTTAAATTTGCAAAATTAAATAAAATAAAATTGCTACAAATTTTTGGAAAGAATGGAAATTGAAATACAAGTTCATAAAAGAAAATATCAAAAATAAATAAATTTGTATGTGTATATGGGTAAAACAGAAGTTGGGCTTGTGTGCTTGCGTGTAATGTGGTATTTGTATTTGGATGGGTAAATGTATGAGCAATACTTTAATTATAACGCGGGATGCAAAAGGTTTTCAGTCTTGTCATAGTCCAAGAAGTTACCACTGCTCGCTTACGGCTGGTTCTTGGTAGGTGATATAGTGTTGTGTTGTTATTGATTTTATTATATAATCCACTGCCAAGATTGCAATAAAACCTCTGGGCAAGACTTAGACGGCAAGGCTTGTTGGCACAGACGTCACCTTTCCTTCGTTTACCAACTAGATTAAAAAGGTTTACTATTTAGATAGAGAGAGTTATAAGAATCCGCTACTGTCGCAAGCAATAATCGACATAAGATTGTCGTATCAAAATCTTTACGAACATGCATGAAATAAAATCTCGCCTACGATTATGTGGTAAGAGATTCACAAGTATTTATACAGCAATCGAACAATAAGTCTAGGGGTTTGCTAATCGCAATGCAAGACTGCATTTCTGTAGTCAGGTATTTAATACCTAATGGTACACATAGCTACTCTAATTTGTAGTGATAATAAACAAATCAACTAGATTTATGAGGATGTTGAACAAATTCTGAAAGTAGACCCACACACGCACACACACACAGTCGCTTCGCGCTATCTATCCATACTAGGAAGCGTTAATTTATAAGTTAGTTTATAACACACAGTACCATCTCTTGACACGCATGTTTGTCAGAGTACAGAAAATCATTTTATCTCTTGATTAATATTTCAATAATGTATGGTCTCACCATACATACTTAAGTACAAATCTGCTCACGCGGCAACCTACTTAGGCCGCGCGCAGCTCTTTGTTTTATATGACTAATTAATTTTAATTTTAACTCAGTACGTCACCAACTGTCCACAGAGACACTACTTAAGGAAAGATTTGCCACCTAATACTTGTAACTTATTACGAAAATATACTTTGAACTTTCAAGCAATCTTTCTCTTCGTGCTACTCTACTACTACTTACAACTAACTTACAACTACAGTGCATGTATGGACTATACCTGGGCCATACAAATAATATTACAAGGAAAAAACTGACTTCTCTTATTTTTTATTAAAAACGAATTATCTGATATCCACGACCATTTACATAACATAAACTACTTCCAGTCTGTTGATCAGCGCCATCTAAATACCAGACCGAGTTTTGACCTTTTTCACAGTAACTATTTGTAGTATGGAGATTGGCAGTCCTCTTGAGTAAATGTATATAGTTACGAGTTCTCGTCTTGCATAGACATTTTCTCGTATGATATTTTTTTCGCACTCGACGAATAACTACGATATTGTTCTGTTTACACCATTGACTTACAATTATATGGACGTCGGGTCCGCGCTAAAAAGTGTCCGAACTTATAGGGTGTTAAAATCGTATACAGAGCGTCACTCACGCTTTAGTCTTCGTTTGTTCGACTGACAGCGAAGCAAGCAAAATTAGACAGTCTGCGATGACATTACAATTTAAATTCAACGTTTTAGCTTTTTCATATTCCTTTACATGTCACTACGTTTAAATAGGTTGACTTGGGACATTTTTTTCGTGGTTTTTGTATTAGACCTGTCGTCCATTTATTTGTAAGTCAATGGTTTACACGGATATATTTTAATAGTCAATGGCGAGGCGATTGTTGTCCGCGTATAAGGGCGATAGTCGCAAATGTTTACATGAAGAAACTTTTTGTATTCTTTCATTCATTGTGTAATAGTGATAAACAAGGTATTGAAGGCGTAGTTTCCTTTATTAACCGACTTTACAAAAGGAGGAGGTTCTCAATTCAAATGCATGTTCTGTATGTATGTAACGCAATTACTCCAACAATTGTGAACCGATTTTGAGAATTCTTTTTTATGTTCGATAGAGGGTACCTCAATAGTGGTTCCATTTAAATGTGAAGAAAATATTCCACCTCTAAGGGTGACAAAGTAGGGGATGAATCCGGTTTCGCGCATTTACCGTAACCGATTTTAATAAAACTTGGCAAATAGATGTAATTATTATTAACCACTCGTTAGTATTAACTGCCTCGGTGGCCATGTTTTATATTTACCATGCTGGTCTGCTACTCAGAGGTTCGATTCCCGGGCCAGGTGAAATATTTGGTTGGCCTACATTTATTTCTCTAGTGAGTTTGGGTGTAATTTGTAGTGTGCTATATATGTGTCCATGGCACCCGCGGCCCAGGGTTTCCCTAGTGCGGGGCTATGAATGTGTGCGTTATTATTATAAATCCACGAACTTTTGAGGTCGGTTTTTTATTGGAAAAGTTATTAGATAAACCAGTCTGAACACAAACCCACCAGCTGTCAGTCTGCATCCATCTATAAAAGCAGGCCGGCATCAAAAAAGGTCACAATACTTATGAACTAGAACATACAAGAACTGTTTACATCATTGATCTACAAAGACATATTGCTTAATAAATTCAATGTGTGATGTAAAATAGGAATAAATTTTGTAACTACTCAGCAATTCAGCCGCGCGCTCTGAGATGAGTCTCTGATCTATAAGGCATTACAATACACACTATAGGATATAACTTGGTATTTGGTACTTGGTGCAACGGCCTGGTGTCCGCAACTCGACGACAAAGCGCCTATTTTGCGTGTGGGATAGGATAGGACAGGATAGGATATAAATGCTTTACATTTTGAGCTGAAACTTAAAAAGTGATACATGTAGCACAGCTCATAACGGGTTCCAAATTATATTGTATTATGCACCACACAAATTGTTTTCGGGAAGTGAGCGGAATACAGCCATCTTTGTTAGAACTAGAACAATAGAGAATAAATCGTGAAACAATTTCATCTGCTACTCTGTGAATTTATGAGATAACAAGTTGAAATAAATGTAACAATGTAATTGTATCTGACACTTCAATATTTCTTACTGGCTTTGGCCAGGAACCTTTACGTGGGGCCTGACCAAATAACGTACCTAAGGGTGCGTACAGATCTGGAAAATGCGCCACAAGTGCGCCTGTTTGCGAAAGGCTCGCGTGCTGCACACGTGCGTTACGTTGTGCGATCTGTTCTTACGTGTATTTAACTGCACGCATGCAGCACGCGCGCAGCGCACGTGCAGCGCACATGCAGCGCGTTCGCGGCACATTCGCCAGATCTGTAAGCACCCTTACATTCGCGGCGAACTTACGTTACGGCATTAGCCGAATGACATTTGTCATTGCTCGTTTCGAACTCTGCTCTCGGCCGTGCACAGTAGTCATGATTCTTCTTCTATGATTTCTTTCAATTTATGGTTTACTCCAAAAGAAAAAAAAACATTATCGGATTTGAAACTTGTACGAAAGCAAAAACATAAGAAACATAATTTACTGTTGATAAATATACTGAAAAATTAAATGGCTTGCGACGACGACAACGTTCCGAGCTGTATGACCCTAAAATTGAGGCGTAAAGCGCTTATTACATACCTGTTTTCAAGGACCCTGCATGAAGAGCGGGTGTGGCCCCCAGATAGGACGCCGCTCTTATTAAGTTATTTATAAGTCGCCCAAAACTGGGACCCTAACTCCCTAATCTTTATTACACCTATCTAAGTTAAAGTTAGAGCGTTTGCACACTACGTCCGATACGCATCAGCGGGTCTACTCCCGATCTCCGTCCGACATCCGGCCGAAACAATTACTGTCAAATAAGTAATATTCGACAAAATTAAAAGACAAGTATCAAGAATGAAGCTTCATTCGCATCACGCGTCTTTTCATTTGGAGATACATTTCGCTGGAATGCTCCAGTCAGTCTCCGCCTTAATGAAAAAAGATGGAACCGAATCTCGAAAACAATGTAGTACTAAATTTAGGCATACTGGCAAGAAAATTCGCAAAATCATTTTGCAGCCAGGTGGATGTGTATTCTAGATATGGCACCTCCAGTGAAACACAAACTTACTTTAAAATTTGTGGAAATTACTGAATAATATCAATAATTAACAACAAACTAGTGGAATATTTTCACATTCTAGGAGACCCAAGGGTTGGCAACTACTTTGTCCAACGCATTAGCACAGTTATCTTTTTCACAGTTAAAGTAGCTTACCATCGGGTGCACGGTTGGTTCGTCCCATCCCTTGATGAAAAAAATACACTCAAATTGAGAATCTCCTCCTTTCTTGAAGTCGGTTAAAAATAAACATAACTTAATAATACTAAACCATTTTGAAAATACAGTTTTCTCGAAACAGCAGAGACACATAATACATTCCTTCGTTTTTCCATAGAGGGCCCAATGCTTATTGAAATAAATATTACATAGGTTTCAAGATCTCTTGAAATGTGTTCAATAGACCTAAAAATAAAACTTTTAACGATTTTTTTCTTTTTAAATTTTACAAATTAAAGTCTATGTTTCACCGGAGATGCGTTATTATTTGTGTGTCTCGATTTGGGTAGTCCCATTTGTCATTGTCTACAAAAAATTATCAGAGTTTGTTCAGACTCCACTGCTTACCTGAACCTTTTGGACCGTGATAGATTTATATTTAACTTTTCCTGCCTTCATAAAGATTAGGGTTACATCCTACTGTTCAAAATTCAAATTCAAATTCAAAATAATCTTTATTTCATAGTTAAGCATTATTACACTTGAAATCGTCACAATGGTTAAACTCTACGGCTCATTCGTAAGGCAGATTCCCCTGAGAAGAATGAGCAAGAAACTCTAGGGGTTGCTCTTTGTAAATAACATTTATAATTTTTTTATTTTATTTTAAACATCAGAGAACGAGACTACCTCCATGAGCTAAACGGGTTACTACCACGGATTTTTGTCATCCAAATACGCATAAGTTGTATAATAACCTTTAGTATAAAGTTTTTGTTTCACTATAGTTTTAAACCTCGTGAAAGGCGAATTTTGTATATCAACCGGAATCTTGTTATAGAAGCGTATCCATTGCCCCTTAAATGATTTTTTGACTTTGTGAAGACGACTATCAAGAAAAGCTAGTTTATTTCTATTCCTCGTATTAATGTTATGTCTGTCACTATTTTCCATAAAGTAATTACTATTCCTTTTAACATAAATTACATTTTCATAAATGTACTGTGAGGCTAGTGTAAGAATGTTAATTTCCTTAAACTTATCTCTCAAAGATACTTTGGGGCCCAGATTGTAAATTGCCCTAACTGCACGTTTCTGCAGGACAAAGATTCTATTGATATCGGCGGCATTACCCCAAAGCAAAATGCCATATGTCATTAAACTGTGAAAGTAGCTGAAGTAAACCAACCTAGCGGTTTCGACGTCTGAAAGTTTCCTTATTTTTTTAATCGCGTACACTGCAGAGCCGAGCCGTTTTGATAACTTACTTATATGTGAACCCCATTGCAATTTAGCATCTAACGTTATACCTAGAAATACAACTGTATCCACAAGATTCAATTTCTCGTTTCTAACTACAATGTTTGTAACCGTCTCTCTAACATTGGGTAATGTAAATTTCACACAATTTGTTTTTTCTCATTAAGAAGTAGGTTATTAACAGCAAACCAATCAACTACTTTCCGTTGTGGTGGCCACAGAATATCAGCGCCGGTCTGTTTCTCCGTGAGCAAACTGGCACATGCTGAGTGGTGACCATTTTGGTTCCTTATTTTTGTAGTTGTAAAGTTGTAAATTGTCAATGTAATGTAGACCAAATAAATATATTTTCTTTCTTTTCTTTCTTTACTTTAGATATAGCATTGCTCAGATCATCGTAGGAACATTGGTGCTTTTTAACTTTAAATAATAAGGAAGTATCATCAGTAAACAATAATATCTCATGTTTTATATCCTCCACAAGGCTAGGTAAGTCATTAATATAAACTAAAAACAAAAATGGGCCTAGAATTGAACCTTGAGGAACACCCACGCTAATTGCAGACCCTGATGATCTCGTATCGTTAACATCGACCCTCTGTACCCTACCACGCAAATACGATTTAAGAAGGTCGAGATCACGTCCCGCGACACTGTTATGTGGGGTCGTTGCCTAACAAGGAAATAAACGGATTCACCTAAATCTAGATACTTGTCCTTTTTCTGAACCATAATTAAAAAAGCTCTAGTATTATATAAATATTATGACGTATTCTAAGCAGTATAACAAATGTTATAATAGAATTTTTGTTTGACACATTTCGAAACAGTCCCTGTACTGTCGTTCTCGGTCCGAAACAACTACTATCAAATAGTAATATTCGACCAGTTGATAGACGCATGATGAGAATGAAGCTTCATACTTGACATTGTTTTTTTATTTGCTTGAGTATTACTTATTTGACAGTAATGGTTACGGACGGATGTCCTTGGTTAATCATGAACTTCCGCAGTCGACGTAAACGTCCAGTTTATATTCGATCTTTGTATTAATAATTATAACAATTCAGTGGAGTAATTACAATTGTTGGTGTTCTGGTTCAGGTGGACTAAGCGATGGATGAGTCACTCCTATAACGAGACGAGAAGTTACTCCTATAACGAGTCAACTCGAGGTAGTTTTCATGAACTCGAGCTAACTCGGTTGACCCGCCCCGCCCGCCGCCGACCCGAATACTGCATTCATACAACGTGTCGATGACCTTCAGGGCTATATACTCGATGCCTTCAGAGCAGGCTCGAGTCGCGAGCAATGGGCGAGTCGTGTTATTTAACTCAAGTTACTCCTATAACGAGTCAACTCGAGTTACTTTTTCATGAAGTCGAGCTAACTCGGTTGACCCGCCCCGTCCGCCGCCGAACCGAATACTGCATTCATACAACGCGTCGGTGACCTTCAGAGCACGCTCGAATCGCGAGCGATGGGCGAGCCGTGTTATTTAACTCGAGTTACTCCCACAACGAGTCAACTCGAGCTAGCTCGGTCGGTTCGCGGTCGGCCAGCCAATCGTGTCCAACTCAGCGAATAATCGGTTCGAGTTCTACTCGCGACCCGCGGTTGCGATGTCAAACACCGAGTCGAGTTAACTCGATTTGCAACTCGAGTTAGCAGTCAAGTCAACTCGAGTTGAAACAAATACAACTCGTGCCATCGCTAGGTGGATGGCAGATAATCAAGATCTTGCTCTTCTTAGGGATCGGAATGAAACACTTATTCACTGCTCAGAAAACAACTTCGTTTATTGCTCGATCTGTTCCTACTTAAGTACTAAAGGTAGTCTCTCAACTAGTAAGTGTATTAGCGAGTAGGTATATGGTATTGGTGCGGGGCGCAAGATGCACTCCCGTTCGCTGCTCGGTGTCCGTAACAACAATCAATATTAAAATTTATAAAACGACATTTCCTGTCAATTTCTGATAGCTATAAAGGACCTGGTTGAGTGTAAAAAAACTCATAGATTTCTCACCGTCATTCGTTAAGTAGTTTAATTAATAAGTCAGAGTTTCACTGTAGTTTTCTATTAAAAATACGTGTTTGTGTTGTACGCGGAGCAAATCACAAACATTGCCTCCTTGTTCAGTCTTACTGTAGCAAAATTTACAAACAATATTCTTTACAGGGATCTAATGTTAGCCGGTACTCAACAATCTGTGGAGCTAAAGCTAGCCCTAGACCAAGAGCAACAGAAAAGCAAGAAACTCGAAGAATCAATGAGGAAACTTGACGAGGAGATGAAAAGAACTGATGAGCTATTGTACCAGATGATACCGAAGCAGGTCGCCGATCGTCTTAGGAATGGAGAGAACCCGATTGATACTTGTGAGGTGAGTAAGTTGCCTAATCTTTGTATTTCCATTAACAGGTAAATTATTTCCTGGTATTTAGTTATTTTCATAAACCTTTTTAATGATACAAAGCGACACGCCTGTCCATAACAGTTGCAGTGCCACTCAGAACTTTAAATCGCAAAGATCGAACACACAGAAAAATTTTCGTCGATCTTGTCGGACTCGAGCCCACGCCCATGCTACACCGTAGCATTGCTCTGACCATCTGCGCCAGTTATATAGTTATAATTTTATGCTCTGTAGTATCAACTTAATGTGTGTCTATCGGTTAGGATGTGTCGTGCCGCCCAACAGGTGTCCTGTAAAAGTTCGCATATGCAAAGTAACATTAGTTATTTAAATTTAAAAAAAAACATATATAAATGATGCAATTATATCATTTGGTACCTGTCTATTATTATATGTGTTATACATTTCATAATTATACCAAACTAGTGGAGTAATTTCACATAAAAATAATTGAATGTAATAATAATAATAATAAATATCTTTATTTATCTCGACAACACAATACAAAGAAACGTAAAAAAAATCAATAAATGATCTTACACGAGCAGACATAACATAGGTATTTTTAAACATTTAAACAACATTCAACGTCAAATGAAAATGTAGCCAAGTCTGTGTTTACGTTACCTTAAAAGTATATTTACACAAAATATTTACCGAAGCCTATCCGTTTGATCAAGAGTCGACTTGCTCAACAATTTGTTGCACACCCTAAATGTTAAACGAATACTAAGCGCCCGTCCAGATGGCAAGCGTTAGAGCGATGCCACACGATGCGTTGTATAGTGACACTACGTTGTTACTTTACTGCATATTACTTACTACGAATTACTCGTTAAAACTAAGATCGCTGGTTCCACCATCTAAGTGGGGACATGAGTACTTGAAAATCTCACTGAACCCACTAGTGGAACCAATGGGTCCAAAAGTCCAATAGGAAATACGCGTAGGCCCGTGGATTAAATGCCTTTTTATCCATATATAAGCGTAAGGTGTTCGTAAATTTTGATTACCGGTGTCTATGTGAACGCCTACAGCTACAATTCGTATAATTGTAAGCGCACGTTAGCATAACGCGCTCTATACGCGCGTCTAAAAGCGACGCCATTTTAGCGTGCTAAGTTGCTTGCACCGTTCCAACGCACTTTGCGGCGTGTCGTTCGGATTAATATGTATGTATCCGGTTTTTGGAAAATGTCAAAATGACAGATAATAAGAAGATGTCTACCGGTATAACGTTGTTGCATGTGCGAGCAAATAAAAAAGTGATTTAAAAGCAGTAAAAGCGTGCATTTTATTCTAGAAAAGTGTTTTACGACACACCAAAAGTACAACATCGCTGTGTCACAACACGCATCGTATGGCATCGCTCTAACGCTTGTCATTTGGACTGATCCTAACAAAACGCAAATTTTGTGTTTATATTAAATTTACATGTATATGTGGTGCGTTTAATGTTTGAACAGCCTCGTTTATTTGAAAACCTGTGTTTTAGATAAGCACTGTGAATGCCAAGTGTGAAGCTTCATTCGCATCAAACGTCTTTTAAATTAGTCGTGTATCACTTATTTGACAGTCATTGTTGCGGACGGATGTCGAATGGAGCACGGGAGTAAACCCACAGGCACAGATTATTTAATAGTTCCCCAGGCTAGAAGAAACCAGCAAATTTTGATAATAAAGTGATTAATTTATCCTTCAGTTAACTGAATGAATGTTAAATATACGTTGCCTTAAAATTGCCTAATTCTAGTAACAATAATATGTCAAGAGAATGACGATAACATACCTAGTAGTAGTTGCAAAAATATCAGTGTGTATTTGTTAATAAAATGAAATCACCAACGAAGATAATATCACGAAAGGTTGAAGATATCAAGATATTGTGTTATTACTATGTGTCGGGTTGTAAAATTCTAATCCACCCGCCATTTTGTTACCTAAACCTTCTTTTGTTAAGTAAGTAACGAAGATTCAGGATGTGTCCTGTCAGATTGAAAAGTTTCTGCGTGTTCGTTCTTTGTATTAATAATTATAATAAACTAGGGACACATTTCACAAAAAGAAAATGATTTAATATCAGTATTTCCTGCGTTATTAGCCTTCACGCGGACGCTCTTTCCGTTATAATAAAAACGAACGTGAGCATTCGCGCGCGAAAGAACGTTAGCTTAAAAAAATCAAACAGGTGACCGCGTACGATTGCGCGTGCAGCCTGTACGCTCATGATCACGCGCGATGGAGTGACTGTGTACAGGGGACTAATATTATAATTTATAAAGCGACATCTCTTGTCAAGCTGTGGTAACTGTAAAGGCACCTGGTTGAGTGAAGAAAATCTTTGAATCTAAATAAATCCGTTAAATAAAACCGGTAAACCCATTGACTTACAAATAAATGGACGACGGGTCTAATACAAAAACCACGAAAAAAATGTCCCAAGTCAACCTATTTAAACGTAGTGACATGTCAAGGAACATGAAAAAGCTAAAACGTTGAATTTAAATTGTAATGTCATCGCAGTACTGTCTAATTTTGCTTGCTTCGCTGTCAGTCGAACAAACGAAGACTAGAGCATTAATGACGCTCTGTATACGATTTTAACGCCCTATAAGTTCAGACACTTTTTAGCGCGGACCCGACGTCCATATAATTGTAAGTCAATGGGTAAACCGATAAAAATGAAAAAATGGTCCACTAGCTTGGTATTATCTTTGTAAAAGATCGAACAAACACAATGAAAAATTATTTTCACGAGTGTTCAATCAGTAGCAGTAGAGCTCCTTGGAAAAGAGTTCGTCCATGGAAGTACTAGCACCTTATTTATTTCTTCCGCGTTCCAGTTTTGAAGGATAAGTGTGCTGGTGAAATTATAGGCACTATGGACTTGTCAACTTTTTTTAGTAGCTGTAGAGCTCCTAGTGAAAGAGTTCGTTCCAGGGAAGTACTGGCACCTTACCTATTTCTGCCGCCAAACAGTAATTTAACCGTTACTGTGTTCCGATTTTGAAGGGTAAGTAAGGGTGCTGGGGATGTTATAGGCACATAGGACTTGTCAACTTAGGTATGTGTCAGGGTGGCGGGCCCAGTGGCAGTGCCCCTCAGATCTTTACAATTTAAAGCTCTGAATGACACTGCAACTGTTATAGACAGGCGTGTCGCTTAAAACCAGGCGTACGACTATTATCATAAAAAAATCATTGTATCTATAATTAATTGACACCATCATCATAATCAGTTGCATTGTACGTTTGGCATTAAATCGGCAACCGTTGATGGTGAGACTCTATACAACTTGACCCGAACAAACTGGTTCGTGTTCGGAGGCAAAAAGATCAGCTGAGCGATAATAATATGCGGTAAGGATTTAATGTGGCAGCTTACGGACTTTTCTCATACAGGTTGAAACAGTAATTGTGTAATTTTTTGAAAAGTGCTTTTTACATGTGTTGTCGTTCTTTGACGAATGACTTCATTAGGAACTTGATCCATCAGAGGAAAATCTTATGTATTTAATATATAAAAATCATGGCATGTCACTCCATTCTGGCATCCTAAAGTTGAAAAGAAGAAGAAAATCTATTTTTAACCGACTTCAAAAAAGGTGAAGGTTCTTAATTCGCCTGTATTTTTGGGTATATTTTACGCGATCATTACGGCCGATTTGTGAGCCAACTTTGATGATTATTTTTTTCGTAGGAAAGTGGGTACCTCAGTATTGGTCCCATTTGAATTTGAAGAAAACATTCCTCCTCTGAGGGTGGCAAACTAGGGGATGAATCCGGTTTCGCGCACTTACCGTTATCCGATTTCAATAGAACTTGTCAAATAGATGTAATTCCAATAAAAAGCCGTTTAAGCAAATTTTTGAGGTCGCTTTTTTTAAAGAAAATGTTATAAGTTATGTTGACAGCAATATCGGGAAAAAATGAACTTTATAATTTATAAATTTTGGTATAAACGCAACGGAATATCCCAACACTAGTGACAGCAAAAGCTTTTGTCTTCAGTTAAAATAATGGCTATTTAGGTATTATTGTTCTACCTGTATAACTCAGGCGATTATTGGTTAGAAAGTTTGCAGTTTATCGGCAAATATAGTCCGCTTTCACTTTGTATATTATGTTTGAAGCGGACAGGACGGTATAATAAAAGTTTGCAGAGGATTTGAAAATGGTCCATTAGCGTTAATAAACGTTAGTATCAAACAATAAATAATAATAGATACGTTCTAAGGCGCATAATTCAACTTCATCAGCTTACACGCATCCACTGCTGGACATAAGCCTCCCCTAGAGCACGCCAACTTTCCCGGTGTTGTGCCGCCCGCATCCAGCCGCTGATTTAACTAAAGCTTACTGATTTTGCGACCTATATCGGTCACTTTAATGCTCTGACGTATGACCTCGTTAGGAATTCGGTCCATCACAGAAACCCCAAGCATAACTCGCTCCATCTCACGCTGAGCGACCTAGAATTTGTGAACGAGGCCTGTTGTCTCTGCTGCGTAGGACATAACTGGTAGAACACATTGGTTATATGTCTTAGTTTTAGGCTTTGTGATTTGTGAACGAGGCCTGTTGTCTCTGCTGCGTAGGACATAACTGGTAGAACACATTGGTTATATGTCTTAGTTTTAGGCTTTGTGGGATTGGCTACCTGAAGATTTTTTTATTATTATTTATTTATTTATATATATAAGGTACAACTGTCTTAATATAGTCATAGTTCTACAAAACTGTATATACAGTTTGACTGTAGATGTGGCTAAGCTTCCCAAATGCCGCCCAGGACAAACGAATTCTCCTGTCGGCTTCCTTCTCGAAGTTGTGCTTGCCAAGCTGGATATTTTGGCCAAGGTAGACGTAATTGTGCACAACCTCAAGAGCAGTCCTGGCGGCAGTTGTGCGTTGAACATAACTTTCGTTTTGTACGCCACATAATTAATAACATCTATTTAACTGCAAGCATGCAGCACGCGTGCAGCGCGCATGCAGCGCTTTCGCGGCGCATTCGCCTGATCTATACGCACCCTTAGTGACGGGACGAACGAGCCATGCACCTGGTGGTAAGCGTTACGCCTGTTCGTAACAGTTTTAGAGCTTTAAATCGCAAAGGTCTGAGGGGTACTGACACTGCGCCTGTCACCCTAAGACATAATTGTCCCATGTGCCTGTAGTTTCACCAGTATCCTTCTCCTTCAAATCCGAAACTTAGTAGTGCGAACATTATTGCTCGGCGGTAGAAAAGAAAAAAGTCTACATTATTATAGATGCCTTATTATGGAAAGGAGAAAAAGTCTACCTTATCGTGCAAAAAAAAATTGTTTTTATGATTAAGACTTAAATTATTATTTTTGGATTATTCTTATATAGGTACTCTAAAGAAGAGAGTCAGAATAGCAGCTTTTTAATTATTTTTGTTTATGCTTATAGAGCACTAATGTTCAGAATATTGCTTTATATCTCGTAAATTTTGACGATTTGTATTAAACCATAGGTCAAAGGTCATCAGACCATGGTGACATGGTAACATGGTGATTTTTGTCAACGATTATTACGGGTCACTCAGCACTACCAATCCTTTTAGGTATATGTTTTTGCAACTCTCTTTTTGTTCTAACCTGTTAACTAACCCGGTGGCCGAACGATCACCATGCTTGTCTGCCACGCAGAGGTCCCTGGTTCGAGAGAAATAATTGTAATGGCCTTACCTTTTTTCTCGTGACTTTCGGTGTAATTTGTGGTTGTTTATGTATGAGTCCATGTCAGCCGCGATGTAGGGCTAGTCCGTCGGCCTTCGGCGAGTATCGCACACTGATTGACAAATCCACGATGGCAAATATAATTATGCCATCGTAGTACGAGGCTATGACTGTGTACCTTATTAATCAATTGTTTTGTATCACCTACAACTTTTAAGCATGTCTGAGTGAAATGCCACTTAAAATAAGTGTATATTAAAACGTCACCATCCACTGTATGTCCGCTATGTAAATGACGTCAGGTACAATTTTCAACAAAGAATTTTGACACATTATCTTTAGTTGCGGCCCATCGTAACTGAACACTAAATATGCGGACCTTTTTCCTTTTTACAAGGTCTAATGGACTTATTTGTTGGAAACTTGAGACGGGTGCTGAATACGAGTCTTCTATAAGAATTGAGCATTAGATCGGAATGGTATTCAATTTCAACGAAAGGTTTTAGCCGTTTATTTATTTGTTATACGGACAACATAACAGATAACAATCAAATTGCATTATTAAGAGTTAAATATGATATTATAAAGTTCAGTACAAGTTTGTAGTCCTGCTTATCGTCGGAGATAGTGCAAATACGCGTAACTAGTACATTTATGGCCAAATTAAATCCGCGTAAATGTTGTGGCAAAATTACCGTGATTTATGGGGATCTATTGTTATCAGTCCGTAGGCAACATAAATTAATGAATAAAAATGAAAGTTGGAGCCTTTGAAATAACAAAATAATAACGTTATATTATTGCTCTCGTGTAAAATTATTAGTAGGTGCGATACGCACTTTTTACCCTATCATCATAGTAAAATAACAAGAAAGATCTACTGTTCACATTTTCCCAATAATTTACTTACTTAATTAATACACTTATATAGTTGTAAGTCAATGACTTATTTACTTAATATCGCATTTACACCGGGCAGAGTGCCGTCTTCGACAAACACTTCGCCTTGCAGAAGGCAACGCGCTCGACTCACCGTTTACACGCCGACCTGCAGCTTGATTTTGATTGCCTCTCCTGATCGGAAACTGCATCTTTTCTGAGTCGAGGCGCATAATTGCGATTGACATCTGGCCGATCGGAAACTTTTGACATTTCTAATCGGAATAATAGTTGATTTAACCCACAAATTAAAAAGATATAGTAGGAATCAGGTTCATCTTCACGCTCAGAAACGCATCGGATCGCTTCCGGTTTGAAACAAAATCAGCACGCTGGTGTGTACGCGCCGTAATACAAATGCGACATAGGTATGGCTGAATATCTTTGTAAGTGTAATACTACTCCTTTAAATGTTCTGGATCTTGAGTCAAAAATGTACACAATATTTTTCATGTAAGTAGTATCTCGTTAAGTCGACATATTCTTATCAGGGGACTATAAATGAAAGTGTTAGTCTTATATGTTCGCAAATAAAATGTCTTGCTAGGTATTCGGGTGATAGGTTTGTGCAGATATTTATTTTACTTAAAAGGTAAGAAGAGTCAATCGCGCCTTGAAGAACCTTATGCAAGTAGTAGTGTGAGGTCCTGTCTTTTACGACGAACAAGCAAAGAAGTCATTTTAAATTCGTCACGCCTCTCACTAGAGCCAACGAGGTTGTGACAATAACCATATTGGTAACAACTTAAATTAACATCATTATCTATTTGGTTTCTTGCGGTATCTGCTGGTAGATACATAAGCGTAATTTTTATAGTATCCAAATTATAAACGAGCACTTTTATCTACAGATGTTCGACAGCGTCTCCATTCTATTTTCTGACGTGGTGACCTTCACGGAGATCTGCTCTCGCATCACGCCCATGGAAGTTGTATCCATGCTTAATGCCATGTACTCCATCTTCGACACTCTTACGGAGAGGAATCGAGTTTACAAGGTAATGTCCTACGTTTTTACTTATAACTTGTCAATAATTATAGGTTTTTCCTTAAGCGATTTCGCTGACGCCATACAGCTAATGGTGCAATCTCTAAGTCTAGATATCTATATTTTGTAGCATAAGCTTCATTGAACCATGAGGAACAAACAAATAGTCTTTGATATTTGTGATTCTCATTAGGATTAAAAGTTAAAAATAATGGTGAAATTTTTCAGCTGTACGTTTGTACATTATGTCTCTAACATCTGTAGTAGCGAGACGCGATTGGGAATGATTTCGATATTCACTTGTTAGTAATTAGTAATCCTGTCATTCGAAGGATAAATTAGTAACCTACAAATGTTCGTATTCGAATGATCAGAATGATCATTCATTACTAATTAGTACTACTAATCCATAGATTTCATAGAACATTTCTGCCTAACCCTCTCTGACATATGGTAGATACCGTAAATGTGATGGGGACAGGGATATTTTGATATGGACATGGTAAATAGTTCCGATTGCTTCCGACGTAATAATCATTCAATTCGCTCATCCGACCATATGGTGGGGACATTCGGTATCAGTAATCATCAAACCCGAGTCGAATGATTGTGCCTGGATTCGACTTAGGCGAATGATTTGCCCATTCGAATGATTAGTATTATCAGTAACATTACTATAAAATTTATATTCCTACCTAGTAACATTCAAATTCGCGCATCGCTAATCTATACGTGAGACGTAAAGAATATTAAGTGCCAAATAGTAATTTTTACTACAAAGAGTTGTAAAGAGAATGAGGCTCTTAATTAGGCATTTACAATCAATCTTAAGGTCAAATACCAACTTTCACACACACGTTGTATATATGTGTTATACTTTCACACACACGCTGTAAATGTATGTATAGTTTGCACCCGTGCTTCACTCGTATCGGGCTTGGTGAAAACCAGCGCTACAGGTAGAAATTCCTGCCCATAGCTAAACGCCGAGCAAGTCCCGTTTGCGCACGCGGCGACACTATTTTATTATTATTAATGCTGTGAGTTTATTATGATGTTTAGAGAATCAAGAGTAAATCGCAATTGTATGCAAATTACTATTGTTTGTCTATTTGTTGTATTGTGTTATAATTTTAAGTTTATAATATTGTATTATAGTTTTTAAGCACATTCATGTGTGTTTCGGTAAACTCTACAAAGCTTTCTTATTCTTATTCTAAATAAAATATGTTAATTAAATAAAAAACAAACGACGATAGGATTTAATGTCTTATACTATTACGTGATTTTCAGCATTCTAGAGCAATATCTTTACTATACTACACTATACTTTATGATATTGATTAATTCCATGAAACTTTCAGGTTGAGACAATAGGTGACGCCTACATGGTGGTTTCTGGAGCTCCAGAGAAGGAAGACAACCACGCTGAGAAAGTCTGCGACATGGCCCTCGATATGGTTGATGCTATCACGGATCTGAAAGATCCTAGTACAGGTAAGAATGTTAAAGCAGGTACCCTGTCATCCACTCAAATTACACAGTTCACGAACGGGGTTACTGGGCCATTCCTCAACCGATACAATTTTATTTCATGGTAAATCATCTCATAGGAAATGAAACTATTGCGGATTTAAATCACGTATGTTTGTTTTTTCAAACAAACCAACGTTTCGGGCCCTTTACAGGTCCTATGGTCACGGTTGACTGGGATCACGGTTGAATGGGCCTGTAAAGGGCCAGAAACATTGGTTTGTTTGAAAAAGAAAAATATACGAGATTTAAATCCGGAAAATTTTCCTATGTGTAACAATCGCGAAAACCTAAGAACTAAATCATCTCAGTTGTTTGCCGATAAAGGATTTTGTACGTTTTGTATTCTGCTAAAAATTAAGAGTCTATACAGCCTCAAATGGCTTTTCATCACTCATAGCTCGTAATTTATTAGTACACAAAATCGTGTGATTTTCTATACCTATATAAATGTAAATGTGTAAAAAAAAAAGAAAAACCGCTGGCTGCGCTTTGGTAGGAAATCGATATTCAGCATGTGTGAAACTTTAATTCTATAAATCTTAATTAAATTTGTATTGAATCATTGACTTTGCAAGTCAATGTATTAAATGTATGTAATGTATTATATTCAATTATTTTTTGTGAAATTACTCCACTAGTTTGTTATAATTATTAATACAAAGATCGAACACACAGAAAAAATTCCTTCGATCCGGTCGGATTCGAACCGACGTCTTCTTGCATACCGTGGCAGACGCTATACCAACTAAGCCACGGAACGAACCAACGGACCTCACGAATTTTTCTATGTGCTTGCTTCGTGTCTTTGTATTTGGTTTTTCAACGACTTTTTAGTCGTAGCGCCATCTATGAGAAGTCTATGAAAGATTTATCACCCAGTTAGTACCTTTACAGCTACCAGTCCTGGCGAGAGATGTCGCTATTCACAGTATTAATTAAATCTATAAATCTTGTTATTGATGACTTGCTCTTTCTTCATCGTCTTTTGACTATAGTTTTATAATAATATAATCGCTTTAACTTCTCGGAAATTAATAACTTACTTTTAGTCTCGTCCAGACTTGGATATTCACTAACATCGAATGATTTTGATGAACGTTTTAATAATTTAATATTGCCTGGTTGTAATATGTCAAGATATTGCTTTAAGTTCAAGTAACATTACCTAAACTTCGCCATTAAACTATGTCAAACTTCTTCAAAGCCACCACTCTAAAAGCAACCCAAATTTGTTATTAGTGTTATTTCAATAAGGTCCTAAACACACAAGCTGTGATTTCATCTAGTGAAACAGAACTGGGAAGTCTCTCTCGCTTTTATTTAACGAACCACAAGGACCCTCTCCTATCACTTTGTAAACGCTTTAGTAATAATTGTACTCTCGTTTGTGAAATAAAAACTTGCCATTGTTAATTAAAAATTGTCTATTGTGATTTTGCCAGTTGCAAATATGAAAATAAACAATAATCACGAAGATTTTTTGTGTTTACATTAGAAATACCTATGCAATTAGGTTCAAAAATGTATGTGTCCTAATCTTTTCATAATGGATATAGTGGAACACAACGAGCTACACGTGCGCAGAAACTTAGTATTAGCTGTGATCTTGTTGAAAGAAATTACAGGTGTGCTGTAAAATCCGATGCTACTAGGGATATAAGGCTTATGTGTTCATGATAGGTACGTGGGGCGACTTCGCAGGCTACCGCTACTTGCGGTAGCCAGCGAAGAAAGGACCAATCTCTCGACTGAATATTCACGCGTACATTGCGCACCCTGTACGAAATATCGGATAAGATCGCTCTGTTCCATTGTTCTCTCTGTTACGTAATAGTAATTTTGCAGCGTTAACCACAATCTACTGAGGTTAGGCTATAGTCCATCGTGCCTTTAAAGATATGGATTGGAGACAAATTCCTATTCCATTAAAATTGATTAACATCAGTAAAGTATGGTCGGTTTATTACACCCTTAACAAACAGACACAAATAAACCTATAAATAAACCTATTAAGTGGATAAGTGAGAATTTATTAATAGCACACATCCTCATTTACAGGATCTCATCTTTCAATCCGGGTAGGTGTCCATTCTGGCGCCGTAGTCGCCGGCATTGTCGGTCTAAAGATGCCCAGATACTGCCTCTTTGGGGACTCGGTCAACACAGCGTCGCGCATGGAGTCCACTTCAGAAGCCATGAGGATCCACATATCGCAAACCACGAGGGAACTGTTGTCACCTTCGTACATGGTCACAGAGAGAGGAGAGATTCAGGTTAAAGGAAAAGGTGAGTTTATCTTAAACGTTTGGACGTAAGTTGGGTAGGAATTTTTGGTTTTTACAAGTGCTGAAAACAAAACCACAGATACAATAAATGCTGCTGCATGTTAAAAAATACATCTGACACTAAGTAACTTTCATCAACCAACCTTCGGAGTTCAACTTTTCATACATATTATTGTGTAGGCAGAACATGAGGCAGCAAGTAAGAGCATCTTGAAGATGATATCTAAGAAATTTGATTATCACTTGATGTGGAAAGTCACTCAAAGGACGAAATCATTATATATTAAGTACTACAATAGACTAAGGGTCGTATTCTAGAACTCTCCTCAATGCTCAAGTCAGGATTTGAGCAGACTTGAGTATGATTTCAAGCTCTGGAAATACGACCCTAATGGCAAGAACTTGAGTATGATTTTCAGTGCTCACTGCAATACTCAAGTCCTGACTTGAGTATTGAGTAGAGTTCTGGAATACGACCCTAAGAGTTACTAACAAAAATTGTGGACCTAAATGTCATCTAAAATAATAAATAAATTTAAAAAAATCGAACAGCTGATTGTACGGGAAGTTAAGAAGAGAAAGAAGCGAGTTAGGCACGGGTTCCTCGGGGAAAGTATTTTTAGTATCATGAACGAATCAAAGAGTATCATGAATTAATCAAATTGTATAAAATTTCATACACATTTTATTTATAGATTATATACAAAAGTGCTGTTAAGCATGTTGCTATTATAAATGTGTATATAAATAAAAGTAAATAACTTGTTTTTTGTGTGTAATAAATAAGTTGTCTTTCTTCAATTCAAACGAGTCGATGTTGCTGTAAATGGCACACATTTTTCTATAAATTTACTTAATAAAATCCACACCTGAAATGCTAATGTCCTTTTTTGGGTAGGTTATGACTTCTGAGAAAGTCTGAAAGAATTCCACGTACCAGAATCCAGACGTGCTCAATAATCCTTAATATTTCCAGGAGCAATGAAAACGTACTGGCTTGAAGGACGAGAATCTCGACCGTGTCTCACGAAAGTCATATCACCTCAGCTCCAACCAGGAACCGAACTGGAATGGGAACGAGCCGCTGACGTCAGGGACAGCATTGCAGAACACTCAGCCCAGCAAATGAACATCAAGGAAAAGGATGTAGCGTCAGGGACTTACACCCATCTCCCGAATTCCGTCAATTCAGGCCCAAATTCTCTAGCCGGTGTCAACAATTCGTCAAATCTAATTGCGATACAACCATCTCCGTCTTTGCGAAATTCTCAGATAGTATCACCGAATCCTACAGTGACTTCGCCCGTCGAAGAACGAAGAATGTACTCTCCTGTTACTTTCCAAGATGTTGCTATGAGGAGTATAGCTAATTCACCTAACAGGCATGAAAATAGAGGTAGACTACGTTTCTAGTATTTCCAATCTGATTAGAATCTTAGATTAGAATCAAATTTGTATAGATCTTTCTTATTTTCAGAGTCAAGATCTAATTCTACGAGTGTCGGTGGAGTTTGGAATGACGCTGACTCTATAGAACCAGTCAGGACGATTGACAGCTTGAATTCGTCATTCTGGTGAGTACCTAACACCTTATACTATTTAAAAGACAACGAAGTTGAATTGACGAATTTATATTTTGGTCACAGCCTCGCAGAATTGCTGGTTATTGATTGAGTATGGCCGGAATTCTGATTAAGCGAGATAACTATGAGTAATGGGTTCTGTAACAACCACAAATTTAACACGCCATTAGTTCTAACGCGCCACCGCTAGATGGTATTAATTGTACCCTGAAACGCACTATCGTTTTGTGAACTTCAATAGTATAAGTCAACTCATATGTTTTGTATTGTCAATGGATAGGGGTTATGAGCCTTCAGCTTGCCACTTTTCCGGTGGCGCAGTCAAGGCCATCAGTAGGGAAACAATATCGAGTCAAAAGTATCGATGAGTACTTATGAGTAGTATCACATAAAAAGTATCGTACTCATAAAAGTATCGGAACAAAACTATCGATACCTCAAGGTATCGATAATTTTGTCCTGCAAATTTTCCCTACTTAAAGACAATAAAACACATGAATTCATAAGTCTTATTTGAATTATAATTAAAATATAAGATTTTAATTAAATCTATTAATTGATCTATTCAATCAATCGTCATTTCACATAATTTGTGTTACATACATTTACTAACCTGTATAATCACTTAAAAACAAAAATCTATTTGGTAGCAGTCTGTTTCTCGTTTTTGACATTGTATTGCCTGTGTTTGAGAACAAACGTTCTGAAGAAGGAACAAACTTCTCCTACTACCTCTATCTACTCAAATACAATGTTTGTCAAGTATGTTTATCAAATGTTTCTAACTATTTTTCTTCATTCTCATTCTTATAAAGAGGCAAATGGTGGCATACACTATACAGCCAAGTCATTTGTGATGTAGCTTGCCATTTAAAAAAACATCGCAAGGTGGCTTGCTTTATGATACGTATATATAAAAGGTGTCCTAAGTAGGAATTATTCAAACGATACTTGTCAAAAAGTACTAATACCTGAAAAGTATCGAGTACAAAAGTATCAGTATCGGAAGGAAAAGTACTCGATACCAAAAAGTATCGATACTCTATGCATGTCCCTAGCCATCAGCAGCCAACTGCAAAACATCCTTCACAAAAAAAAGTATTGTCTATGGAATGACGTGAATGCATGCTCTACCGCTATAGCATTTGTATGGCACTAAGGGTCGTATTCCAGAAGTCTACTCAATGCTCAAAACTTTACTTGAGTATGATTTAAAACACTACAAATCATACTCAAGTCCTTGCCAATAGAGTCGTATTTCAGGAATACGACCTTCAAAGGCTCTCAAATTATTGAGACATTTCGGTCCTTACTTACTGCTATCTAGTGTTGGGTAGGACATGAAATTAAATCAAGAAAATGAGGCAGAACAATGTTCTATTTCAAATGAGATGAGGTAGTGGTAAGAATGTTTGCACCTACGGCAATGACTCAACAGACAGGGAATACTAAAGCACATTTTCATAACTTGATGATATGGGTCAATTATATAGTATAAATAAATGCTAATTTTATTTAGTACTATGGTATTATGATCATATGATGTAAAATCAGCTAAAAAGCGGGCAGTGCAGGACCAGTAATTGTTGTGTTTGTTGAATTCGAAGCAGTGTGACATGAGTGAAGCTGTGACATGAGGTGTTGTGACACACTAACTAAGCGAGTGGTACAAACGAGTTGCCTCGTTTATGAGTAACTCAACACTACTGCTATCTTAGCTTCGGTACTGAACCTTGAGCTTTCACGTCAATGAGACACACTAGTTATTTGGCTAGGCTGCCAAGCTTCTTGGCTGCATTTTTGGCCATGGCTTCAATGTATCTGCCGAAGTTCAGATTGGACGACAGGTCCATTCCAATAGGTCAAGACGGTCGGCTATCGGTATGGATATTATCACGAAAAGTCGGAGTCAAGTGAAAGGGACTCCGTTTAGTGGAGAAAAGACACGCCTGCGTTTTGGTAGCATTAAATTTGGGTTTCGACTCCAAAGGCTGTAAATAGGTAATCGGAGCCGAGGTCCTGATATTTATTACTTATTACCATGATATTCATATTTTTTTGTGACAATACTCCACTAGTTTGTTATTATAGCCCCAGTGTGGCCACAGAGACTGGTTCGAGGGCAGTCAGAAGGAAGAATTTTTTCTTTATGTTTGTTCGATCTTTGATAGAAATTTAAGACAACTCAATTGAGAAGCAAATCGTCGCCTTGATTTCTCAAACTCGTATCTTATAAACAGTGATTATTCAGGAGATGACAAAAACTTTCGTTTATTTTAAATTTCTTATCAACGGTTTCAATTTGGATGCATTACTTTAAGAATAGGTAAAAGCCAGTGTGTGAATGTGAAGGAAATATGATGTGAAATCAACCTGCAACATTTGTATATACAATATGCATACAATCCATTTTTTGCATTTCAGAAACTTTGTGCTTTAAGATACGAGTTTGAGAAAGTATGGCGACGAAATTGCTCCAGACAACCGTTTTCCCACTAAGCTACCACAATTCTTATCAGCGTACAAATAAGTTACAATGTTGACTGACTGTAGTAAAACCGAGCAACACAATCTTAAGTTACAGTGCGACGTCCCCTTCCAGAGTGGCGACGGCGCCGGCGCCTCGAGAGAGGGAAAAAGAGGAGTTCCAAGAAATAGGGGTGAGAATACGTAATGAAAAATAACATCTGGACACAATCTCTTCTAATAAATAATTATAATAATAGTTAGCCTATTACACAGGGTTTTTAATTTGTGAAATACTAACAGCAATAACTGTGTTCCACGCTTTTGATAATTCATCAGATTTTTAATAAGAATAAACTATATATACTTTATGTGACTGTTACATAATGAAAGGGTTTTCATAAATAGTGAAAGAGTTTCATGAAAACATCACACGAGTGTTTTAACGCCTAAATATGTACAGTTACATACACTGCTTTATCTATACACATATTAAGCTCTACTTATACTTAGTCTGGCCATAAATACTGTTACACTTAAAAATAAAAAAATATTACATTTGAATTTCGAATCTGTCATTTTTATACGATTGTTCATTGTGTTTTCTCATTTTGGCGCCAATACATTGTACAATATTTTGCGATATTAAAATGGAGTGGGGTGATAAAGAGAACCGAATCGCTGTGATTGCATTACACAAAGTAGGTATGGAGCTAAATGCAATTTTTAAAACTCTCCATACACTTGGTATTAGTAAAATGTTTGTGTACCGGGCTATTAATACGTACAATGAGACTTCCTCTGTTTGTGACAGAAAAAGATCTGGCCGTCCACGTAGTATTCGTACGAAAAAGGTGGTCAAAGCAGTAAGGGAAAGAATTCGAAGAAATCCTGTCCGAAAGCAAAAGATTTTATCTCGGGAAATGAAGATAGCACCTAGAACCATGTCGCGTATTTTAAAAGATGACTTAGGACTTGCAGCCTATAAGAGACGCACTGGTCATTTCTTAACTGATAATTTAAAGAAGAATAGGGTGGTAAAATCGAAACAAGTACTGAAGCGGTACGCAAAGGGAGGTCACAGAAAAATTTTGTTTACGGATGAGAAAATTTTTACGATTGAGCAACATTTTAACAAATAAAATGACCGTATTTATGCTCAAAGCTCTAAGGAAGCTTCCCAATTAGTCGACAGAGTGCAACGTGGACATTATCCGACTTCAGTGATGGTTTGGTGGGGTGTTAGCTATGAAGGAGTGACTGAGCCATATTTTTGTGAAAAAGGTATCAAAACATCGGCACAAGTGTATCAAGATACCATTCTTGAGAAGGTAGTTAAGCCCCTTAACATCACCATGTTCAATAACCAAGTATGGTCCTTCCAGCAAGACTCGGCGCCGGGTCATAAAGCTCGGTCCACGCAGTCTTGGTTGGAAGCGAACGTTTCGGACTTCATCAGAGCTGAAGACTGACCGTCGTCTAGTCCCGATCTTAATCCGCTGGATTATGATTTATGGTCAGTTTTAGAGAGTACAGTTTGCTCTAAAGGCCTTGATAATTTGGAGTCCCTAAAACAATCTATACGATTGGCAGTGAAGAATTTTCCCATGGAAAGAGTGCGTGCTTCTATTGATAACTGGCCTCAACGTTTAAAGGACTGTATTGCAGCCAATGGAGACCACTTCGAATAAGCTTTTTATATTTTTAATTGTTGTATATTTATGTAATAAACTAACACACTATAACAGTAATAAATGTTATTTGCAGTTAAAAAAATATTTTTTTTCTTTTTTACAATATTTATGGCAAGACTAGGTATATATGATGTGTTCAGGAACCGCATGTTACAATACGATTTATTTAATTCATAGACAAACTAGAGTCGACCCCAACTATCATATCGTTCGATATCAAGCAAAGTGTGAAATTTGTCAAAATTGTTTGCTTTGACATTTCGTTTCGAATAAAACTTCATCTCGACTGATAGTAGAATTGAGGTCAAATCAAATTCTTTTGTTTTTCAGAGATTTCTTTTCCTTCATTCCGTTTGGAACAGTCGAAGGTCAGAGACCATACTACCTAGTCATTAGTTTCTCTTTATTCGAAATTTGAATGAAATAATAAAATCGAATTTGATTAACATTTTCACAGATAAGAAATTTGTTCTAACAAAACAGTTTATTTTTAAGCTGGTCGTAATTTTCGGTTTTTGAACACATCATAGAGGGTCTATGATATGTGTGTAGATAAAATAAAAATACCTACTTAAGTAGGTAGGTATTTTTATCCTTCTCCTCCGTTGGTCCTTCACTGCTGAGGATCGTGACTTTGAACAAGTACACCGTCAATCAATCTTCACCACTGCACTGTCTTTGGCTAGGTGAATTGCGACGCTCACTGGAGTCCCTCTATACTGGCAGTAACAGCGCTTCTGCGTGCAATGTAACCATAGAATTGCAGAATGCGGGGAAAACAGGTGGAGGAGGAGTAATTTGAGTTACTCCCACAACGAGTCAACTCGAGTTACTTATTCATGAAATCGAGCTAACTCGGCTCGGTACCCGCCCCGCCGAGCCGTATACTTCATTCATACAGCGAAATTCGCTACGGCTACTCGTTCGGTGACCTTCGGAGCACGCTCGAGTCGCGATGGATGGGTGGGTGGGAGTCGAGTTATTTAAATGGAGTTACTCCCATAATGAGTCAACTCAAGTAATTTTTTGTGAACTCTAGCTAGCTTGGTGCAGTTCCGCCGAGTTGAATACTTCATTCATACAACGCGTCGCCTATTCATTCTCATTCGATCGATTCGGCGACCTTCGGAGCACGCTCGAGTCGCGGTCGGCCGGCCGATCGTGCCCAACTCGGTGAATCGTCGGTTTGATTTCTACTCGCTGTAGCTGTATCACACACCGAGTCGAGTTACTCGAGTTGAAAAAAATACAACTCGTCCCATAGCTACGGAGGACAAGCGTTTGTGATTTTGCAACTGCAATCTCAATTCAATAGATCACTCTAAACAGTGATAAAAACGCAGGACCGGGGGTGGCGGTCGTCGGGGAACACACTTGTACGTTTGAATTTACTTACCTTACTACCAAATACAAATTGAAAAAGTGGCAGATAGTACAACAAAACTTAAAAGTTTATTTTCGATAAATTTATTATGTTTTGTAAAAAGTCATGGAACAACAGTTGTTTATAATGTTAGTAACATAATCTTGAGAGGTTGTTAGTATTTTACAAATAACCCTATACAGTTCCACTGCTGGGTATAAGCGTACTCGCACAATTTGAGGGCTAGGACGGTAATTCCCACCCGGAAAATTTTCTTTATCAAAGCTGAACTAAAAAAACCGTAACAAAAACTTCTTTTCCCGTTAAAAAGGAGCCTTGGCGACATTTAAATACAACACTTATTAGCACACAAGATGCCAGTGCACTTCATTTTACTGGTTTTGTTCAGTTTTTTAGTAATACGTGGAAAATTTTAGGCAAGCCAGTGGGAATCGAGTTATATGGACGCCTCGCCACTGGTGTGCAGGTTTCCTTAAGATGATGTCCTTCGCCGAAAAGCTCATGGTTGATTTTAAATTAAATTTCTTACATAAATTCCGAAAACTCAGAACTGCCGGTTCGAACCCACTACCCTCTGCTTGAGAGGCGGTAGATCAAACCATTAGGCTACCCGGCGATACTTCGTTTTTTTAGGATTAGAAAAAAACGTAAACAAAGAAACAGTGATCGTAAACATTTTTCTTCAGTCAACAAATTTCTTTAAAGGAAAACGTCCTCAGAATTGATGACAAATAATATTATAGTGCAAATCTTTGAAGTAAACTAAATATGTAAAGATCATTTGATCTTCAATGAAAACTACGAATATAAAAAGATAATAATTGCATAAAGTTTCATTGAAAAAAATACAAAATTATTAATAAAATGGTTCCTGATAAAAGACCCATTCTGCCTAATGTTAAAAAAACGAAATATATTATAATCACAATATTTTCTAACATACATTAACATGAAACTAGATCACCAGTCCCGCACTTGGGTTTTTGAAATTAACAGCTTTTTTATATCAGTTTCTGCCGCACCTGTCCCCTCCGCACTCTGCACCCGCGACTGTCGCCGACTCGTGCTCAACGTTGCGACCCGACGCGACTGGCACCACGGTAACACGAAAAACTACTGCGGAAGAAATTGGTAAGAACAAAAATCTTTTCTTTTTTCAAATTGTCTCTCACTGTGCTTCGAAGTTTTTGGAGACCCTTGCAACCTCTTCAATAAAACGCCGTATTAATAAGACTGATTTATTGAATCTATCAAACCATCAACTTTCAAAAATTCAAAATTCTGAATTTAAATTATTTATTGCATTTCGAGCGAAGATGTACATACTAAATTACCTAATAATCAAATTCTTATCGAGTTCTTAGGTTTTCGCGATTATTACACATAGGAAATGAAACTATTTTTCCGGTGGTACAGTCTTCAACCAGTTAATAACCGTGACCATGGGACCTGTAAAGGGCCCGAAATGTGCGATTTAAATCCAGAAAAATAGTTTCACTTCCTAAATAACATTCTTGTTCTTCTAGTTCTTTAACAATCTAACTCGAAGATTTGATGAAAAACGCATACATAAATTTCTCTTTTACCTAATGATGACATTGCCTTCCAAAAATTACACCTTTTTAATTCCAGCCATATTTTCGTAAGTAGGGACTTTTAAAAGCAATGTCGTTAATAACAATGAAATTACAGGCACGTGGGACTTGTCAAATTATGTCTCAGGGTGATGGGCGCAGAGGCAATGCCCCTCAGATCTTTGCGATTTAAAGCTCTGAGTGGCACTGCAACTGTTATGCACAGGCGTATAGCTTACCATCAGGCGCACGGCTGGTTCATCCCGTCACTTGATATTATAAAAAAAGTTCGGACCAGTCACAATCATCTCCAGATTCAGATTCATTTATTTATCAAATATAACATTACAGTATAAATTGCACTACATGTCAAAGTATAAGAAATTATATTGAAATCGTCAGACAAAAATGAAAATTATAAGAAAATACACAATAAATAGAATCCGACGCGCCATCTACATTGCAACATTTTGCAAAACCGAATATTATCAACTAACAAAATTTTAAATAAACATTTACAATAATCTTATAAACCCTTTATAATAATATTGTACTAAATAATTAATGAAAATAATGTTTCTATTGAACAACACAAAAATGTCATAGTATTTTTCCTGGCATAGTGCTTAGATTGATTCAATATAAAATATTAAATTTATGTTATTAATTGAATTTTGTCAATACATCATTGTTGATACTTCTCTACGGAAAAGTAGTAGGCGGAAAGTACACAGAAAGCAAATCGCACAGTAAAGCCCGTAGTTGGTTTTTAACCGACTTTAAAAAAAGGAGGAGGTTCTCAATTCTGCTGTTTTTTTTTTTGTATATATGTTACGCGATAAGTCCAGCTTTTGTGAACCGATTTTGATAATTCTTTTTTTGTAAAAAAGAGAGTACCTTAGTATTAGCAGAGGTTACAGAATATAGTATTAGTCCCATTTAAACTTGAAGAAAATATTCCACCTTTAAGAGTCGTATTCCAGAACTCTACTCAATACTCAAGTCAGGACTTGAGTATTGCAGTGAGCACTGAAAATCATACTCAAGTCCTTGCCATTAGGGTCGTTTTTCCAGTGCTTGAAATAATACTCAAGTCTGCTTAAATCCTGACTTGAGCATTGAGTAGAGTTCTGGAATACGACCCTAAGAGTGGCGAACTAGGGGACGAATCCGGTTTCGCGCACTTTCCGGTAACCAATTTCAATAAAACATGGCGAATAGATGTAATTCCACGAAATTTTGAGGTCGGCTATTGTAGGGCTCTGTACTGAGATTATTTGAATAGCGAAACGGGGTACCCCGTACTATCATATTCTAATATTTAATTATATAAAGAAAAACATTGAATTCTAACAGTATACAAATTGATATTTCCAGAAACAGATACAGAGTACCAAGATGCAACAGAGTTAAGTGCTCACGTGTGCACGGTGACGGAGGCCACGGCTGGCGCCACGCCCGCCAAGCCAAGCAGGGTGGGACGGTTCAAGGCGCGAATAGCACCCGGGTACAATAAGAGCTGCGTCGCACAAAAATCCTCCGTTAAGGAAAAAGCGGTGAGTTTGTATTATGGTCCTATAAGTCAACAAGTCTGAAAAAGGTCAAAATTCCGTCTTAGAAGATGTTTATGTTATGTAAATGACAATGACCGTGGATATCCGTTAATTCCTCTTTAATACGAAATATAATTAGTCAGTTTTTGTTTGTAATATTATTCAAATGTATGTAATATTGATTCAGGCCCAGAGCAGCGTTCCGCACGGTCATCACCACACCAAGAACGTGAACCACCACCAGTGCTGCGGTGCATTCGGAAACCCGCACGTGCGGCACAAGACAAACTCTAGCTGTCGTCTTATCTAAATCCAGTCTGTCATTCTGTATAAATTTGTATACAGTGGTGTAGCAATCCTGCCCTCCTTATCGTAACTAACGTAAACGAAACGAGATCTAAAACCCCCTTCAAGGGGATTTTTTATATCTTATTTAATTTAAGTTTTATTGTTATGCCAATCGGAGTCATTAACATATAATAAAAACAAACTTTAGGTGCCTAAGTTATGACAAGCAGGGCAGAATCATAAAAAACGAAAAAGTCATGGGGAACTTGACTTATTAAAATTGATCGTCAAATCGAGACGGCCCCATTGAATAAACGTGTATCTATTATTAAAATACTAACTTGACAAGTAAAATAAAAAAGTAAAAACTTCAATACCTCTGCACCTGACCAGTCGTTTTTTCGTAAATTTTTATTATTAATTTTATGCGTGCGTAATTTATGCTTTCCATATAAAAAAACGTTACATTGCAGAGGCCGGGAAGTAAAGGATTGCTGGACGAGTATGAGTTAGAAGGACGAGCGCCAGCGAGGCCTTGTATTAATACAAGTCAAGCAATCCCCGTTCCCGCCGAGGCATGTATAGAATTTTTCTCAAACAATGCGAGGAAATAATAATATTTTAGAGAGGAAGTATAAATGTATAATAGAAAAGGTAAAAAAAAATTAATTGACATAAAAATTTATACAATTGCTAAAGGAAAATGTTATTGTTTTTCCAGGAACATTAATAGTAGTCCGCTGAACTTCTGATGATGTGTTTGTATGTGTATCTTATTACTGTATTTTCGTTACCGCTCTTCTCACTAGCACTCATTTTCGCGACCAATAAAATACAAAAGAATACCAAAATACAATAGTTTAAGTGTTATCGCCATTTTCTTTTTTTTTAAGTAAGCGGTATAGGTAGGTATTTTTAATTCTCGCAACTATGAACATGGAGCTTTATGAGTTTTTCTTTTGCCTGTTTACATAGTTCATTATTAGTAGGTAGATTTAGAAAAGTTTAAAGAAGTGGCCATTATTGGATTTTCATACTTTGCAAGCCTTGGACGACCCTTAAATGACAATGTTTTCGTGTTCGTTTTTTGAAAGTAATGCAAAGATTTCCGAGCATGTTTGAGAAAAATAGATTATTTCTCTTTTTTCGTGAAAAACATTTAGGAGGCTTATAATGAACATTACAAATATAGCCTGAAAAAAAAACTTTCCAGTTCTTAGGTTTTCGCGATTGTTACACATAGGAAATGAAACTATTTTTCCGGATTTAAATCACGTATATTTGTTTTTTCAAACAAACCGACGTTTCGGGCCCTTTACAGGTCCCATGGTCACGGTTGACTTCACCCGAGTTGAGTCAACCGCGCGATTTAAATCCGGAAAAATAGTTTCATTTCCTAAAAAAAACTTTGTCACGTTTATTCTGGGGGGGACAGATAAATATAAATTACCAATATTAAAAAAAAATGTTATTACGAAATTGTAATATTTAAAAACCAGGAGGCGTTTATTTATTATCCAAGGTTCCTCTGACTACACCACTGTTTTTTCATTTTAGGTACCAGTGCCATAAAAAACACAAAAAAAATTAACCACATCAGTTTCTAAGTATTATCATCACAATAAGGTTAGTATGTTTAGTTTTAGAACTAGAAATTTAAATATCGATGGATGTGATTCTTTTTTATTCATTCAAGAATTGATTGAATTGAATTTAAATGTAGATGTTTGGTCTAAAACTATCTTTTAACTTGTGGAACGTTGTCTAAAATGACTTGAAAATTTTTAGTGTTTTAGTCAACTTACAGGAACTTGAAAGCGAATTTGAACTTTATTTTTCGATATCTCTATACATTACTCGATATCTCTTTATTTCCATCTATGTAGTAACACCTAAGATATCCGATGATATGTGAACTATCAGAGATGGAGCATGCTCTGTTTTCTTTTGGAAATATAAACCGTACCTATTTCTGTTGCCACTAAATAATGTGAGCATTACTGCATTCTGGTTTTGAAGGGTAAGGGTACTGGTGAAAGTACAGACACATGGCACTTGTCAAATTTCTGTCTTACAGCTGTTACACACTTTTAGCAGCGATACAAACGCGCGATTGCATCGCTACACTTGTGATATATAAGCTATTGCATCGACGCAATCGCGCGTTTGTATCAATGCAGTCGCCCGTTTGCATCTATGCAAGCGCGTATCACGAACGCGCTTTTGTAAAGCAGTTAAAACTCGCCGTGTGACGGTGACAACCCGGTGCCTTGAATATGCTATTCAGCCCATTGGTCGAATCGACATAAATCGTCCGATATATAGTTTTTCCAGTGCCCTATCTCGCCTCATCTGAGGTTTTAGGCGTGAACAAATCGCTGCACAATTCTGACTATTTTGATCCCTATTTCACAATCCAAAAGTAACTTGTTTTTTGACACCTACATCAGGCAGACCTCAGCAAAAGAATTACCCAGAGTCGATATCACTAAAATAAATAGTAGCTATTATCTGACACGAATATTATTATTATTGTATAAGCAGGTCCTTATGCCAGTGTGGACCTATGGTATCTAGCTCTGGGGCTGTCCGCTAAAAGTAACATACAGATAGTACAGTGAAAGTACAAACACATGGAACTTTTCAAATTCAAATTCAAATTCAAAATAACCTTTATTTCATAGGTAAGCATTATTACACTTGAAATCGTCACAATGGTTAAACTCTACCGCTCATTCGTAAGGCAGATTCCCCTGAGAAGAATGAGGAAGAAACTCTAGGGGTTGCTCTTTGTAAATAACATTTACAATATGTTTTTTTATTTGAAACATCAACTTGTCAACTTTATGTCTTAGAGCACACGCACACACACATGGGGACTTTTAACAGCGATGCAAACGTGATGCAAAGCTAATGATCTATCTTTACACACACGCGCGAATGCGTCGATGCAATCGCTTATGTATCACAAGTGCAGCGATGCAATCGTGCGTTTGCATCGCTGCTAAAACTCGCGTGTGGCGTGTGTCGTGTCGTGTGCACGGGCGCTTAGGATGACGGGCACAGCGGTAGTAGGTACACCTCGAGTCTGAAAGTTCTGAGTTACATTGCAACTTTTGCGGGTAATCGTGTCGCTTGCCACTTGGCACACGACTAGTTCGTCCCGTTACTTGGTGTCATAAAAGAAGGAAAGAAAATTATTTTCAATATACACATATCTCACATGTCGCCATTATAGTATGACGTCACTAATCAGCTACATTGCTTTCTAAAACCTGTAGCTATTTAATTTATCGGCGAATTTCAATTCTGTTTTCACATTTTAAACGTCATATTTTATTTTTTTTAAAGTACCTTTATGACTTACCAAATGAGTAAGCGAAATGTATCTTTCTTCATCATCAACCCTACTTTTAATTTATATATTAAGAAATACTGGCAACTCACAAACGTCAGTTTATATTATCTTTAATAAAAAAAATCTAATATAGGTGAATTAAAACATATTTTTCGTCTGTTTGTAGTCGTTACAGTTACCTACTTGTATTTCACATAAATAGTATATATTAGAGAGAATATTTATATTTTTTCCGAACAATATTTTTAAGTAGGTAGTTAGATCTCATGAAGTACAAGACATCCCAAAGAATGATTCCAAAGATTTAGATCAGATAAATCGAATGTTTAGAACAAAAATGAGCTTTACAACTATGACAATAGAAAAGTAAATTATTAAAAAAAGGCTATAACAAAGTTACACACTGTATAACAGTGTTTTCTATGAAATTGTAAAATTTATTCGAACGTATACTCTGGTAGATATTATTAAAAAAATATTACTTATATTTTCCATTTAAAATTTGATCTATTGTATTGTATATCATAAGTAGGTAGTGGTGTTACATAGTAACCTTTTTGAATGTATTACGATTTAATTTTTAAATGTTTCTTTCAATTCCAACTAAATGTATTACACTTGAAGGTGACAATTTGGAATTGCGATAGTCCTCGGGATGTGCAGGGAAGCGGGGGACAAAAACTGCTGACCAATAACGTTGCAGTATATTCTGTTCTCTCATTGGTTGAAGACTACGCTTAAACAAAGCATTGAACGTATCGTTGCAGGGAAATTGTTAGAGTATAAGGACACTGTATTTTATTATAAGAAAAGCTAGTGAATATTATAAAACTTAAATGTTGTGAGTCAATTAAGAGATATATCTAGTCGTTTGAGATTAAATGTTCTTAATTTTAAATTCTGTTGTACTTGAAATAAATCTGTATATCCACTATACTGCATGCTGGGTAAAAGAAGACGGCTTCTTTGTTTTGTTGTCCACCTTGCAGGATAGCGTAAATACAACTTAAATGTATTGTGAAATATGTGTGTCTACACTTTTAGAGTTCATTATCGCGAATTTAAATAAAAAATTATATCATTCGTATTAATTCATGTCTAAAATATATTTATATCTATATATAGAGGTTTACTTCGGTACTGTACAATAACGCTTGGAGAAAATTTTTGATTGCCAAAAATTATAAATGTCACTTTTGTGGAAATTAAAAGAAGTATCAAAATCTTTTAGGGTTTTTTTCATAACCTTTCCATCATCATCCTATTTGAGAGTCAGGCTTTTCTCGGTGTAGCCCCCTAGCCCGCCAGCTCCTTAACTTATATATCTGCTCACTTTGACGTTCTCTATTTGAATAAATGACACAGAACAGTAAATTAAATACAAAAATAGTTAGTTAAAATGCCTATGGATGGCCTTATTGCTTGCAACCTTAGTATAATATTTGGGACATGCAAAATTTAAAAAAAAAGATTAATTTTATACCTGAGAATGTGTATAAATACTCAACTGCTATATAAATTGGAAACTGAAACATCAATTCTAAATAAACCATTTATTGAAAGTAACATAAGAAAATTACTTAGTGGAATAACTTATTCTGTATTTACATGCGAAAAACATTAACAATCCGCTTTTAACCATGAATTCGGATTGATAGAAAGCAACACAACATAACTTTATCAAGTATATAATATGTATGATGACATTTTTTTTATACATCAAATAATGATTATGTCTAACAATAAGGACTATTTAAAAAAAACAAGATTAAAAATATTAATATAATTATTGGTGTGAACAATTCAAAAATGGCGGGCTATGCGCTTTAATACACAAAATAACCTTTAACAACTGCAGTACGTATTTCCAAGCAGCGGTTCGAGGCACTCTGAATAGAGGCCTTTTTTCTATCACGCTGATTATTCACGTTGCCAAATATGTCATGCCATTCGCGTTTCGATACCACACGGAACAAGCAAACATATCTATGGAAACTATAGATAAATTCTTTGTTCGAGACACTGGCAGCAGAATTTTTACCGTCTGTGCTTACACACTTTTCACGTACGTCAAATGTAATGTATGACGTATGTCAACATATGGCTTTATTATACCACGCGTACGATGTACTTCGTTTAGGAACAATTGGCGCAGTTGTCTAGGACTGTCATCACAGTAGTAATCAGTCAACCAAGTTCAAATCTGAGGATATGTAAAATCCACATACCAAAGAAAAAATGCACTAGTGTTACATGATGGCGTTAGAACACTACGCAATAGCCTAAAAAAATGCCAGTATAACCAAATACATAACACAACTAAATTAGAGAGTATATCGATATCTTAAAGTTACAAGACCCGTAATTCAATATCTTACTCGAAACTGAGCCCGGTGCCTTGAATGTGCTGTTCAGCCCATTGGTCGAAACGTCGCGATAAATCGTCCGACATATAATTTTTCCAGTCCCCGATCTCGCCTTTTCTTATGAATCTGTAATAAGGTTTTAGACGTGAACAAATATGCTGCACAATTCTTATCGTTTTGGTCCTTATTTCAAAGTCCAAATGTACACCCTACATACAGCAAGGCGCTATCTGCACACGCGCAAATGTGTGCGTGAAGAGACAAGGGTTACCCATCACTTTCTCGTACAATTTACGTTACGTGGTCAGAGTGGCAACATAGCGAAAATTCTTAAGTTATCTTTAATTCTATTAAAAGAATCTTAATAATTACAAATGTTCGTTAGTATTTATATCGATATAATGTTATATTTTTCATTAATTCACTAACTAGAATAATATTGAAGATTTATTTAAAAAATATATTAACATCACTTAAAAGATTGTATTTTGGACAGGTTTTAAATAAGGTAACCAAGGTATTTGAAATTGCGTGTCCAAGTTTATCGTTACCTAGTTAAATAATTACGTATATTCACTCTGTAACGCGGGAAATCTCCCACCTTACCGCTCCACGCATAGTGACTTCACCTGTGAAGGAAGGGAAGAACTCTTCCTTCGGCTCCCGTCTTGACTCACCGCCAATGATCAATCCAAGAAAAACATGGCGCGAGCACGCGTTTTACCAGCACGTTATAAAGGATAACTTGTAGATTCGATATTAAATTGTTTGTACTAAGTGACAAAAATTCAATAAATAGCGAAGTTGCAAACTAACATTGAACTTTTTTCTCCTACAAAGCCACGGAAACAAAAACTATGATGGAAACACACACCCATCACAAATGGCGTATCGGCAATACAAATTGAAAATTCGAGAACCTTTGTCTACTAACTGACGAAGTTATGGCGTCACATTATATTGAAATAATACATCTATACATCTATACAAATATTATACATTACTCTGTACTAAATAAACCAAGAAAACATTATCTGAATGAGTCTCAGGGTCGTATTCTAGAACTCTACTCAATGCTCAAGTCAGGATTGCACTGGAAACACAAGCACTTGAAATACGACTCTAATGGCGAGGACTTGAGTATGATTTCTAGTGCCTTGAATCATACTCAAGTCCTGACTTGAGCATTGAGTAGGGTTCGAGAATACGACTCTCAGACATAAGTTTTTGTCATCTTCGTTTCATCTTTCGGAAAACAAAAGAAACTCCTCTCTTTATCCCGTTTAGAAGATAATATATAGTCGTCCACAGCACAATTCACGACCATTACAAATAATAACGTACAATGATGTTATATATTAACGTACAAGTTTTGTAATGAATAAATGGAAACTATGTTCAAATATCACAGCCGTCTTGATGCGAAAACGGCTCGCCAACAGTCTTGTTATCGTTCAGTCAATGTGATCGTCAATGTGCGGGGTGTGGTGTGGTATCTAAATCTAGGAAGGGGCGGAGTGTCCATTCTCTTACTTTTTCGTTCTCTATCAAAAGTAACTTATTTACACCTATGTCAAACAGACCTCAGCGAAAGAAATACCCAAGGTAGATATCACTAAAATAAATAGTAGCTATTATCTAATACGAGACAACATGAAACTTTAGCAAATTATATTAATCGAGAATGCAAAAAATAGTAAACAACACCAAGATCAAAACCTATTTACAAAAGTTACGTTTCTCAAATAGATTCGACCGTTGAAATCAATAGCGCTTATCTTACGTCATCAAACTCACTATCACTCGTTCTATTTTTCTCCGTATTAAACATTACTTACCTAAGTGTGGTCTCCTCCAAATAACTTTTACCAAACGATTTCTCAAGAATGGCTTCCAAGTTAACAGCCCTGTTCTTTTTCATATTCTGGAAAGACAAATGATCACACAGCTTGTCCACCTGAGAGTCGGTGAGGGTCTTTCCGAGGAAGGCTGCGGTCTTCCGAATCACAGATGGAAGGTCACGCTTCATCTCCTCGAATTTTATGAACAGGAGATTGGGGTCGTTGCGTCTGTTCCAAAAACCTGGTAACAACACATAAACTATATACGAGTACATACAAATAACATTATTTCAATATAAATAAGGTTGGGTAATTTTCCGATATATTTTAAATAATGGAAATTTTTTCGGAAAAATTTCTAGAAATTTGGAAAAATTTAAAAAATAAATTGAAAAGTATAATTCGAAGGCTCATATTATGTTCTTAGTTTAGAAATATCTTATGAGTATTATTTAGCGTGAATTATAAAATAAAATTGTATGGCTAGAGATAAACAAGATTTAAAATGATTGCACAGCAGCGAAAAAAGAGAATCATAATTATGTAAAAAAATCTTTATAATGACTGCATCGTTGACAGGTGTCAACTGTCAAATGTGGAAAAATAAAGAATAATCATTTCTGAAATTTATAAGTGCCAATTTTCATATATTATTTTTATTATATTTCATATATAATTTCATATCAAGCCGACTATTCGAGTATTCGGTCACATTCTTGGCCGAACATTCTGTATTCAAGCAGAGGCCGAATATCTACTATTTGTAGCAACACTAGTAATTTACATTCCTTTTTACCCTTACACTAATAACATTTGTCCGATTTGTCTTTAAGTATGATAGTGCAAATAGAACGAGTAAATATGATTCCCAAATCATTCATTACGAGACATTTTATAATCAGAAACAGAGAATTGTTATTATTATTGATACAAAGATCAGACAAACACAAAGAAATATTGACTGAACTTGAACAAGCGACTGTTGCCTCAACGTGGCTACCGTTCTGCCAAAAGAGCAAAGATCGAGAAAGCAGATATTACGAAATTCTCTATAAACTTGTTGCGGATCTATGTATCAGGTTTTTAATGCCTTTTTTGCCGTAACATTAAAATATAGCAACAGGTATTACGTACCGAGGATGTGGTTCCAAACGGGCCCAAACGGAGCGCGGTCTCTCATGAAGATATCGCAGAACTCCTCAAAGGTGCCTTTCAGTGCGTGCACCAATTTACAGTAGTGGTAGTACGAGACTACCATGTCTTTTGGATTGCGGGACGTGTAGATCACCTTGTGAGCAGAATATATAATAATAAAGCTTTTTTCATAAAACTAACTAAACAGTATGATTATTTATTAATACAAAGATCGAAAGAAAAATTTCTTCGACCCGATGGGACTTGAACACATGACCACGCTGCCTCGTAGCGCTGCTCTAACCAACTGAGCTGCAGGTCAAGTTATCGAATTGACGAAATTCTGCTGTTTTTTTTATAGATGTTTATATCGGTTTTTCGGCTTTCAGCGCCGAAGAGTTCGTCAACTCGTGGTCAACTCGATAACTTGACCTCGTGGTCATGGGTTCAAGTCCCATCGGGTCTAAGAAGTTTTTCTATGTGTTCGATCTTTGTATTAATAATCATAATGTCACCTACGTCATTGTAAATATCGAAAGCAACCGTTAGTGAAAAAATCAATATTGTATTATCTAACCGTATAAAGGTTAATGTTCAAACTCAAGTAACATCCTGTTTCTAATTATTTGTCGACGTTAATCTAAAAAGTGATGTACATAAAGATCAACGTAAATACGTAACACATCAATTACTAGATTGATTTGCACTGAACAATGTCACAGTATTTTCTTATATATTCAATTTCAAAATAATGACAATTCTTCCTTAACCACTTAGCGGTGGGCTTCATATTTAAGTTATTTCCATAATAATACTAGCACTAGAGCAGTATAGCTCCTTGTGAAAGAGTTCGTCCAGGAAAGTCCTGCCACCATATCTGTTTCTGCCGCCTAGTAGTAATGCACTACTGCGTTTGGTTTTGTAGTGTAAGGATGCCGGCGAGACTACAGGCACAGGTAATTGTCAACTTTAAGTCTCAGGGTGATGGAAGCAGTGGCTATGCCCCTCAGATCTTTGCGGTTTAAAACTGTGAGTGGCACTGCATCTGTTATGGGTAGGCGCATCACTCGTGTCGTTATTAATATCACAAATATAAACTAGATAAGTATTATACTGAATGTACTTATTATTCCAAAGAGACATTATGTACCTGGGTAGTGTCCCTGTACAACTGTTACATTTTCTGATAATTCCTTCGGTGTTATTTAGATGTACTAGAATCCCTCGATAGATCCCAAAAGTGTTGCAGTATCTTTTGTGATTTGCCAAAGTCATTCGATTGCCTACGACATGACATTTTTATAACTAACGCTAATAATAATATTACGGCTTTAAAAATAAGGAAATAAGTTTAATTAAATCCTACCTACCTTTCGAATAAAACTCAATCGGTAATGGTGAAATGTAAATACTTGCTGACCTTAGGAAACTGGACATAGGAGTTCCCCAAGGATCAGTATTAGGACTTTTGTTATTCCTCATCTATATGAATAACTTGCCAAACACATTATCATAAATCTATTCACAGATGTTACTCATGTAGGACAAATTATAATATAGGCCAATAGACAAAACATGCCGTATAAAGGTATTAAGGCCATATAGTTTGCAAAACACGAGTGGAGGATTCTTTTATGGTTATCTAGGCAATAAGTGTATACTTACGCATTATTCCGGGGAAATAAAAGTTATGTAACCAGTTTCACAATCCAAAGTAATATCAAACACATACGATATCAACAAAACCAGGAAGGCACGGTTAGTAACTTCACGCAAGTTGAATAATCAGCAAGAATGTACTGCAGCAAGTACTGAATAGTATATGAATGGATTTACTGTTACACAACTGCATGGAGGCGCAAGTGTACATCATAGCCGCAAGACCTGGTTATGAAATTGTAAGAACTCCTTTAATTAACCACAAGCAGGTTTGTGACAACCATGTTGCGATATGCAAATGGAAATTTACTTTACGTATCACGCGCAGCGCAGTTTAGTAGCAGTAGAGCTCCTTGTGAAAGAGTTCGTCCAGGGAAGTGCTGCCACCTTACCTATTTCTGCCGACAAGCAGTAATGTCAGCATTACTGCGTTCCGATTTTGAAGGGTTCTGGTGAAATTACAGGCACATTGGACTTGCCAACTTATGTCTCAGGGTCGTATTCCAGAACTCTACTCAATGCTCAAGTCAGGATTTGAGTAGACTTGAGTATGATTTCAAGCACTGGACATACGACCCTAATGGCAAGGACTTGAGTATGATTTTCAGTGCTCACTGCAATACTCAAGTCCTGACTTGAGTATTGAGTAGAGTTCTAGAATACGACACTCAGTGTGACAAGCACAGTGGCAGTGCCCCTCATATCCCTGCGATTTAAATATCGAAGTTTTCGATATTTTACATTTGACTCTGAAAATAAAAAATCTATTTTTATTTTCATACACAATATCCCATGTTCACGACTAACTGACAGCTCAGCACGAAACGATGTTGGTTTTGATTTTAAGTCCAAAAATATGTTGCAGAGAAAAATAAAGCAGTTAATATGAAAGACTTACAAAAATCACTTCAAGAATCTTTGGATTTAACAACCCCTGCTGCATAGCAAAAGTGTATTGGCCATATTATACAGTCGCAGATAATAGCGGCAGTACTTCGTATAGTAATTCAATTTCAGAATCGGAAATTGGTACTGGTTGAGATATGTAGTAAATTAACATAAAATAAAATCTTACAATATTGAATCTTTTGCATATTTTCATCCTTACCAAAAATTTAATAACTTTATTCATAAATCATACGTATCAATAGGTACCTTTGCAAATTTTATTAATTAGCTAAGTAAGTATTACTTCTACATAACCCAATTACGTAGTTGACTATTTAAATACCAATTACGCGAGCAGGTCGTTGCCAGAGCTAGCCTAAATAGTGAGTATTGACAAAAAATGTTCTTTACATAGGTAAAAACTTTACACAGGTGTAAAAATTCAAAAGAGGTTGCATGTCCTTACATGCAGGACATGCAACTTTGAAAAAGAAAATCGTTATCATCTTTCACTATAGAAACTTACACTTATATACCTCACATTTTATTGAATATAGTTTCATTTGTGAAAGTCTGGTGTCCTTATTATGATGAACCTGTGTTGTAGACCACCAGGCTCCCACCCTTCCACCTCTAGGTAAGCAATATAGTGCAGGTACGTAAGAAATATAGGCATAAGACAAAAGGATAAATAAAACAAAATAAATGCAAAAATGAAAGTTAAGTAAAGAACTGTTAGTAAATTAGCTTTTAATATATTAGAAGAAAATTGTCAGTATGTTGTGTTGTAAGTGTAGTCTACCTTTGTATTAATACAAAGATCGAAATCGAGGAAAAAAGAATTTAATTAGTAATAATTACATAGTAACAATTTTACAACAATTTAAGATGAGTAGGTAATAGTAGTTTATACACGATAACATGCAGAGGCTGAGGCTGAAATAAAGTACCCTGCATTTCAAATCACCAAGACTCCACCTCCTGTAGGGCTAGCACGATAGGGCGCGACTTGCGCGAGAGCCACATAGAAGCGCGAGATATGGTTATTATCTATTGGAGTAATAGCAGTATCTCGCACATTATGTCGCTCTTGCGCAAATCGCGCCCTATCATGCTAGCCCTACTAAAGATCTGAAATAGAAGAGGCAGCATTTCCAGAGGCAGGGTTTTCGATTAAGTTCAATGTTACATATATAAAAGTAGTCCCTGTTTATCTCTAAGGGACTCACTACCGTGTGGTAATTAGTCCCTTAGACTTTAAAGCTTTAAACTCGACCCGCTGACGTCACGACGTCAAACACACAACGTCCTTTTCTTACTACATTAACATAAATCCTTTCTTACTAACTGACCGTCACGCATACTAAAGAGATACGGTGTTCCTAACAGCTTTGATTCTATGGCGTTTTAAAGCCTCACGATGTGTGTAACACACCATTTTGATTTTTTTTGTAATACAAAAATTGGGATTTTTATTAATATACCTAAATTTTATGGCATTATAGTTGAAATTTCAATAGTAATAGTCGTAACTACGAAAACAAATCTGCGTACGCTTAGGGATACCGAGCCGGCAGCCTCCGGAATGCTTCGGCAGCCTTCGGGGTACTTCGGCAGATTTTACGTTTAACGTTGACTGAAGCTAGGCGCGAGCACGATGTCGCAACGGCACACTTCAACATGTTTAATGATATCGCTGCATATTATAAAAAAAGAAATAACGCACACTCTCAATCACAGAGGTTCTGTGTGGTAGATCAGCAAGGTAGCTGTTCGGTACCATGCTGATGTATTGTATATTATGGTAACTCAAATTTATGATCTATTTGTAAACCGAGATAAATCTGGGTATTGACAAAATCTTACAAAGGAACTCAGAGGTGCCAATGTTTGGGGTAGTACAGACAATTATGGTCATGATCCGTGGGTCATGTGGGGTTCACCACAGCATTATTCAGCAGCGATGCAAACACGATGCAATAACGATGCTGTCGCGAATCGTCGACATTTACACACACGCGCAACTTTAAGCAGCGATGCAAACGCGATATAAACGCGATTCAAACGCGATACAAACGCGATACACGTTTGAAAATAATTAACCAATTTATTTACTTAATTACGAAGACATGCCCAAATGTTAAATAACTTTACACGGCATAGCAATCTTACCTTTGCCCTGGCGGAACCGTCATCCTTCTCAATACTAGTAGGCAGCAGCTCCCACGGCAGATGGCTGCGGATGTAGCGAGGATGCGGAAGGCGGTACTTCACCAGATCCACTGATGTGCCCTTCACGTACTCGTCGTGCCACTGCCCGTGCCCGTCCACCAAGATGCAGGATAACTCCACAAGTGGACAACGGATCTGTGTAAAAATGTACCAGTTCTTACATTCCGTAACTCTGTAATAAGGTATACGGAACGGATAAGTTCTGTAGAGCACGCGATCAAAAAAATTGATTTCAAATTACGGTTTAAATTATCTTTGAGACAAGATTTCAGAAGTTAACTTTTTTTTAATATATAATAGACACACGCTTGGCCACAATCTAACCTGATGTTAAGCGACGACGTGACCGACGATGGGACGCGTTTGCCTAAAAAATGCCTATTCACTTTAGCCTTGAATAGCCCCAAATTGTACTTTTCGGGAAATACAGATAGTAGAGCATTCCACTCCTTTGCCGTACGCATCAGAAAGGAGGAAGCAAAGCGCTTAGTTCGAATAGGTAGAATATCAACGACATAAGAATGGAGTGCTCCGTACCTTCTAGTCGACCGAAGGAGGAACGGTGAGGGTGGAACTAAAGAAAAGAAAGAAAAGTTCCTGCGCACACTCCCCGAAATGTATCCGATAGAAAACCGATAGGCAGGCTACTTTTCTGCGACAGTCGAGATTTTGTAGCTTCGACTCTACAAGAGAATGGTAATAGGCAGAGCCATCCCAAAGACAGCAATACTCCATACATGATCGAACTTGTGCTTTATGCAGTTTTAAAAGCTGTTCAGGTGTGAAGTACCGTCTGACCTTGTAAAGTGTGCCTAGTTTTCTGGCAGCAGTTTTTGCCAAGCACTCGATGTATCGCCCAAAGTTGAGGTTGGATGACCAGACCAAGTAGCTCAAGGCGGTCCCTTATCGGCACGGATACATCTCGGAAAGTCGGAGTATCCAAGGATCGGAGTATCCAGCTGTTCAATACGCGCTCCATAGTCTTACAGAGTATGGAGGTGATTGCGATAGGTCGATAATTAGATGGGTCGGCATGACTACCTTTTTAGGTACAGGTTGTACATGTGCAAGCTTCCAGGTTTTCGTGACTTGTCCAGAACTCATAGAGAGGCGATACAGGCGAGTCAACACCGGAGACAACTCGGGTGCACAGTTCCGCAAGACAATCGCTGGGATTCCGTCAGGGCCACTGGCTTTGTTGACGTCTAATTTGCGTAAAGTTTTCAACGCCTTTTTTTGACGGATAGTGATCTCGGACATTTCCGAGTCACAGCAAGGTAGTGTAAGTGGTGTTTGCAAAGTAGCGTCAAGACGGGAGTTGGAAGCAAAAAGAGAAACAAAAAGATTTGCTTTCTCTTCAGCGGTATGAGCTAGCTATCCGTCAGCTCTCATTAAAGGCGGAAGGGATGACCTGCAGAAATTCGCTTCGAATGATTTAACGAGCGACCAGAATGCTTTACTCCCTGATTGGTACGAAGCTAACCTGGCCTACGACTAATATGGACGAAGCGTGCTTTCCGTATCGCTTTTTTGCAGGATCTATCGGCTTTATTAAAACTTTCTTCTTTTTTCTGCTTTTCTCAAAGCTTTCTTCAGACGGAGGGTTTCCGGTTCTTTGCGATGTCGAGCATCAGCCCAAGCTTGGTACGCAGATTGCTTTAGCGTTTCCGCAAAAGTTTCAGCGATACACCAAAGGCGAGCTTTGCCGCTGGTGGAGACTTCGAAATACGTAATAAAGTATTCCTTAACCCGAATAATCACCTCAGAGACGGCAGACACGCAACACGTCGGATCGTCTTTCATATACAGACGTCATAAAGCACTGTCACATACTGTAATATAATGAAACGAAAAGCAATACAATGCAATTTAATATAAGTAATTTTAATTCGAGCAAATTGACCCTTCTTGACAATCTTTGACGTCGTGGTCTTCATACAAAAAGTAATTAATTCATTTATAGCGCTATGTATACGCTTCAATACTTAAGAATAAGATCTCTGTTAAAATTCATAGTTTGCCATTTGCAAAGTTTAAAAGTGTCATGATACAAAAGCTTTATACAAAACGTTCTTATCGTTTTCGCGCGTACTTGGATGACAAATTTGACCGTTAATTATAATGCACATGCATAATGCAAAAGGGTAAGGGGCGCAGAGGCAAAACCCCTCAGATCTTTGCCATTTAAAGCTCTGAGTGGCACTGCAACTGTTATGGACAGGCGTGTAGCTTACAACCAGGCGCACGACTTGTTTGTCTCGTCACTTGATATTACAAAAAAATAATATTTTAAATAAATAAATATTATGATGTTGTACCAAACAACAACACCAAGTATCTGACAAAGGCATTTCCTGTACTATTAAGTACCAGAACAACGGAATTCACTTCACGGTACTACCCAGATCTGCCAGACCAGAAACAATTTAGAAAAGTACTTTTCCAAATTGATCCTAATCGATCCTGGAACCTCGTCATCCAGTCCAGTGCTCATAAACCGTTAGGCCACCGAGTCAAATTACCGTTAATTGTGTAGAAATTTCTTATAAGTACTCATCCTCGTTAGGGAAAACTGCTTTACGAATATGTAGATACGAGTATTCAATTTCGGGTGTGATTTCTTATCAACCTTTCCTATAAACAGAGATATGGTATGGCATAGAATAACGGTTGGTGTACGCAACCATTATAGATCATTTTGTACCTACTTCAAGATAAAAATATTCTGAACGTAGATTTTTTTTTAAATTTACAATGTGCTTCCATTGCTGATGCGTGTGTTTGCGCTAAAAAACTGATGAGCACCAAACAAATTGACAAATAGTAAGCACCTAGTAAAATTTTTCGTCCTTCGGAACAGACTAAGTTATCTAACTAGCCATACTGCCAGGTCTTAGATTTTAATATTTCTACAATCATTTAATTTTCTTACATTTTTTCGTGGGAAATCATTTACCTTAAGAGAATTGTATATTATCGCACATAAAAACAATTAAAGAGAAAACATTTTGGAAACTTTCACAAACTGACAAATAATTTACATTTGTGAAAAAAATTGCGAGTTTTGGTAGTTACATTTTTTATACGAATCGATTTTTTATTTAAGTATTATTATATTTATTACACCATCCTAAAACAGAGGTGTTTACCTTCGTTTAAAATAAGCCAAGAATTTCAAAATGGCCGCCGGAAAGGTATAACGATTTTCCACGGCAGTCAATGAAACAATGGAAGAAAAATTACAATCTAAGATCTGGCAGTATGGCCAATTAGACATCTTAGTCTGTCCCGAAGGACGAAAACCTTCACAACTAATTAAAACATGCCAACTAAGAATGTTAAGAACCATTTCTTCTCCGATCCCTGTTTGAAGAGATAAGATCTCTTCCCAAATGGAGACATAAAATTATAAATACACACCTGCTGAAGCGATTTGGCTCCCACGTAATCAAGATCATGACCAATGAGCCACACCATCTCTTGGCACCAAGTAGATCCTACACAAAAACACGGGCCATAAAAAACCAATACTTACATTTTTTTTAAATAAAAATCAAAGTCCTCTCGTTTAGTATTCCAGCCAATACGATGAAGATTAAAAAGTGTAGAATTTAATAATACTCGTAAATTTGAAATCTTCCTAACTCCATTTTTGCATGAAATCACCTTTTTTTATTCTTCAAGCGCAATATCGGGCTATCAAAGCTTAAAATATAATTTCTAGACCCTGTTTTAGTTATAAAATAAAGGTATAATCGTAGATTCTCATGTAATTATTTCTAGTAATTATGTTTTTTGCGCCTATTCAAAAGCTCACGTTAATGTAAATCCGAGATTTACGAATTTCTCCGACGACTTAAGAAAAAACTTACCAGTCCTCGGGTAAGAACACATCCAGACATCAGAATCCAATACCTCCATATCCATGATATCCTGCCCAATATCCATGTATCCAGCTGGCAAAATCACTCTTCCCGGGTTAATTTCGATCATACAATCTTTCTTTTCAAATAATCTATCCAAAATTTCTCCCGTTTCGGGATCTAATTTTGAAAAAGTTAAATTCGGTACAGTCTTCATTTTTTTTTATTTAGTGTTTATTTTTCAATTTCCAGAAGACGTTTATTTTTTATTTATTTTTTTATTCGATTTCACATTGGATTTTGTTCTGCTAGCGGCGCGACCAGTTAACTGGTAGGGCGGAAGTATTGTGATCGCGTGTACCATACCGGGCTACAAGCATCGTTGCGTTGTGGATTTTCCTTAACTCTCTCTGGTCGGATCACTTTCATTTCTCTAAGAACTACGTAAACCTCCGTTTGCATACTCAACTGAAGGATTTATTGGTTTACGGCTTTCGAATGATCATAGTATCTAACAAATTAACATTTATCATAAAGTGTAATCTAGTTCATAAATTCATGCGCATACGTTTAATGCAGTAGCCGTAACGTTCCTTGTGAAAGAGTTCGCTCAGTGAAGGTACCTATATCTGCCACCAAGCAACAAAAACAAAAACAAAAAGATTTTGAAGGGTACCTAAGTATGTTGATGAAATTACAGGTATATGGGACTTGTCAACTTATGTCTCAGGGTGACGGGTGATCTTTGTGATTACAAGCTTAGTAGCTGTGGAGCTCCTTGTGAAAGAGTTCGTCCAGGGTAGTAATGTCACCTTACCTATTTCTGCCGCCATGCAATATATCAGCATTACTGTGTTCCGGTTTTGAAGGGTAAGGGTGCTGGTGAAATTACAGACACGTGGGACTTGTCAACTTATGTCTCAGGGTGACGGGCGCAGTGGCAGAGCTCCTCTAATCTTTGCGATTCAAAGCTCCGAGTGGCACTGCAACTGTTATGGATAGACGTGTAGCTTATCATCATAAAAAAATGCAAGAAGTTATTAAAAATCAGGCTAGCTAGGGTCTATTAGGAAGGCATCACATTTATCGACACAGAGTTGCTATAAGCTGATCAACCCATATCTTTCTATATTGGTTTTGATTATAATGACGCTCCCAACCGACCATTAGAGTACACGAGAAGGGCACTATGACCTGTGCAAGCGAACTCGCACAGGGACCTGATCTGAGTCAGGTCCTAACCCCGGATCAGCACGTTTGGACTTCATCCGGTGCTTTGCAAGGCTAGGTGAGCCGCCCCGGGTGCACGTACAGCACGCTCAATAAACCGATCAGAAAAAACTTCATGTCCATGCAATAAGAGCGAAATGGACGCTGCGCATTTAATTGCGTCGTCAACGCGCACTTTTTTCTTTCCGACAACTCAGCTACAGACAAATACTCACTCAGCTAAAGACAATACAGACAAATCAATGTTTTATTTATTGTGAAAACGACAAAACGGCAAAAAGACAAAGAAATGTTTTATTTATTGTGTATAACATACATCTAGCTGTTGTCGGTAATAATTAAATTTAAAATTTCACTATGAGTGTGACTGCACCTAAACCCAGATAAATTAAAAAAAACATACTCAGTAAGTGCTAAAGACGATATTATTGAAATGCCAATTAAAATTGATGTTACGAAATGTAGTCACACTTTTTACACGATTTTGTTTAATACATTATACATTTTGAGTTTCTTAATTCTTTGTTATCTTTTAAGCTAATTGCCAGCGCCGCTAGCAGCAACTGCGCGTCTCCTCGCCTCGTCTAGGCTACTTCTAAGATGCGCTAGATGCGCGCGGGGTGAACGCCCCCGGTCACATGCTACCGGGACAGGCGAACGTGTCCATCCCTACAGCTAACCACAAACCCTGGCGAGTCCTTACCCAAGTCTCAATAAATAAATAATAAGAAGGTAAATGACACTTATTGCTTGTTTATTATTCTTATCAATAAAGAAACAACTTGTTAAATTCTTAATTAAACAAAACTACATTACCATAATGTATAATAATTTGGTTATTAGAACGTGGCAGCACGATAATGATGTATGGATTATGTATCTAGGTATCTACCTATGTTGATTTATATATTACATGTTTCTAGGTCTTAAAATGACCATAACGAGTTCCGAAACTGGATTACACTTAAACCATTACACTGCTAATTGTGACATATCAATAAATATACCGTCGAATGAATATTATATTATAATGTAGAGTCAATATACCTGTACATTCTGTGATACAATGAAACCAATAAAGTAAATGATTAAAATCCTTTTCAGTTTCACATCTTATCTTATTCTACATTACAATACCATCTAGACCTAAAGAATCCTGTCTGTAGGCAAATATCTTACATAACTAATTATTTGATATGCATTCCAACAAGTTTTAGGATGAAAAAAGAAATCGCATTTTTTTTAAACATTTTTTTACATACTACCAAGTGACGGGACGAACAAGTCGTGCGCTTGGTGATAAGGACATGCCTATCCATAACAGTTGCAGTGCCATTCAGAGCTTTAAATCGCAAAGATAATCGCAAAGATCTTAGGGTCACTGCCACTGGGTCCGTAACCCTGAGACATGAGATAAGTTGACAAGTCCCGTGTGCCTGTAATTTCACCAGCACCCTACCCTAATGCTCACATTAGTACTGCTTGGCGCCAGAAATAAATAAATACTTCCCTGGACGAACTCTTTCACAAGAAGCTCCACTGCTACTAATATATTTATTCCAAACACAAATCTATATTCACGAATAATTTTGTCTTTGTGTTTGTAAAAATTCGAATCATAATTATACAAAATCGTAAATCAAGTACGAATATTCGTTCTCCAAACAAATCTGTTAATTGCTCGAGCTCTTTTTGTTTGAAAGATCATAAATTATACAAATATCCGATTGAGAGCGTACATTTTATTATTCGTTCAGCATACAAATGTATTTAATGCTCGCACTCTCTTTAATTAAAATTGTACAAATGCCCGATTGAAAGCGCTCATGTTGTATGGAGAATGAATTTATTCGTTCCCCATTCTGCACTTTTTTTGTTCATAGAATCATAATTATTATTCCCCTTTACAAATGTTTTCCCCGCCGTGCTCATTTGGCATGGGGAAATAAGATTTTTTTACCTGCAAATATGGCCGTTTTAATGCCGCCGTAAAGGATTGACTGTACTTATGTTTATACATACTTCATGTCTATTCAGATCCCATATTGTCGGTCTATCGAACACGTTCCGTAGTTTTTAGTTCCTGGCATCGTCATTCATCAGCGAGAACTTTGTTTTTTCCATTAGGGTGGAAACCTTAGAACCGCCGGCGCCGGTAGGTTTAGCGTGTCGACGCTATGATGGCCGTTTTGACGTTTGTCCGCTCATCAAGTTTCGTATTAATTCATAACTACGTCGAAGGAGCTAATTGTCAATAGCGACATGCATGAGAATGTATAATTTTACGATGCAAATCGGCATTTGTTTTTGAAATTCGAAATTTTTAAAAGTAAAATCTAATACGAAAGGATGGCTGTCCAGCACAACTTCTAACTCCAGCAAAGCTCAATGCAAAACAAATCAGTTTAGAATTGACGATATATTAAGTAAACATTTTTATTAAAACTTTTTGACCCCTTGCAATACTAGTTATAAATATAAATGTAGATGCGACTCGCATTTGAATATATTTTTTTCGATAATGAATTAAGATTTCACCTCACTATTGTAATCTGTCAAAACGGCCATCATAGCGTGCCGGTACTGTAGTCCGCTTGTAGCGGTGTCATAAACCTATTTGACATGTCTGCATTTGTATATATAAGGCTGTATTTTTCTTTCTCTATTTTACGTACTGCATGTGAAATATAGTAATTTCGAATTTTTTAATTTTTCATTGTTATGCATGTTAAATCGCAGTTTATTCTCAAGTAGGTAGATACCACCAAGTTTCACTATAATAATGTTGATTTACATTTTCCTTGCACATTTTGTTGATCAGGAGATTAGATTAGCGGTTTGCGTGACCTCTGGTTGCATCATACACCGCAAGAGATTTTCTATGATTAGAAAGTTTATTTTCTCAAGATGCGGAACCCTACGATCTTCCCTCACGGTACAGGTTATATCAGAAATCGTTGAAGATTATTTAAGACTTTCTTAAAAACTATGAATTGGCATATAAGTCGGAAAATGTATTTCAAACTCCTATAGCAATCTTGCCATGGGCGTATTACTTATAATTAAACCAAGCCAGCTACACATGGAGTTTATGGGATCTTTTCTGGAAAGGACTAAGGACTGTTCTCATTTACTTTGATATCCTACACCCAATATAAATATAGACGACCCCGAAGGACACTTTAACGTTGAACTTCACACAACAACAACTTCAAAAATTTGGACTTACAATAATGGATAAGTCTATAAGCATTAAACAATAGCTTTTTGCACCTAATACCATTGTATTAGGTGCAAAAATCTATTGTTTAGCACTACTCTAATATCATTATATTAGAGTAGTGCTGGAGAAACGCCCTGACGGCATACCCACTGCCGTCGTTATCATAAATAACGTAATCGATATTTTTAGCAAAATTTAGTTATTAATATATTCGATGGTGTTTTGTAGAGGACGAAAGCGCCACCTCGAAAATTTTGTTTCAGGGAAGTAGGTATGTCAAATTCATAGTCAAATATGAAATAATGTCTATTTCAAAGGTAAGCAGATTAGACTTGAAATCGTCATACTGTTTAAACTCTAGTATTAAGTTATGGGCTTATACTGTGGGGGAACTCTGTAGATGTAGGTAGGGTTTTTATAATAAAAAAAAAATGCATTCGCGCAATTTGTGGCGCTAAAGCAGATGACACATGCAAGCCCCTATTTAAAAAACTAAACATCTTACCTCTCCCCTGTATGTATATCAGAGCATCTGTGTGTTTGTTAAGACTAATCCTAAACATTTTAAAATATGTGGCGAAATATTTCAAAGACAAACACGGCCTAAAATTATGAATCAATTATATCAACCTCGTTGCCATAAAATAATTTACACAAATAACTGCTACAACATGTGCATTAAGATTTTTAATAATTTACCAAGTGACATTAAATTACTACACGGACATAATTTTAAACTACAATTGACAAGATGGCTTATGACACATTGCTTCTATAGTAATAAGGAATACTTTGAATTTAGAAATATTTGACATTTTAATTAACTTCAATTACCTGTACCAATAAATTCCAATATATTTGCACACCTGCTTGCAGGTTGAATACATTGTACCAATTTAATTTAAGACCTGTATATTTACTGTATTTTGGCAAATAAACATTAATCTAATCTAATCTAATCTAATCTACTGCTCTGCGTTTTAGGTTTTAACGACTATTTTAAAATATTTACGTCCTATTTTAAAATTCAATTTTGTTTAAAATTAAGTTTAAGTTAAAAATTTAATTTGAAACCAGACGTAAATATTTTAAAACAGTCGTTAAAAACTAAAATATGGGTCTCTGAAAAAAATTTCGGAATGGCGCTTTCGCCCTTTCTACATCTACAACAACACCGACGGTGTCTGGAATCAACGAAATGAGATCCCAATCCTCTATAAACTATAATAATAGATTTTTTTTATATCTTATTTAGTTTCAGATTTATTGTTATTCAAAATCAACGTATCTAATTGAAATTCAAAGAAAAAAAACTTTAGGTGCCAATAGGTAACTCGAAACTTACCAATATGCAAATATACGTTGTTTACGACAAGGAAGGCAGTATAGCAGTGCGCTATAAAAGGTTTTTTTTTTATAATATTAAGTGACGGGACGAACAAGTCGCGCGCCTGATGGTAAAGATACACGCCTGTCCATAACAGTTGCAGTGCCACTCAGAGCTGTAAATCTAAGGGGCACTGCCACTGCGGCCGTCCCCCTGAGACATAAGTTGACAGGTCCCATGTGTTGTAGTTTCACCAAAAGGGTTAAATGGTGACGTGGGCGACGAAAACAAAAATTTTAACTACATCAGCAACTTTTGATGACGACTGTACATTATTGGCTGCGCTTCCTGTCTAACTACTTTCAGTTTCTGTAAGTGCAATCGAGTGAGGTTATGCAGCTGTTATACGCACGTTATGCAGCCAGGTGAAATGGCGCGAAACGACTACGCTACAATACAAGAATTTGATAATGGATCAAATAAGTCGAAAGGAAGCACTTTCAGTAATAAGATGTGCGGTATTTTTGGCAATTAACAAAGTAATTAAAAAGTAAATCAATGAATTATAACGCACCTCTCGACCGAATAATGGTAACGTGCTGCTGCGGTAGTTTTTGTTTTATTGTATATCCGGTGTTTAGAGCGTTAATTGCTCCTTGTTTTTTTTTCTACAGATATTTATAAAAGTACAATAATTTCAATGACACCGTAATAAACGTTACAATATTATTCCCTTACCTATTATTTTTTTATTATGATACCAAGAGCCTGTCCATTACAGTTGCTATGCCAGTTAACAGTTAACAACTTTAAATTACAAAGATTTTAGACTCTAAGATATTTGTAATTTGTCTAAGACTAGAGTGTAACTGCCTCTGTGGCCGAACGGTTACAATGCCGGACTGCCACGCAGAGGTCCCAGGTTCGATTCCTGGGCCGGGAGAAATGTTTGTATGGCCTACATTTATTTCTCTCGTGAGTTTGGGTGTAATTTGTGGTTGTCTATGTGTGTGTCCGTGGCACCCGCGACACAGGGTTTCCCTAGTGCGGGGCTATGTTGAGTGTGTGCGTTATTTATTTACTTAAATAATAAAAAGTTTTTTTTTATTTAAATAATAAAGAGGCACTGCCACTGCGTCCGTCACCTTGAGACTAAGTTAATGCTCACATTAACAAAAAGAAAAAATAGTTATTTGTTATGCAAGGCTGCAAAGTTGTTGTTTGCCGTGAGTGCTTGTATTGAAACCTGAGCAACGAAGCAGTCTAACTTTTCACCTCACTATAACGAGGAAAATGGTTCATGAAAGAAAAACAGTTGAACTATAACAAATCAGTTTTATTATACAAAATTAGTTAGGTGTCGTTATCAATTTAATGTCAACAAAAAAGACTTTCTTTTCCATTTTCTTGAGTTTGACTTTTCATTTAAAGTTTAGAAAATGGCGGGGTGTGAAACACGTGCCAAAGAGCGGGAAAATGTTCAAATATCTTTTTAATAACCTTGAAGTGTTTACTTTTGAAAATGTATACATAATTTTCACATTTTTATCTTATATCTTAGACACACATGAGGTAAATTTATAACGTAGGTACTCAATTAGTATTGTAATTGTAAACGAAAATAAATCGATAAACTCGCGCATTTCACAGTTCACCGCGCACCCTTTGTCCACCCGCGGCCGCCTTGTCTTCCGGTTGTCACAGAAACGTCAACCTAACGAAACTATAGTAAACAACAATGCTACAATAAAATAAAACAAAATGTCCAAAGTAAGTAACTTAAACTCAAGTTTAGCGTATGAAATACTGCTGTACTTGAATACTTTTTATCTGGGCATGTTTTTCGTATGCGAAGTGGCTATGGGGATTTTAAAGGCAATCAATGTTTCATATCCCGAAAATGCATTATTGACCGAGACAGGAATATTCTTTGGTCTGTGTTTAGTTGAAGTTATTCGAATTTTCTTAGGACGACGAGGGAATTTGGCTAGCAAAAGTAAGTTACTTTGTCTAAATTAATCTACCTTCAAGTTGTAGAGTTCCAACCTTCTCTTACTTAGTGAAAAGTATATGGCTTTCATAATTTGTCTTCATAGTTTTATTTTTTTAATTGGTCAAAATTTTTGACTAGAGACCATTGCCTTTCCAACAGATAAGCTAAATGATTATAAAAATAAAGATTTAATTGCAGAAATCCCGGTATTTCTCTCCGTGGTTCTAACTATACCATCAGCAGCGGGAGTATGTTACTTCCTCATCTACCAGACTCATATACTCCGTCTCGAATACATCTGGTGCGCAGTTATGCTAATGTTCCATGCATTGGAATTCGCTTTTGCTGTCCTGTTCATCTTTACCGTCTGTAAACATCAACAATATGAATAGAACAGAAACTCTTCACCAATAAGATACTAAGTGCCAAATGTTACCGACTGAATTTATAATGCATTGAAAATTGGGATTATGAACTGGGTGCCTTCCGGAAGCAAGACTTAAGGAGCTTCAAACCTTACAAGTTTTGTCTAATGAAAGGACTTTTTGAATTCCGTATTTCAATTCACACAGAATGCTGTGGTAGCCAAGTTTTGTAAGGAAAATTTCTTTTTGAAATTTTTTTTAAATCTGAAGACCAACCGTCGCCCATTAAATGGGCGAGAAGTTTATTCTGTACTTAAAAACTCTTTAAGTACAGAATAAACTTCTCGAAATTCGAAATCGACTTCAACTACGACAGCCGGTAAAAGACAATTTCTTTCCACTTCAACATTCCTCATATGGATAAGTATTTGGATAAAAAAGTTGAGAAATTATTATTATATTTAGATTAGTTAAGAGTTATTTTTATTCACGAAAAGGCCGACTATTTATCTTATATCCTGGAAATTGTGAAGTTAGTATTGACTTATGTACCACGGTGAGGGTACAAGCTATACTTGTCAACAGGCTAAAGTCGGCCTTTATTTGTGACAGAATATTATTTCATAATTTTTTAGTAGAGTTGTGAACTAATTATATAGCAAACTGACTGAGATTATATTTTAATTTATGATGCAAAAAAGTATTTGTAAGCTTATAAAGCACAATTTTTTACAGTATTGTCACAAACTCATTTTAAGTGTACCATTAGGCCCTAAGATTATGAACAGTATTATTATGAACTAATATTATATTAATAAAGAAAGAGATATAGTATGTAAAACAATTTTTATTCTAAATTTCTATGTTACAAATAAATTACTTATTGTACACTAGGAGGTTTAATGTAGTCGGGTATTTTCTGACATTCCACTTTAGTGACTTTTAATGCACATCCTTCTGGTAAGTTCCTCTCAATATACTCTAAGTATGTGTCACATGTGGACCCAGTGAGCCTTTGTAAGTGTATAAAACGGAAATAGGTCCGTATTTCATACTGAACTTTGTGTTTTTTATAGATGTGTACTGCTCTAAGTAGTGTATGCCGTTCCTTTTCTGCTTTTCTTAGTGCCCAACTGTAAAGAGAAACATTACCATGTAGATCTCAAAGAAACAGACTAAAACAAACTAACTTAGAGCGATGCCGTACAATGCTTTGCGATGATGTTGCGTTGTGACGCTGCGTTGTATTATACATGAATCATTACGACATGCCACATGGATCGTTGGAACGACGCTCTGACGCCAGCATAATATGCCGAAATCAAAGCGACGCGACGACGCAACGCCTGTGACATTGCGAGATTGCCCTTGATACTACCAGTAGAACTACACTGTAGGACCACAGGCAAAGAATGCTCGTAACAATATTAGAATAAACAAAAATGTTAAAAATAAAGACACAAAATTAAAAACAATAGACAAATTAGATATTTATTATATAGAACTGCAGTCATTGACCTTAAATAGGTCAAGGATTGCAGCATTAAATTATTGTAAGCGGAGTAAAACATGGTGTATTAACATATACATACAGGGGTATGTCTCATAATGTTGGTTTTACACATTAATCGATGGGCCAACACAGTAATTGATATACAGGCAAGTACCAGATCTGAATTATTTTATGACATTTAGGGTCGTATTCCAGAACTCTACTCAATGCTCAAGTCAGGACTTGAGTTGAGAGAATTTTGCACTAGAATTCATACTCAAGTCCTGACTTGAGCATTGAGTAGAGTTCTGGAATACAACCAATAAAGTACCTACCTATTAATCATGTAATTAAACACAACTATTACAATTATTAAATTAATATTATATTTGAACTCTTGTAAATCCTTATGTTTAATCACTGGATTTAATTTAATATGTCAATGATTAATGAAATGTCACTTATTAGATTGAGGCCTTTTAAAATATAAGTGCTAAATGTTACGAACTTATGATAAGGTAAATAAAGCTATTGAATCTTAAATCAAATTGAGTAACATAACATAATAACTAAATTATTATTTTTACAAATCTAAAGGTACAGGCCTTTTTTTTATAATATCAACAACTATATATATATACTATATGTATATAATACGAACAACTCGTGCGCCTGATGGGAAGCCCGTCCATAACAGTCGCAGTGCCACTCAGATTGAAAAAGATCTGAGGAGCACTGCCACTGCGCCCATCACCCTGAGACATAAGTTGACGAGTCCCATGTGCTTGTATTTCACCAGCCTAAAAAACGAATAAAAAAATAATACACTTACCTCCTGGTTACCTCAATGCCAAGATGTGAAGCAGCAGCAACACAGAACCAGGAGTAACTTAATAGGACAGCTGGGTCAATTCCTCTCATTTCCAGTTCAACTCTTTTGTATAACTTATCTAGTTCCAGATTAGACTGAATCGATAGTTCGTCAATGGGTTTTACGGGTGTTACAGATGCAGTTGTGGCAAATCGGGTATTGCCGGTGAGGAAGGTGTTCCGTATGGTGGGCGATGATCGCCATAAGCTCTGAAAGTGGTAGACAACATAATGATAATAAAACCGGAAGTAAATTCATTTGCTATGCTTTGGTTTTTCATATTACCTACAATGTTAAGTAATTAATAGGTACAGGTGTTTGGGGCTCGCAGAGTAGCACATTAATTTTCTTCCATTTTTATTAACATGGACTTCCGCAAAGTAAACGCCTGTACCTATTAAATACTTAACATTATAGGTAATATGAAAAACCAAAGCATATGAAAAGTTTGGTAGAATCTAAACAATAAATATTAAACATGGTGTGGTTTTCCTCAGTCTAGGTACATTGTGTGAGCTAAAAAACTACTGCGAGATATAGAGTTTCAAACAGTTTATTTATATCATAAACGACAGTAACAGTACCTATCCACAAGTATGTAGTCATCATTCGGCAAAACAGATTAAGATCTCACAAAGCATGCTAACAGAGCTTCTATTATATAATTTTGCATCAAATGGTTATTAAATTACAATTAGTGTACGAGTTTGAAAAATTACAATTAAATATACAATATAAACTTACTCTCATAATGTTCATTTTAAAGTTGTCTGTATCCACGGATCAATTGTAAACAGGATGATTGCCTATATTTATTTACATACAAAGAACGTTAAAGTTCTTTTAAATTTTGATTTCAGATTCACTGCATAAAACATAACCTATAAGTTTTCGTACAGAAATTCTTACATTTGTTTGACAATATCATTTATAAACAACCTCTGTTTGCCAACCAACGTTCCTGCCACACTTTCTGAACGAAATAAATTTGATAACGTTGCCCTGGATGGTGGGTTTTTGAAGTTACGCGTACAGAGTTTACAAAGATTATTTTTATTTTAAGTATATTATGAAGAAAAAACGAAGAAAGAAATAGTGATGAAGAAAGTTATTCCTTATTTTAAACCAAATTAGAAAAGACTTTATCCTGAAAGTTCCACTTATATGAATTCAAATTTATTGTTCAAAGTGATAGAAGATAATGTGATCTATGTGAAAGTAAAACATAAATATTGACCCCCGGCGCTTAAAAGGTCTGTTTAATAAACCCAAATAAGTGATTTAAGAGAAAGTGAAAAGTATTAGAATTTAGAACTACAATCATTTACCTTTGTTGGTAGGTCAATGACTACAATGGCAAATATTATTGAGGATCCCGACAATTAAACGATGACATGGCTCAAAGGACTTCTATCCAAGCCAAAACTATAGAAAAAAAAAAGTTGCTCTAATTCTTGCTTCCGTCCTATATGAATTCTTGCCAGGCACATCATAGGCACATGCATTTTTTAAACAAATCTGTGTGCCCTATCAAAATTCTCTCAGGTTCTCGTTTTGGGTAATTTTCAGGTAGGTAAGTCAATCTCAATAAAAAAACTCAATTTTGGTGACAATTTCTTTTAATTTAATTATTTATAGAATATCATCATGAAGTATTAATATTCGAGAGTGGTTACCTGAAATATTCTTTAATATTTCACGATGATATATTAGAGTAATTAAATAATAAAAATTGTCACCAAAATTGAGTACCTACAAAAAACTGACCTGAAAATTACTGTTTAAAGGTACTGTTGTACTAATTATAAATTACATTAGCTACTAAATAATTACCAATATTTATAAACGTTTTACTAAATATTTTCTGTGATTTCGAAGTCTTTAAATTTTGAATTGGGCCATAAGCAGCGTGTGAATTGCCGCCTAGCTGCTATCAGTGTGGCATTTATTGCCTTTGGTGGGTTCAAGAAGTTTTTAATCGCTCTGAAAATAAATTAACTAATTCAATTGGGCAGTATTATGTTCCTCATACAGTATTTTTATAATTAACCATTAGCATTAATTAAAGAAGTTCTTGCTTACATCAGGTTTCAAGGCACAAAAATAATATGACAGCAGTACGTAAAAAGAATTGAAGTTACAAAACAAATACATAATTTTTTAAAATATATTGTTTTTCTCTTACAGAAAACAGTAAAAACTTAAAACAACTTTCAGAAGGATATGATTTTAAAACAAAGACAAAGATTCTTAAAAATCGGAAACATGATTGAATAAAAATTTAACAACTAGAATCGTCTTAAACATAAAATAAGAACATTTAATTCGTGGTAACATGGTAGTACCTTACAGTACGGATTAGTACAAAAATAAACATTCTAGAAATGTTATCATATGGATAAAAATTAATGATTAAGAAATAGTTGTCGCCGCCAATGCTATTTTTATTTCGCGCCCCAACGCAGCTCCCAAGGGTGGTGGAACAGCATTTCCGATCTGAAACAAATACCATTTCAATAACAAATTAGGAACGTGCCAGCCATCAGACCCGGTGTCAAACTATAGGGTTTAAAAGGTAAAAAAATATTTAGTGACAAGCGACTTAACCTGTCGTACTTTTACATGACGTGTTGTAACACAAAACTGGTCAAACGAGCACTTGCATTATAAAACAAAAATGCGCATGCACAAATTCAATGGCAAATACATGTTATAGTGTAAATATAGAACTGATACCTGTCGATGTTTATCCAATACAGATCCAGCAAAGACATAACTATCGGGGAATCCCTGCGATCGCGCGCATTCCCTCACGGATACTACTCTGTTTTGCACTGGGTGCAATACACGGCCTTGCTTGCCCATTGGCTCGGGGTCCGTTACTGTCGTGCTGAAATAACCGTCCCAAGAAACGCGCCCTGAGAATTTTACAACAATTGTTGAAACAAAATTAGAATGAAGTCGTCAGTGCTGGAATAAGCAAAATATTTTAAAATGGCGACTATACAAAAGGAGACGCTCGATGGTCTGTCTTTCTCGCCTGTTATTATGGATTCGTAGTCAAACTAGAACTCTTCGACTACACAGGATAAACCAGTGACTAAACGGTTGGTATTGTGTTCAATCTGGGCACGAACTTGTCTAAATTGGTTCAGCGCCCTGATTTTAATTCGAAATCGGAATAGATTCCGGATCGGATCGGGTACCCCATCCGCAATATTATGCGCCTCGACTCGGTAAAAACGCAGTAACCGATCGGGAGAGGCAATCAAAATCAAGCTGCTGGTCTGTGATTTCGCCCGTGTGACACATGTCGAAATCGGTTTTATTACGAGCAATAAATACTAGTCGTTTGCAATATGTAAGTAGCAGGAGACAGCCTGGTAAACAGCCCGTTCTACTTTCTTATTTTTTTTGGATCTACGTTATTTTCTTAATGATATTCGCCGCAGACGATCACCCAAAAAGTTATGCATACATTCTGATCTTAGAGCAAAATATAAGATTTCAGTTACCGTAAAGACCAGCCCAATTATTATGCCTGTTCCCAGTGTGCGGTAAACACCAGGGTATGAGAGTGTTCTCCTGTTTGTCCCCTAGTTGACAAGCACCGCGTTCGGCACATGCGCACACGCCTCGTAGCGCGCCCGTTGACGATCGCCCGTTCTTTTTATCGTCGTAGCGGTATTGCAGCACCTTTATTTTTAAGGATTACGTAAGTACCTTAATTTCAAGTACAGTTAAATAAAAGGAAAGAAGAATAAAATTTAATTTTGTTTTAATAGCCAGTCGTCTACAATTCGTTGTTCGTATTAATTTATTTTACGCAACTAATGACAAAGGTAAGCCATACAAACCTTGCACTTGGTTCCATCTGCTAAAGTAACAGAAATATTAGGCAGGTCTCTCCAATCCGATCCAGGTGCAGTGGGTATTCTGCAGATCCTCTCTTGCACCAATGGGGCCATAGTCTTACATATGTGATCACGTAACTTCGCTGACTTATCTCTTCTTCTAACTACGCGCTGAAAATGACTTTCAGGCACGGAACCGTACTCAATTTCAAGCTTATTCGCTCCACTACTTATTTCTGGCAAATCGCTCATAGCATCACGAATTGTACAAGTTCGTCTGGGAGCCGAACCATCCCATTGAATATTTGTAACGAATCGTTTACCATCTATATTAGTCATCAACGAGCAAGCGCGTCTGCTAAAAACAGTAGTCGGTTCAGGGTAAAGAGGAAGTTTGTATCCTGGAGCAGCAGCGAAAATAATAAGTCTTCTTCGCGTTTGTGGTACCCCATAATTACCAGCTTGAATAACCCCAAAAGTACACTGGTAGCCCATAACCAATAATGCTCGTAGTGTCAGTTTTAGAACCATTCCTTTCTTGAAAGCAACGAAATTGCGAACATTCTCCAGGATGAAGTACTTCGGGCGGTAGTAGTCACAGAACGACAGGTAAGAGGCGACCAAAGAATTTTTGAAATTGGAGTATTCTCTGGAATTGAATCTGTTCATTCCAGAAAATCCCTGACATGGAGGTCCACCACAAAGTAGCTCGACTTCGCCCTGCATCGGTAGTCTCAAGCCACCAGCGCTGTGTGTAGCACCAGACATAGCATCTTTCAACAATGCATTGCAATCTTCATTAAACACTATGCAGTTTTTATTATTCATAGAATATGCATGAGCTGCAGCTTCAACATTTTCGATGGCCCAACGACATTCAGCAATGCCGGACTGATGTAGTCCTGCAGAAAGACCGCCACATCCAGCAAATACATCCAGAGTTCTTAATGGCCTTATTTGTACCTCTTCAGCCTTCATTTTGATCTCTTGAGGCTTACTGGTCTTGCCTTTCCCCTTACCCTTGCTTTTGCTTATATACTCACGACCTACAGAAGTGGCATGATCAGGTACGTCAAAAAATTGTCCACTAGATTTATCGAAAGCCGTCTTAAAGTAAAATCTACTTGGGTCTTCTTCTAACCACTTATGAATGGAATCTTGTTCTGGAACGTTTTTTTCGTAAAATAAGTGACAAGGTCCAACAACTGCTGAGAAAGGAATTTCTCTGTGTTCATTAGTCCAATGAACAAGATTGAAATCTTCGTGTTGAGGAAATCTGCTTACTGTGTTTTCTGGTCTATAAAGAACATTCACTTTAAGATAAATATCTTGAGGAACAATAAGCGGTCCTCTGCCCTTTGCTGTAACTGCAACTATGTATCCAACACAGAATGGCTCGCCGGTGTCAACGTTCGAACCCCGTAAATAATTATCGCTCTTTCTGTAATATTCAGGATACTTATCCTCATCTACTTTCTCAAGTTTTATTTTGTCATTATTGTTGTCTATAGTCAAAGTATTTTTTAAACCAAATGTTCCCGGTTTGAGAAATACGCCTCTTCCTTTCTTATATTCATTGCTCTGCCACTTTACGACAGACCATTCCGTTCTATCATCTTTAACAATATCTGATTTTGCTACAATTTCTCCATAGACCTTTGGAATATTTTTGTCGTCGCGTTTCGATTTCCTTTCACACGAAGGGCAGAATCTGTGTCGTCTTAAATCATTGGGACATGGAGGATCTTCTGGCAAATCTTCAAAACGTGCAGTGAATCTTTCATAAAATTTATTGTAAAAGTAAGTCTTCCCATCGTCTTCAAATGTATCGTCGTTCACTTCCTTGCCACCCATTTTAAACCAATCTTTCAGAGTTTCCGTTCTTTCAACAGTTGCTTTGCGTAATATAGATGAAAGTGGTGCAGCATGGCAACATTTATCCCCCAAAAATACTTCCCTTGGATCACCAACTTCACCCAGCACAGTTTCGGTAGCTCTTATAAAAACTTCTCCATGAAAGTAACCCATTTGAGAATTGGAAGTTTCTTTCCATATGTAAACAATTCGAGCGACCAAAGCCGGAATGTTAGCTTGAGAAGTTTCCACCATAACATAGTCTCCGACTGCCAATTCTGAGCCATCAATCAACACTTTCTCGTAATACACTTTATTTGAGTCTGCTTTTACGCTGTCACCAATCCATTTTATATTTCTGTAAGTTCCAATCAACTTAACTGGAACGCTATCTTCTAATTTATTTTGAGCCTTCTTTTCATCGTCATAATCTTCATCGTCTTCTGGATCTGAGTCCTCTGCTTGTTGCACGGCCATATTTGGGCAATTTCTGCGTATGCAAGCTTTTTTCGTGCGTCCGTGTCCACCAAATTTGGCCATGGCTCGACAAGCTTTACATTCGCCACAGTCTGGTAATTGGCATGCTTCACAAATGCCACATCTCTTTCTTCTCAACACTAACTCATGGTTTGTTTTGTCCAATTGATGAGTGAAAAAGCTTTCAAATGTTTTTCGCACTAAAGGCGTAGTTGTAGCCCTAGTTAAAGTCTTTTTATTGACTTTCTTAAAGTCTATCTTGGCATGTGTCTTGCGCTTCCCAAACTTAATCCCCATTAGTTTTATTAGTTCCCTCATACAAGGCAAGGTTATAAGAGGTGGAGAATCCTCGTCGTCGTCTTCTAAGCTGATAACTTGGTCACAAACAAATTGAGCGTGCTTGTGAAGCATTTCTTCTGTCATTTCCTTGTTACCAAGGTCTGGGATTGTCGTTTGTTTAATAACTTGCAGTAAATCTTCATAAGTTGGGTGCATGTTGTAATTTTCTTCAAGATACTCTACCACAACTTTACTTAGCCATATTTTTTCGAATAAGTTATTCATAAGAGGTGTATAATCAGTGCTTGGTTTCATTAGATTGTATTCTCCAAATTCAGTCGATAGTGTGATGCAATTCTTATTTCCGCCATCAAAGCCATGGATGTACCTGAAAAATAAAATTCAACAAATAGAAAACATGACCACTACAAAAATAACCAATGCTATACGCTGCCCCAACTTTAAAAAGAACTTATAGTTTGTGAAGTCATATATGTTATTACGCAAATAAACATATATATTAGTATATGTTAGTTGAGTCTGAGTATGTAGTGCAGTGTAATTATCTTACTTACCATTCAATAATAGGACCAATATCTTTAACAGGTACAGAATCGTCATCAATCTCGGGTGAATCAGAGCAAATTGATTTCAGATATCCAGACATACAAATGCGAACATCGTTTTCTATAAGATTACCGTCAATAGGACACAAGTGACCTTGTTTGTCAAAGATAGAGAAACCAGTTATATTTGTTTGTGGTCTTTCCATGATATTTCCTTCATCGCCTGACAATGAACAAAATATTACAATTATTTTTAGTTGAATCTAGAACACATTCTAAATATTTTTGATAAAGAAACTATAAATCCAAGTTCGAACACTCAAAATACAAATAGTCAATACAATATATAACTGCCTCCGTGGCCGAACGGTTACCATACCGGACTGCCACGCAGAGGTCCCCGGGTTCGATTCCCGGGCCGGGAGAAATATTTGTATGGCCTACATTTATTTCTCTCGTGAGTTTGGGTGTAATTTGTGGTTGTCTATGTGTGTGTCCATGGCACCCGCGACACAGGGTTTCCCTAGTGCGGGGCTATGTTGAGTGTGTGCGTTATTTATTTATTTATATTTATTTTATTTAATATACAAATATTCTTTATTGCACACAGGCACAAATTCATAATAAAAAAACAAACAAAAGACGGGTACAACTGGCGGCCTTATTGCTAGTTAGTAATTTCTTCCAGGCAACCTCCAGGTTACAGGATAACTTAAACATAATATGAGGGCGCACCAAATTGCTCTTACACTTACGAAAATAAATAAAATATTTAAGTAAATTAAAAAATACAAAAAATAAATATATATGTAAATTATAACTATGAAAGAGAAGAAAGAGTGGTAGAAACACTCCTTTTTAAAATTATATGTTATTTTTTATACAAACATAAAACCCACCGACTAATTACTATTAAATCCTAGTTTCACACTCTGTACACACACTCACTAGGTTTCAAATCTTTATATAAAATTTTGAGTACACTACTAACTCACCAGCTGTCAGCACCAATTTATCGTCAGTTAATGCAACATATTCCTCAACGGCATCTTGTGGATGTCCTTGATAATATAGCAATTCCGGATCATTTAAAAATTGTCCACAACTATCACATTTCTCATTGTTAACTCTATTATTGGAATTATTTTCTCTTTTCAACTTAATGACATCATTTCTGTTTTGTTTACTACCTTGTTTTCTAGCATCATTTTTATCATTTGTTTTTGATTTGGTGCTTTGTCTATATCTCTTGTCTAATTTATCAACACTGCAATCACTTGTTTCATTAGATTCATCAGAATCGTTGCTTTCCTCAGAGGAGCTATTTGAGTCTTGAGCTTTATTATGTTTCTTGAGATTAACATTCAGGGTATCTTTGTTGTTATTCCAATTTTCCAAATTCAAATTTGTATCACGATGTAACTCAACATATGTATTATGTGATTGTTCATTTTTATGATTATTATATTTTGCATTATCGTTGACGATTTTCGAACAAGATGCTTCATCATTTGTTTTATTCTTACATTCTACTTGATTATTATTTACTCTTACTTTAAGTTCTGTTGTACTTGTTGTAATGTGACTTTCAATATCGGCATTTACAGTTTCAACTTTACCATCATTCTCTTTGCAACATAATTCTTTTTCAATATTGTTATTTTCTGTACTTCCTACATCATTATTATTGTCTTGTTCTTCCCAATTAGTACTATTACTTTTATCTTTTCTAGCATTGATTAATTCGTTATTTTTGTCATTTTGAGTCTTAGTTACACACATATCAAGATTGTTATTATCTATTCCAAGATGAAACATGTCATGATTTTGATTATTTTTATAATTCTCATTTATATTTAAAAAAATTTCTGCCTTAGCTTTTTTCTGTAAATTACAAATAAATCATTTAACATTTTAGAAATACTGAAATATTTTTTTTATCTAACAATGTCTTTTCAAACAAACTAATCATATGTAGCGCAAACTGGGCTGTTCTTTAGTAAAAGGAATTAAAAAAAAAGGATTCAATTAATAACTTTTGTTCAAAATAAGGTGGTCGGCATTACTACTAGACATAACTGGTTGATGATTTTACTATCTCAGTCAACAATGACCATGGGACCAATAAAGAGTCCGAAATGTTGGTCTGTTCTGTTTATAAAACTAATATACGCAATTTAGATCTGAAAAAAAAACAGTTTCATTTTTCAATGCGTAGCAATAGCGAAAACGTAAGAACTCTACATTAAAAATTTCTTAATTAGTGTCATAAATTCAAGGGATGATAAATTAGCAATTGCATTTAGAAAGGTGCTATGAAATTCTACTTTAGTTATAAATATAAACAATGGTCGGAAAAAGGTGTTCCACATATGTAGATACATGTAAAGGTGTAGCTACAAGAAGCGACATAAAGTCGTTAAAACCACCAAATATTAATTAATAATTTTTTCGAATTCCAGATTTCCGGAATTGGTTTCACTGCATCATAAGATAAAACTACTGGCCTAGGAAGACGAAGTCGGATTTTAAAGTAATTCTAACGGTGCCATATGAAAAATTAGTAGATAACTGACCTTTTACCAAAGCAGAGAATAAAAAAGTTACGAGAATGGTCACTTATTTTGCATGCACATGTAAAATAAAGCCAATTTTATTTTATTTATTTTTTAAATGCATTTGCTATGGAAATTTAAACAAAGTCGGAAATAGTAATAAAAAACCAATATTTCGATTTTCCTGCAGCTTCAATCCAACCTTCTCTCCTTTTGAACTCATTTTTTTTTAACGCACACACTCAACATAGCCCCGCATTAGGGAAACCCTGTGTCGCGGGTGCCATGGACACACACATAGACAACCACAAATTACACCCAAATTCACGAGAGAAATAAATGTAGGCCATACAAATATTTCTCCCGGCCCGGGATTCGAACCTGGGGCCTCTGCGTGGCAGTCCGGCATGGTAACCGTTCGGCCACGGAGGCAGTTGCATTGGAAAAACTCATAAACTAAAAATACTCTACGTTTAATCTATGAGTATAATGGAATTTAAATACGTAAATTATCTAATACATATACATTTTTACAACAGCATACAAATTGACATGAAACTGAAACAGTTGTCCGAAATATGAGTTGTGTCAAAGTTACTCGAAATAAAATGTTTAGTAATAATAATAATAAAAATAAAATAAAAGAAATCAATTTAACGTGAATGTTTTTCGCTTCGATTTTTTAGGGACTTTAATTACAAAAATTATAGTAAGAAATTCAAACATTTCAGTAAACATTTATTGTCGATAAACATCAGTCTTCGTAAATGAACATCACTATATTCGAGTCTAGAAATTTCTGTGGAGACAAAAAGAAAACATTGAATAATAATAGAAATAGTAAGTAAAAATGCAAATAGCCGGTGGAATGCTATGTCACTGGTTTTAATTTTTTTGTTTTCACTCAAATTTTTACAAGGTGTATCGCTACAACTTGGCATTTTCACGTTTTACGAGAGATCTTGTATGTACAATGTTTGTAGGCGTATCACCTCGACACGAACCACGCCACCATACCCAATCTCTTTGCACAGAGTTATCACCGTTATGACCGTTTAGAGCGATCGATTTAAATACGTTTACGTATGTATGAAAGAAAAATCTGACTTATTACTAAAAATCAGGGAACAAAAGTTGCTATTTATGATGTTAGTAATAAAGTCCTGTGAGGTTGTTGGTATTTTACAAATAAACCTGAATATACAGCGTTATGTTCATATACTATTTTCTTAGTAAAATATAAATAAATATTGTCCATAATATTACGTATAAATAGTAAATATAAATTTAAAGTGTCTTTACAGAGATCACATCTGCATTCTCTTCTGTGCTCTGAAACCTCTTTGCAGACATCTTGAAGGTTTTGAACTTAATCCATTAGGTTTATTGTGCAATTGTTGGCTGGTCTGAAATAATAAAAACGAACTATAAGGTATACTTAACTAACTTAGGCTTCTAATAGGGTAAACAGGGATAAAGGATCTCCACTTGCCAAACAACAGATACATCTCCAAAAGTTCGTCCAGAGAAGTACTGCCACCTTACCTATTTCTGCCGCCAAGCAGTAATGTCAGAATTACTGTGTTCCGGTTTTGAAGAGTAAGAGTGCTGGTGAAATTACAGGCACATGAGACTTATCAACTTACGTCTCAGGGTGACGGGCGCAGTGGCAGTGCCCCTCAAATCTTTACGATTTAAAGCTCTGAGTGGTACTGCAACTGTTATGGCCAGGCGTGTAGGTTGCCATCAGGCGCACGACTTGTTCGTCCCGTCACTTGATATTATAAAAAAAAAGTTAGTGGAATTTAAATAGTGTGCTATACTTGAAACGTAGTTATATATGGACAATTACTCTGAATGTAAACCTGTTACAACAATTAATTAATTTATGTAGTATTTAGCAATCCGCTGCAAATGGCTATCTTAGAACTGGAATGATATGGGTGCTATATACCAGTTTTTTTTTTAAACATGACAGGCTGTAGTAGGATATCAGCAGCTGAGCTCCAGAATTTTTTATCTCCCACCACCATTGTCTGTTATTAACTCTATGAGAAATATAGTTTGTATATTTATTTATTGATGTGTTGTGATTAATAATATAAAAAATGGGTTATTCCCAAAGGATCCCAATGCAAGGGATCAAGAATAAATATTAATATTTTACTCCCACCTGATATCCTGATAC